TAACCAGCAATGTTATGCATCACGTCACAACCACAGGTCCACCTGTGGCATCCAAAGCTCGCCGTTTAGCCCCCGATAAGCTGCAAACGGCGAAAAATGAATTCGACCATATGCTGGAACTGGGCATTATCAGACCGTCGAACAGTCCTTGGGCATCGCCATTGCACATGGTGCCCAAAAAGGATAGCAACGACTGGCGTCCGACCGGTGATTACCGAAGGCTTAACGCCAAAACAACTCCGGACTGCTACCCTATACCCCACGTTTACGACTTGACCGCAACCTTATGCGGCATGAACATTTTCTCGAAAATCGACTTAGTCAAAGCGTACAACCAGATACCTATGGCAGCAGAAGATATCGCGAAAACAGCCATTATTACTCCTTTTGGCCTGTTTGAATTCCTGCGCATGCCTTTTGGTCTTCGGAATGCAGCACAAACATTCCAACGCTTTATGGACGACGTCTTCCGTGGTCTGAATTTTGTTCATGTCTACATAGATGACTGTCTAATTGCGAGTCCAGATAAGGAAACACACCTTAAACATTTGGACCTCGCATTCGAAAGACTCAAAAAACATGGCATCACAGTTAACTTACAGAAGTGTGAAATAGGAGTTGAATCACTCAGCTTCCTTGGGCATACCATTGACAACAAAGGTATACGCCCATTGAGAGATAAAGTGGCGGCTATCACAAACTATCCAGAGCCGACCACTGTGAAACATCTCCGCACTTTCAATGGCCTGGTAAGTTATTACCGAAGGTTTATCCCTAACTGTGCCTCTGTCATGAGACCACTCACAGATCTACTTCGAGGAACTGCGAAGTTCGTGTCTCTGGACAACGCGGCTAGACTTGCTTTCTCCAAAGTCAAGGAAGCCATTTCGAACGCAACCATGCTTATGCATCATGACCCCAATGCTCCTCTGAGTATTGCTGTTGATGCATCTGATTCAGCAATTGGAGCAGTTTTGCAACAGTTGACTGACAACCAGTGGCAACCGTTAGCCTTTTTCTCGAGGCGGCTGCAAGACGCGGAAACAAGATACAGTACATTTGGTAGGGAACTCCTAGCCATGTACTGTTCTGTACGCCATTTTCGACATTCTGTGGAAGGTCGTGATTTCATTATTTTCACAGACCACAAACCGTTAACCTTTTCCCTCAGCTCGGCGTCTGACAAATACTCCCCTCGTGAGTCGCGACAGCTGGATTACATTTCCCAGTTCACGTCAGACATCCGCCACATTTCTGGAGCAAACAACTCCGCAGCCGACGCACTATCTCGAATAGCTTCGATAAACTATATCGAGGGTATTGATCTCGTTGAACTAGCTCGGCGTCAAAAGGAAGACCTTGAGCTGCATCATGAGTTGTCGTCCACAACTCTCAAACTGCGACTTTGTCCTGTTGGATCAGACAAGGATGCAATTTTGTGCGATGTCTCTGCTAGTCAACCACGCCCAATAGTTCCGAAGAGTTGTCGACGCAACGTCTTCAATACGTTGCACAAACTCTCTCATCCAGGTGTACGAGCCACCATTAGGCTTATCGCACAACGTTTCTGCTGGCCTGGGATGAACAAAGACGTTAAGGAGTGGGCCCAGTCGTGCTTAGCTTGTCAAAAGTGTAAAGTCACGCGACACACGAAAAGCCCTTTAGGCTCATTTCTAGCCCCAGACATGCGTTTCGACCACGTCCATATAGATATTGTAGGACCCCTACCAGAATCTAATGGATGTACCTACCTTTTCACCTGTGTTGATCGTTTCACACGATGGCCGGAAGCAGTACCCATTAAAGATATTACTGCCGAAACAGTTGCTCGTGTTTTCGTCGAAAGATGGATCGCGAACTTCGGATGTCCATCCTACGTCACAACCGACCGTGGGCGCCAATTTGAGTGCGGACTATTTCACGCTCTAACGGCACTTTTAGGTTGCACTCGGTTCCGAACGACAGCCTACCATCCACAAGCAAATGGCATGGTAGAGCGTTTCCATCGACAGCTGAAAGCTTCCCTTTCAGCTACAAACATACCTCAGTGGACCGAGGCTCTGCCTCTAGTCCTACTAGGTATTCGTAACGCGTTGAAAGTTGATGCTGGATGCACTCCTGCAGAACTCGTCTATGGGACCACTCTTCGCCTACCAGGTGAGTTTGTTTCCCCTTCAACTTTCAAACATGTTTCCGATAGGGCATCTTATGTGACTAGGCTTACAAACGCAATGCGTTCAGTTAGGCCTTCTCCGATTAGACCGCAAACGACTGATGTTTTCGTCCACCCCAGTTTACAGAAGACATCACACGTGTTTGTTCGCCACGACGCTGTTCGTCGACCACTTGAACCACCCTACGACGGGCCGTTCAAAGTGATTAAGCGACATGAGAAATTCTATGTAATTGAGCGAGGCGGACGCGAAGATACTGTCAGTATCGACCGTTTGAAACCAGCTTATTTCGAAGGCAACCCCATTGTAAGTGACGTTTCAGCTCGCTACATCCGGCCGACGGATGACTCAATTATCGAAATTCTCGACGATGTGCCTGGTAATGCACAGCTGCAACAACCAGCGGCGCAACAAAAAACACGATCAGGTCGAACCGTCAGGTTCCCAGAGTACCTGAAGTCATATTCAACTTAGCTATGTGTGTGCCAACCATTTTTTTTCGAGGCACTATTTTTCTTATTTACCGGCACAAACCCTCGTACACTTTGCCTTTTTATATCAATTTTTATTTACCATGTAATAAAAACTAAAAAAACGGCGAAGATAAGCGTAAATTTTTCTTTTTCGACACGTTTATATATAAATAATTCCCATTTTTACGCAACGTTTTCGTGGTATTAAAGACTTTTATTTATATTCCAGGTGCAACGAGCACTGGACGGAACGTCGAAAGGAACAGATGACCGCGACCGACGTACAATTTCATTTATTGTATTTTATTTATTTAATCGCCACGACACCCTAGAATAAGGTTCAGACAACCAGGGGCCACCTCACGCAGTGAGCCCATCGGAGAGTTTTACCAGTGGAGAAACCACTGGGTTTTTACTTCCGGCTGGTATCGTCTTAGGGTCCTCACGAACCCACTAGGGGGGGAGTGATCTGTAGCGTCATACACTTCCCCAAAATCAATAGCCTAGGGTTTGACGACTTCGACATTGATGCTGACCTTGATAGTTTAACTGGACTCGCTAAGCTGAAGGCATCCGGTCAAGCATCCTCGCCATTTGGCACGCTGTCGTGTTACGTTGCATTGCTCGTATTCGACTCTCTAGCCAGTTAGTTGGAACGCATCGGTATTTTGGCATAACCATCCAAATATACTATTCCATCCGACTACGCTATCGTGTTCTTCCTTGGTCTCGTATTCGTGGGTATATAACAAGTTCGAATAATTAGTGATTGGTCTTTGCGTCTGTCAAGTTCGCACCAGGACAAATCCTAAAATAGCATACGAGTTGCTGGACCTACTGCATCCGAATCCGTTAAAGATCTGGAGCCGTTCCGCAAGACCAAGAAGCGAGTGCGAAGAAGTCAACTGGTTTACACAAGCTCGTTAAAAAGATATTAGATATTTTTTTTGGTGATATTTTTGGTTTGAAAATACTGCGTGCTTTATAAAATATGCGCTACCGTCTGTTTTTAGATTGCGCAATATAGAAGGTTAATTATTTTTCCTACCTGTTGGGCTTTCCACACTGCCTTGTTTTATATATGTATATCCTAAGATTCACGATTGTCTTTTTTATCCGATTAACTCTGCAGTACTCAAGTGACTTTTATTAAATATCACTGAACCACTATAGTGGCTCCTAGTCGAACAAGAATGCTTGAAGAATTAGTAAGATTGCCTATTTTTTACTTACCTGTGAAGTTCAAGCGCAATTTTCAGACTGAAGTCCCGGCGTCTTTTGTGCGTCTTCTACACTTGCCTGAGTATTCTTTCGTCGATACTGCAAAATTACTGCATTATATTCCTGTTATTTACTCAAAATTTACATGCTGACCCTTTGTTAAACCCAACGTTTCTGCATCATCTGCCTGTAAATTCTGAAGATTCTGTCTCACTGTAGTCATTAAATACTCGCTCCCCTCTATTGGGTGGTTTCCATAGTATTTCTGTATTGCATGCTTCCCATGAACCAGCTTTTTGTTTTCTTTGGGATACTGCTGTTGAATACAGACCACCTCCTGTTGTCCTAATACTAGAATAGGTATATATATATATATATATATATATATATATATATATATATATATATATATATGAAGTAAAGCCTTGAGCCCAAGGTTTGCCTCGGGAAAGTTTTGCATTTATGCGACTGCGATGTTTAGTTAAAAGCTGAAAAGCTATTCATGATTATGGCATAAGCGTTTTTTGAGTGGAGAATGGATGAATTAATGGACGTGGCGACCGATATTTTCTATAATCGCCACGTGCAAAGTGCAGGTTATGAAGTTGGTGTGAAGCTAACAAAACTGAAGGTTCAGCATACGGTTTTCAAGCACTGGTAACCATTAAGGAGCTATATGGGGGGGGGGTCCTGTACTCAGATGCTCTGATAGAAGCACGCTCCTGTGATAACAAGCTGGAAGAAAAGGGATTAGCTTTCATCATGTGTCATACATATATTGGAGAAAAAGGGATAACATAACTCTTACCGATTCTTACCAGTCAGATGCCCTATCCCGAATTTCGGGAAACTAGGACTCTGAATGCATCTGATATCTCTTCTTCTCCTGTTTGGTAAAGTAGGAGTTGCTCAAGCTTGGACGTAATGATTGTGCACAAGGTAAATTTCACATAATATTTTATCAACAAAATGCATTATCCTAGCTTTCCATCAAGTGCCTAACACTGTGAACATTAATCCAAGATCTGATATATTCACTGCATTAATCATAAAATTCACGGATGATTCATGCTCATCCTACAATTTCTCCATCGTCTTCGCTATCTTCAGTTATCTGAGTCAATTTTAACTCAGACATACTAAGCAGATTTTCTACCCTATAAAATGACCTTCAGCATGTTTAAGGGGTTTTCCGTGATAAGTGGAAAGTCCATACGATACTCGTTCACAGAAGTAAGACTTCAATGCTACTCTTTCCTTAGTCTCAGAAATCAGAAGCAAGAAACATTCAATTGTAACATCGAAGTGTTCGTTTATGACGCCTATTTCAGATTAACAACGGAACCAGATACTGGAAATGTTTTGCAATGGCGCATCCTGTTTATCCAGCCAAACCTTTATTGATGCTGACATTTAACGAGTAAATGAGTTGATAGGAACTTACTTGTTACTGCTACTGTTTATGCTGACGACGTTTCTCAAAAGTAGTGAAGATACGAACTTCCTTGTCTTGTAAGGCACTAGCGACTTACAAATACCTCACCTTCATATAACTGAGTAGATGTGAATTGGCAAAATGTTCGGTTGGTTTCAACATGCCTGCCCATCGATGACATCATTATCAACAGAATAATGTAAAAATTCTACGTAACCTTTTATAAATTTCAGCAACGGTGATTAGTATTTTAATCTATGTACCCTGTAAGTTTCCTGAGAGGCATAGACAGTATGTCATATGTATTCTGCTTAACTGGGTATGTACTAACCGACTCTGTGAATAAGCCTCAGTTTAGGATTGTGTACTTTGTTTTTCTGAACTTAATACCTAATGAATTCATGTCCGTTCTCTCTATTCAGAATAGATCAGCTAAGTCCGTGACATACGTCAGCAATCAGCTCTTAACCTCTTCCCTTTCTGTTTGGCAGGTGCGAAACGCATGCCAAACATACTCCAATTTCTTCTCAGGGCATTCGGAAGACCCTGCATTTGTCAGCCTCTTCACCTGGCAAGACAATATCGTTTGCGTACTCCAAGTCAACTAGGTGACCTCCAGGGAATAGGTCAGTCCCTGTCAAGTCACAGGTACCTAAGTAGATGTCCATTAATGCATCTCTGACGAAGTTAAATAAGAATGGTGACAGTAGACATTTCTGGTAAACACCATTAGTTGTCGTCACTTCACGTAACAGCTGTCCATGAGCCCTGGCACGGCTGCGTGAGTTTGAGGAGAGAGCTTCGATAAGCGTACTCTCTTCACAGTCAGACACTGCCACAACACCGCGGTCGATCGAGTCAAATACGGCCTTCAGGTCAAGAAATATGGCAAGTGTCAGCCACTGGCCGGTGGGTAAACCTGTATTTTAGAACCTGTCGGATGGTGAATATATGATCTGTGTACCCTCGACCAGGTCTGAACCCTGCCTGGTTTTCTCGAGTTTATTGTTCTCGAGCTCCATTTAGGCGTTGAATAACTATGAACCCTAGGATCTTGGACACAATATCAATCAAGCTATCACAAGAAGATTTCTCCTTATGAGCTGGGATGATCAGTGAAATACACCAGTCTAAGGGAACTACCTCTGATTCCCGTACGCTACCTGGTATCTCTGTCACTTTAATTAGAAATTTCCTGCCTCCATTCTTAAAAATTTCAGGTGGCAAACTGTCAGGTTCTACTGCTTTGCATCGTTTCAGGTTCAATACAGCTCTACCAACTTCAGGGAGAGTTGACGAACCGATGTCTACGTGTCTTTCAGGTTCAGGCCAGATATCGAGCAGGTGAAGCGTTGCTTAGGGTCGGTTGAACTATGCTTTAAAATGTTCTGCCCGCTGTTCTAGCCGTCTGTCGAGAAAAGTTTATCAGCTTCTCATCCTTTTCAGTGTTAGTTTCACTCACCATCGTCTTCTTCCCTCCGGTGTCCTTAATAAGCCTAAGTATTTTCCGGTTGTTGCCCAACGCTGATGCCTTCTTTATCTCTCTCACTTTCGCCACCACCACTGCTAGTGATGAACGCGAAGACTTTATCAAACTACGTTCGAGTAATTTTCGCTCTTCGTCGTGGTTAGACCCAGCTGAAACCAGTCTCTCACATCAATCAATTCAGATGACGTTGCGGAAATCCAATGACGTTTGTTTATCTTCGGTTACAGGTTAACAATTGTCCTTACCACTGTTTCTACAGCAGACTTAATATCATGACAGATTTCAGCAGAATATATGATTATTTGCAATAATATATGAAAATTAGTTACACACGTGTATCTATAATTTTGATGGGTTGAGTAGCTTTTACCTGCTTCTCAGCTTTTGAGTGCAAGCCATCTTACTTTTCCTGTTTCGAAGATACTTGTCAGGGTTGTGGACCATGTTCAGTGAAATTTTTGGTTAGTGCTCTGAGTTGTGCAATGTTTATGTGAATCGATCAGAAGTGACATACATGTTTGAGTTGCACGGTACTTTCTTTTTGAGTTCTTGGAATTATATATAGAGGCGCATATCTTTCCTGCATGATACAGGAGATGCAGAGATAAAGAGCTGTCGTAAGCGATATTATTTTCTATCATGGATCATTCGAAGCAGCAAATAATACTAAGTCGATGGTCACTTCTGCCTTTTTCATTTAGATGTATTTACGGTTACGTTTTATATTATCAGAGCTGTATAGCAAGTATGTCTGAAATGCACTGGACATGTCAGGATCGTACTGCATGGTTTCTCAGTTTTATCACGTAGATAAGCAGATGTATTTAGCTCGACTTAGTAAACTTCGTAGAAACATGGAAGTGAAAGTCACCAAAGTAAAAGACAACGAAATGAAAATGAAGTCAAATGCTGTAAAAATCTTTCAGACAAAAAGATAAGTGGCGTGTGTTGGAAAACACAGAACCTTTATAATTTGACTTCATTTCTGTATCATCAATTAAAATTTTGAAACAGCTTTAAATGAGGTGCAGAATGATGTAGATCTTACAAAGACAAAGAATAATCGACTTTGAACATGTAGAGAATATTGTCTTACTATCCGAAATTATAGATGCTATTCGAGTTATATTTCTTCAGTTGGCTGCGAGTGCCCGTAAGTATAGCATCTAACTTGTAACATTCAACTGCAAATTAACTTTGTGGCATTGATAGGAGCCTATTACTGCACCCACACTTAATAGTGAACTGTTGGATATCGTGGGAATGTTCGTGTATTTTGTGTATTTGTGTGTGCTGGTGAAAATAAAGTTTTTAGTCTTTTAGGATAGATATTGTCAGCACGGAACCAGGTTCAGTTGGGTGATGATCCAGTTCACCATGGCTTACAGTGGTGCATAAAGGTAGAGGTTAATAGAAGAAAAAGAAATAAAAGTAGTGAAATTGCCGGTCGCAGAAAATCACAAAAAAATAAAAAGAGAATGAACAAGTAAATGCAGTATCGTAACTTAAAGGGATGTAAATATATCTGCCGCACTACCGTCGATATGTAATATGAAACGGTCTAAATGGAAATCAACATTTTAAGTCATCAGCTACTTTCGTTTCATGTTACTACGTAGTCAGGAAAAACCTTATTGGACAATTTTGTCTCACAATGGGCTAATCAAAATAAATATCCAACTTTGACCTAATGGTTTTAGATGTTCGTGAAAACTGTACGTAAATGATGTGTTTTTGTCAAATAAAGTGCCTTCCTAACAATTACAAGCCGGTCATTGTCTTCTGGTTTTCGCTGCTCAGTGAAGTATTAGGTTCTGAGGAATAAGAATCGCTATTCGTATTCAGTCCATGTCCCATTGCGTTATTATTGTTCGTGTATTCATTATTATCCACTCGATCACTTCAATATGTACTAAGCTATCAGCCTAATCGTCGCTATTGGGAACGTGAATTTTACTAGTTTCACACAAGTATCGATGCTATCTATATATTTCAATCAGATTTCTCATGAAGACTTAGTCACAAGATGAAATGATATACTTTAACTTAGTCTAGCTAACATACCGTTACAAGTTACAATCACAAGACTTGATATCAGACTCTTTGGTTGCAAATGAGACCAACACGTCAAACAGCACTTTTTTAATATATACTTATCTCTTTTTGTTGTTTGTATGGCGGTATTTTTCATTAGTCTAGACAGTCTGGCAGCAGTTGGTACAGGTGATCTGTGATAATTTTTGCAATCATTACCTCTGTATATTTTCAGTTCTTGTTTGAATTTATCCGAGAAGCTGATTGTGCATGTTTCGGTAAAAATTTTCAGTCCAATACATTCCAGTGGGAAATTCTGAGATCCGCTAAGAGTTAGTTCACTTGAGTATGGAAGAGGAATAAGAGTGACCAAACTTAAACAGCACTAGTTTTGGAATGCTCTGATCGTTGTTTCGTTCAGTGTGTGCCCAGTTCTCTCGGTTCAACTCAGGTAGTGGCTTTTAACTCCAAAATCATTCTCTGAATACAAAGTAAGAGTTTTAAAACTGTAACTCTCCAGTCGTCTTATAGTTGACTGTTCCTTTTTTTCTTAATTATGTGGGATGAAAGCAGTAGTGATTTCTAGTTAAAGTATTATCATTAATAGGATTCTCTACATTTTCTTAGTCGAATAGCTTCTGCCCCGCCAATAGATCTCGCTTAACCGTTAGCATTACCATGTTAGGTGATTTAAACTCAAAATGCATAGAGTATTAATTTCTCCTAGGTCTATTTTACTTTTTTCTTACCTACATTACAAGTGTTTCTATCATTTTCAGTTTTCACTCACTGCTTCCAGTTAATTTCTCGTATGGATGTGGTTAGTGAAAGCTCACGTATTTCAGAAAAGATTTCGTTTGCAGTATATTGCCGTCTGTTGGAAAAACTGGCATCGAATGATGGAGTTAAGATGAAAGAAAGATTATTGTCCAAATTCATATATTTGTGGGAAAATCAGTACCTCCTTCTGAACCCGCAGATTCAATTTCCATCATGTGGTCGAGCCAGTCTTTATTTATTTCTACGCTTGCTTATTCCTTCGCATGACAGAATGAGGAAAGCTTTCGGATTACGTGAACATACACTCTCACGATTCATTATTAAAGCTATTGGTCTTGCTCCAAATGGATTGGTTGCTCGTAGACTGTTAAGGACTCACCCTAGTCCTATCGGTCGAAATTCTGATTTTGCTGACATAGCATATGCGGTACTCAAAGCTAGATGTCGTGAGGATAGTGTTTTATCTATGAAGGTTTGTGTTTTTAAGCTTTTATTTGTGTAATTCCAAAAAGTGAATATGTGTAAGCAGAATAAAACCATATTGAACTTACTTCCACTATTTAGATGTAGCCTGAAGCCTCTGTTCTGTCAACCGAGTGGAACTAGTAGAAAATCCTTTTTTCATTGAGATTGCTTAACCCACTGTTCCACAGGAAACCAAATAGTGATACGGCTCGACTTTGAAAACTAGAAACAGACCGGTGCGTTATAAGCTCATTGAAATGTTCTGTTTCGAGTTATAAGTTATTTGATGAGTCTATGTTGGGACATGTAATTTGTTCCAGCTTTCCGTTGGGCATGATATTTTGTTGTCTGTTTGGTTCGTATGCGATGGCAATATCTCAGAAAAAGTTATCATGTCATGAATAAATTTTGACACTTCACTATCCTGATTTCATTGTGCATAAACTTTAACAGAATATTTACCACGTATGCCATCTTAAAACTGCCACACATAACATGACCATATGACCATATAATATGAGGTTTTTCGCTACTTGGATTATCTATGTTATATTTCATATTGCTTAGTTTGGAGGATCTGTTTTGATAGGATACTGAATCACTGTATATTTTATGTATACGCTTGCTTAAGAGCATTGGACTTTCAGTGGGATTGTTGAGTGCACTTGAAATCTTGAAAATCATGCAGATATTGATGGTATCTTTTTTAAAGCTGCTCTTATTTAATTAACACCAGTGAAAATTGTATGTATTTTTTGTGCTAGGTTCCTAGTAAATAATTTTTGTGCGGCACACTCTTCCATTGAGTAGTGTTACATTTGTTGGTTAACATTGTGCTTCATCCTGTTTTACTCGACAGATGATAGACAAAGGTTAACTTATGAACGTGTCTGCATATCATTGCTGGCGTGTGGTGGTGCCACACATCGGGAGGGGGGTGCTGACGTTATGTCATAGTTCTCAAGAAAGAGAATTCAGCCAGTAAGTGAGGTGGATTTGTATCTGCAGTTGTTACTGAGGTGTTATTCTTGTCGAGCCACCATCCACCCTAATACGCTGCTACATCTAGAGAAGAATTAGATTTTAAAAATCTAGGGGTAACCGTACCAAGACATGACTTCAGTCCACAATTTATGATTGTTGATGTAAGACAAGTGAGGGAATGTAGGCTAACTGAGTAGGGTTATCGAAATTTTATAAGTCATTGGTTGGGTACGTTAGTTGACACGGTTCAAAGTCAATCATGGTAGCGCAGATTTATTTACTACTTATCCTCCGATTTCCTCAAACTATTCATTAGTTGATGATTTGGTTGTGGCTAGCGGAAGAATCCAGGGTGCGCGTTTCGTCCTACTTGGGACTCATCAGCTGGATGTACCTGCACCCCAATAATGTTGTTCCCACTGAGACTCGGACCTCGTACCCATTGCTTCAAACGCCAAGGCGTTATCCACTATGCCACAGAGGAACGACAGCCACTTCTTGTACAGCGAGTGATAGTTATTACTATTTATTGACATCCTTGTTATTCTCCGTTGTTTTGTTGGATCGAACTGTTCGACCTCTATTAGCATATGGGCTCCTGTGCGGATGCCTCGATATTGCCTGAATGTTAGTTATGATACCAGTTTTCATTTCAATGTACTTTTACCTCTACTGACTTCCTTTTTAAGTTGTGACAACTTGAAGACCTTCACTTTCTTGTCAGGTTCTGCATTGGTTTATACACCTGTTACCAAACTTAGTAAATCTTAAGCATAGTGATGCTTTAAGAAACCAACTCATTGCAAAGAGGCAGGAAAAAAACTATTCGGGAAATCATAAAATACTTTATCGTACGTGGTTTTTCACTATTGAATTGTATTATTGTCTTGAATTTATTTGGATTTTGACAGTAGGTGTAAGGATTAAAGATGTACTCATTATAAGTTCCTTTGTCTTATAACTTTTTATACTAGCTTCTATCATTTGTACTTATCTGTTTTCCTTCTTGTTGACTTTCTGCTTGGTTTGCTAATGCGAAGTGCATCAATCTAAACAGTTGTGCGATTCCGCCAGATTCCTTGTTTGTATCTGTCTTGTCAGTTCACTCTTAAAGGAGTAATGCTTCAGTTAAAAATGATATGACTTCATAATTGTACAGTGCATTCGATCAGGAATATTGATGCATACAATCCAAAATAGATCTAATAATGTAGTTAACTACTTATTGATTGTACGATTATAAGTCGGAATCCCTTCACTGTATTTCTAGTCTTTTCGATTTGCATTATTCTAGACTTTATGTAGCATCTTTGGACTATTCACTGTAAGTAAATCCTTAAATCCTTTTTTCTTTATGAAGTTGATACATTACTCAAATTTAATGGTGGATGCGGGAAGTTCTCTGGACTATGTAATGAATACTTATATTACGGTTGTTTGATAGAACAGATGTGTAGTTCAGTGCGAACATGGCATTTTTTGTTCTGTGGTCTTGTGTCATACAATTCTGCTTGGAGTTAGTGTTGAGCAAGGGACGTAGATTGGCGATGAAAGGTTTAGAAACAACTATCGGAAAGCAGAGGAAAATTGAACAAACATTGTAGAAATTTTTTTATCACCTTACATGTCATGCGATTTTGATACAAATTTGTTTTAATTTTTTTGACAAATGGGTTAAGCGGATACCGAATATCGTTATTTTTATGTCTGCTCCATAAATCAAGTTAAGGAAGTACACAAACATCAGATATATAGGAACTGGTATGAAATTTATCAATATCGCCACATTTGAATCATCACAATAGATCAGCAAGGAAGAAGAAACAAAAATAATGACGTTATCAGTAGTTACAACCAAAAACAGGAGATAAGGAATAACAATATGCTCAGGATGTAGTTGGTTTTTCCATAACAACAAACTATTTACAGCTACATCATCTAAAGCTTCTAGTCATCAGCTATATTAATTTAGTGGGACTCTAACCAGGAGATGAACAGTTTTTTTCACGACTAAGATCAGATAGTCAGAAGCTTAATGCATCGGTGCTGTGTTTTAGTCTAACTTCTTAAAGGTTTCTTCCGTCACATTCTTATACTTGTTTGCACTGATTTATCGTGTAAGTATTGATCAGGCATTTTCAATACAACCAGGCCATCTCAGTTTGTTATTGTTCACAATCACACGTTAAAGGTAACTGATCTGGAGGCACGGTTGGTTCGATAAAGTATCTAGTTATATCTTATCATATCAAACAAAGTACTATGAGTTATTCAAACGATGAACTTTGATTTTAGTCGAAATATTTTTCATTGCATTTCTTGTTGCAACCCAAACCAACTAGTGGATTTTGAAGTGAAGTTTATGATGAAACTTATGGTCTTCCTGTTCGAAGGCTAGTCATTAAACTCACACGACTTTCACAAACTGAAGCACGTTTCACAAATCATCGTATTTTCAATATTCGTTGCATGAAAAATCAAATTATCCCTAAATATCTTCGCATACGAATCCCAATATATACTGACAAAATCGAAAGGGCAATAGAACATGTCAGCAAACTATGTCTGAAAGAAGAAATTCACAGGATTATTAAGAAATGAAGTTTATGATGCTATAATATTTCAGTCTCACTTCAGGATACACTGTTATCCTTTCAAACTACTTATTAAATGCGGTTAGTGTGACTTTGACAGGATAAAAAGGAAGTGCTCATCTGAATGAAGTTAATTTACGGGATGGATAGGAGAAAACAATTCAAACTATGCTAATTGTAACTATTCCTGCTATACGGCTGTGAGACGTGGCCATAGGAAGTAGGAGACATGCAGCTGTTACAGGTTTTTGGTCACAGGTATCTTTGTAGCATTGCTCGCTTTTGGTGGATTCACCACGTGAGCAGTGTTGAGGTCAGGGGCAGAGAACTAGGCAAGTCAGTTGATGGGGTTGTGAACCTTAGTCGACTGAGATGGCTTGGAGATGTACTGCACATCCCGATCAATCTCCTACCTCGGTGTGCCATGCTAGGGAAAGCTGGTTCAGGTTTGAAGAGGGTTGAGAGTGGCCAGACCAAGACGTAGCACTAATCCATAGAATCCCTGACTGATGGTCTGAGCCGTGTGGGGAGATGTAGACTATCTGATTGGGGTCCCCGAGACGACAGAAATCAGTAGTTTAGGACTTTTGGTGGCATGGATGAAAACCGATCACAATGATGCAGATGTATTCACTCTTTGACGTCTTCTAAAGCGTGAATATTTACACTAACGTTCATCTTCAAATTGCTTATTCTCTCGCATAACTTTGGCTACTTTGCTATCACTTTTTCTATCTACCTTTTCTTTGTATACTACTGCTAAGTGTGGTGTTTTGAGGTGATGGACTTGTGTGCGAGGTAATACGTTGGTTTTATCTGCCTGATTGTAACTATTATCTGTGTCATGGATTGTCATAATGGTCTTATAATTACTATTATTATGTTGTAAATTGAAATCTTTCGGTTGGACAAGATTTTCTAAGGCGTAGATACTACTCTCTGAATGTCTCAAGAATTGGAGTTGGCATGACTTTTTGTAAAATACTATGTTTCGTGATTTACAAGGTCTTCACTTTTTACGTTTCAAATCAAGGACATTAACAATCATCTAGATGACTTGGCCACTGCTGTATCGAATGACGAACGATTACAAGTATTGCGTTCATTATTGCATTCAACTACAGCTATAGAATTGAAATGGCTTATACGTTTTATTGAAAAGCGAGATTCAGGTTGCGGCCTAAGCGGGAAGAACATTCTCAAATGTCTTCACCCAGCAGCGATCTCAATTTTTGAAGTCACTCAAGTTAGTCTTCCAGATAAATGTATGCAAATTTTTGTTCCGCGTGTTTAAAATATTTGATGAAATAGATTTGTGTATTTAAAAAAAGTTATTATTTTGGAGAAAATTAGCACCCGTAACTACACCAAAAGTTAGGATTACAAGCAGTAATTATTTCCCGAAATTTTCGTAAATCTATGTACCCGGAAATGATGAATGAAGTTGGAAGTACCTACTTCGCTGTGGTATTTTAAATATCGGTTCACAGGCTACTGGTTCTACCCACCATCAATTGAATCATCAGGAAAAACTAAAGCTAATTAAGACAATTTAAAATTAACAGTTACTTTGTGCATTGAATTATCGCTGTGTGCGAAATGTTAATTGCAAATCTACGTACTATACTTTGTTGTCGAAATCGGAATGCATTCAGCAAACGTTTTCACATTTGTGCAGTAAGCAATGACGCACACCTATTGTGTGAAGGCTAAATGATACTAACTAGCTGCCAAAACCTCGGTAGATGGAGTGGAGTTAGAACATTTGGATCTAATCACCTTGTAACCTTTACTGAAAGTAATTTTTTTAGCAGTATCACTACTTTGGGAATTTCTAGTATATATTAAACTAAATCATTAACTTTTACTAGGAGAAATTTTCAAGTGATCTTTTCAACATAACTTGTTATGTAAAATTGACGAATATAAGATCATAATAAATAAGCAGTTATTAGTTTGAGGATTTTGTAGGCTGCATTCTACATTCAAGTAGAAGCTGGGAATCAGTAGTTTCGGTGCCTGATTTCCTTTCATTCATTCACAAGCTCCATCTCTTCTCCAACCAATAAGATTTCAGTATAAAAATACTGTCTCCAACTGTCAAACAATAGGCGTCGCTAAGTTTCTACCTATTTCATTCAAGTGTGAGTGTTACTAAAGGCGTTCCCATGTCATGTGCGGCTGACTAGTCAGTGAATAGGAAATCTGTAGAAGCTTAAATGAAAATGATGACAAACCCCATTTCGCGAATATTTATCTTAGTATTTGTATCCCAAGGATTGAATCTTTTGGGTTAAACAGACCACTGTCTATTAATCTACTAATTTCTTATCTTGCGTCGGGTGTATTGGTCTAGTTTTTCATTGCAGCATTTAAGGTAGGTTGCGTATATCAGGCAATTAATTCATACTACGTAACTGGTGATCGTTTGTGACCTCCAGTATCTACAATATCGGAATAAAATGTCACCACTCACTCCACCACAAACAAAGTTTCGTCTCTCTCTCTCTGTTCGATTGATCACTGCTTGGGATGTTAAGTAAATTCAATAACGCTTTTTATCGCTGGTAATTCCAGAACATATGGTTAAGGTAATAGTGTCGTCTGATGATATTCTCAGGGGAAACTTGAGTGACATTGGGTTATTTGAACTAGAAGCTTTATTGTCACTTTACATAAGATCGTCAGAATAAACTTTCAGAAGAATTGAGCTGTGAGGATTTTTCCACAAACGGCCTACTAGCCTAACATAGTGCTATTAGAGAGAGAGAGGGAGGGAGAGGGGGGGGGTAACTGACTGTAAGTATAGTCTCTTTGCTTACACATGCGTTCTGATTGCTTGTCTTATGAGATCAATACGTGATCTTATTGTTTTTCATCGTTTCCCTCATTGATTGATTGGTTTTTTAGTCGTGGTGACTAAGTGCAACAGTGTAAAATATATAGATAAACAGAATGGAACATGTAAGTAAACATGCTACAAAACCCTAGACTCTATTAAAGTGTTTCTTCCTCTAATCCTGTTACCTAGATATCTCAGAACTTTATGAGACTTGTGGGTTAGAATTCCCTTTCCTCTTGACTAATAGTAGGTCAGTTTCTCCTGATGTTGAATCATAGTTTGTTTTTGTTTAGCAGAGAGATTTCGATGGGCAATTAATTAGTTTGTTCTAGTCGAAACAGATGCATGTTTTCCATACACCTGAAGAAGGACAATAATTCATGATCAATATGAAGTTGAAATGATTTTAGTAGTGAGTTTCGTAGTTTAATTGACTGGAAGATCAGGCTAGTAGTCTGTTGAAGCGTTGTTATCAGTTTTTCTTGAAAGCGCCAACCATGATCCAAACCTAAAAAGTTTTCAATTTGGAGGTTTATGGAGATTTATTTGTTAAATTCAGGTTAGTATTCATAATGGAATTCCATCAACTGGAGAAAATTTGGAAACCTGCGAGCATTGGACAGCTGTTTCGTCCTAGCATGAGGATGAAACAGCCGCCCAATGCTCTCAGGTTTCCAACGTTTCTCGAACTGATGTCAGTCCATGATGAATACCAACCTTAAATAAAAGGAGTTTGCCTACAAAGGGTATCTTTGTTTAATTATTGAAGTATTATTTTTAAATGTAGCTCATTTTCGATAGCCATAGTCATTTTGTTTTTTTTGCTTTGTTTAGGATCTTCTTCCCCTATGTGAACGAATTGCAAATATACCATTTACGGAGGCATCTATTTCGCCCAACTCGACAGACTTAAACAGTGTCACTCTTTTTGTCCCGTTTCGTCCTATGCTATGTGAGCGTGCTAACAGTGCTGATATGCTTGTTTACGCAACGCAACATTTATACGGTAAACAGAATCAGGGTGATATTAGAGGATTGACCCTTCTTTTCGAAACAAAATTCGACGGAGAACGAGTTCAGGTAAGCATTCGTGCTTTTAACCCAGTAACAAAATGTTGTGTTATCACTAAACTTAAACAGATGGGTGCCTTAACTTGTTAAATAATAGTTAACTCATGTGGTTTTTAAAAAGATGAGAAATTTAAGTAACTTCTGACGAATTGTGTTAGTTCAATCTATTGGTGGCTTATTAGTTGATCAGATATCAAACTTCCTGCCAGTGAATCCTGGATTCAAATTTACACTGATTGTTTCAATTTGACCAGTTACATGATACATTTACAATGCGTGATTCACACTGCTAAATAAGTGGGAAATTCACCAGTCACACGTTGGTGTGTGTATCATGTTCTGGACGATATCTGTTGTATGAATACTGATGATATCAATCTACTATCAAAACCTCAGTTGATGAACTGTATCTTGGAATTGTGATATACGGATTGAGAGTTAACTGTTTTGGTCAATTGACTGCAACCCTACCTTAACATGTTGCTTTTATGTATGGTTTGTAGGTCACTTTAACACTATTATTAGTTGTATTGAGGACTTGTGTTAGAAAGTGATTGAGCGAATAAAACCTAGTGCAACAGTCGAAAAAAATCGAAATTTACACAACAACCACTTGCGCGTTCGTACAGTAGGTAATTAGCCACATCTGTTGTGTCACGGTTAACGATACTATGTGGCTGTCCGAAACTCGGTAAGTAGGTGGAGTGGTATCTGAACCTGTGACTCTTTGGTTGAAAGTCGGGTGCCTAGACTAGTGCGCCACTGTTCCTAGTGTAAAAGTGATTAGTATTATGTAAAAGACTATTCCACAGAAATATCAAGATCTATTCTTATTATTCTTTCCTTGCAAGGAACCAATATACCAATAGGTCTTATTAATATTGAATAAATTCACCAGTGGATTCATTTGGATAATTCAGTGTTGTTAGAATGCAGCCTTATACCTATTTGGTAGAGATTTATTGACTGTCTGCATACCTCGATGTTATCATTGACTGACTATTCGTTATTTGAAAGTTCGACTATAAAATGGAGCTCCGACTCAGTGGTTTAAGTAGACGACTGTCAACCACTGGGTCTTGGGTTTGAATCCCCTCTATTTACCGAGGTTTGGGCAACCAGGTAGTATCATTAGCTCTCACACAATAGATGTGGCTCATTGCCTTCTGGATGGATGTGCACCAGATGGTTGAGTAGGTTGCGTTGCCGACTATAAACATCTTACTTTGATCATGTTTTTTTTATATCTGACTGTCCTAATTCATTGATGCTCGTTGTTCTTGTTTGGTTCTTTAGTCTGTACATTATTAGATGATATAAACACAGTCAATAGGCCAGCGACTCGGTCTTTCGACTTTGTTCAGTTGAATCAAGGAATCATCACCGTCCCATCATGGGGGTGGGGGGTCATATGGAAGTCATGCGTAAAGTAGCAGTCTGATTGCTGATCAGTGTAGTGAACAGTTAACCAACACGTTATTACAGTAAATTTAACGTCCACTCAGTTTTTTGTTACAATAACAGCAAATACTAATTGATACACAGGCATTTTTGCTGACTAGTCTGCCCCAGTCTCATCACCATTTAGTTTTCGGCATCACTAGGTTTTTTCCGTTCTTAGTCCGAAAGAACAAAGAACCAAATGGAGCTAGGTGAAGTAGGTACTTATTTCTTTTTCTTTGATGATGTGAATTAGTTAGAACCGTAAAAAAGATTTAAAGTTACTCTAATATAGGTTTCTATGCGATCATGTAAATTGAGCTGTAAACGGTACATATGATCGTTTTTTTTTGTAATGAGTTTAGAGTGTTTAGTTTATCATTTGGAATTCTTTTTTCCCACCGCCTACAGACCAGAACAGGTCGAAGAAGATAGAACTGTCAAAGTATTTATTAGTTACTCAACTGATAATGATTGCAGTTGAAAGTGTATGAGTATTTATTAGATATCTAGTTATGAACTTAGGGGTTAACTACTGTGGATACGAGTATCTTTGTGATAATTTTGAATTTCCTCACGTTGTTTAAGAATTAAAGTTGTCTGTTTAAAGCCACCTAATTTCTAGTAAATCCAAGCTGGATTTTAAGACGATAATTTGAATAAATATTCATCTCCAATGACTTGTTAAAACTCAAAAAGTGTAGATTTATAATAATAACAATAATAATGGTAGTAGTAATGATGATAGTCGCTTTATTCCAAAACGTATGTATAACATAATATGGAATTTTCAGTATGTAGTATTTCAACAAAGTCACTCCCAGAACAGTATTTTTAGACAAAATGATTACTACATCTGAATGATGTTGATAATAACAGTACTAAAGGTAATAGTGTGAAACAGACAACTGGTGTTGGAGAAGCGTCTGGTCTAGAATTGAGAATCAACAGGAAAGTAGAGTGCAAGTTTGGTGGTGACGGTTGCTTCAACCAGTACAAGAATCTGCAAGTCAAGCTAAGTATCTGAGGGAATATGAGGAATATGATGTACTTTTGTGCACTGAAAAGTCCATTTTTATCTAACATGACATATTTTTTTCATTTTGATACTGACAGGCGAAACGGCTAGTTGAATGCATTTCAAAATGTACAAGAGTACATGATAAGTCCAGAAGATATATTTAAATGCTTTAGACAGATTGAAAGGCGGAAAATTTTAGTAGCCTAAGGTTCAAGCAGGCCGCTGTAAGGATTCTACACTACCTTGTACCTGGAATCTAGGTGAACAATTTAAATCTATCGGTTCAAATGCTCAGTAGATTTGTCTTACAGTGAAAGATGTGGCACAAATATACTGCATTGTAGATGTCTCGGTACCTCAGCATTTAATTGTTCTGAGTTTTTTCACCCTATTTCTATTCCCATTTTTATCCGCTTATGCCATTTTATTTTGTGCACCATTTACTTATAGATTATATCAGGCGAAAAATACTTTGTTCTAATGTACCTGATGGAAGGCAGTGATAGTATATTGTAAAACATATGTTTTGGTTTTTCAAATGATTTTCTAGGTACACTTCGATTATTAAAATAAACTAATGATTTGAAATGTTAAGTGCATGAATCGCTTTAAGTGGCTGTTACGCAGTCATAATAATACTTACTCAGCATTCATCTTATCTGGTGAAAATTATGCTTACTGTATTCAGTAAGCAAAATTACCCTAAAATTGTCATTGTTTTGTCTGTTGGCTAGTAAAGGTAAGCAGTGTCAAAGTATATCTAAATCTTTTCCAAACAGCTTCATAAATCAAAGAATTCGTATCGATACTGGTCGAGAAATGGCTTAGAATGGACAGCAAGTTATGGTGAAGATGGTACTCGAGACTTTGACAGACTAAGTGCTCAGCTCCATTGTGGATTTTCCAATGACGTTGATGATTGTGTTTTAGATGGAGAAATGATGATATTTAGTAATTGGTCAAATTCAGTTATGGCAAAACCAACAAAATTTGATGTGAAACGAAGTGCATATCGAAACCCTGACGTTGATAATTATCAGCCTTGTTTCGTTGTCTTCGATATACTCTACTTGAATACACAAGTATGTTTGCTTAGTAACTATTACGTAATCATACCATTATTAATACCAATAATTTTTGAAAGATAGATGAATAAACTGACATAAATACCCACTCAAATTTGCATTCCTTCACGTTTTTATCCTTTACAACCTTACTAAAAGAAAGTAAATAAGAATATAAATGAGTAGAAAACAAAATAGATGAGTAGTAATAAGTTATTCAGGATTTAGCAGAACGCAAGGAAATTGAAGGAATACGCATCAGTGTGATAGGTTTCAAGTCACTTCATCTAAGATTTACGACAACTTATTCCTTATATCTCGAAGAAATTCTACACCTTAAACAGTTCACACTAACAGAGAATGATCTCATAGATTGGTACCATGTCCTAATGTGACCAATCTTAGAAGTTTCCCTACATGATTTCATGTCCCAGTCACCTCAGTTGGTGTAGGTTCACAAACCCATTGAGTGACGACTAGTAGTTAATTTGTGGTTAACGAACTGAAGATTTATGGCGAATTAGATGTTTTGTATAGCGTCAGTGTTATGTGGAGTTGTACTTGTGGTATGTCGATATGTTGTGCCGTCTCATTAGCTTAAACTGATCACCTCGTAGGATATAACTCAGAGTCTGTAAGGTGATGGCACCATGAATGGTGAGATTTCTGGATTTGTAGGTGGAGAGGGAAGAGTGTTCTGTAATGTCAATCATAGATATCAAATTAGAGATCAGTTCATACTCCATCTTGTGTTCGTTGAAGCTGAAAATGTCAGCTGCTGAAATCAAACTCAGTAGCACAAACTAAGTAGTTATGGCGTATAAAGGCCCCGATGTTACTTGTGAATAGTAAAACATATCATCAAATACTAAATGAAAAAAGTAGGATTGTAAATATGCCCATGAAATAAAACTGTAGAATAAGCTTCGTGGATATATAGGAAGTAACCCGATGAAATATAATTACGTAAGGTGGTATTCATCATGGACTAAAATTAATTGAAGAACCATTGAAAACCTGGGTGCACTAGATAGTCGTTCCGTCTTAGTATGGGAATCAGCAGTATGCACTAACGATTACGCCAGGAATCGACGCCCGAACTTTCATATTTTGCAGCGAGAACGTTACGATTGAGCCACTGAATAGGAATCCAATTACCTAAGTTCCATATTTTCCCTTCCCAATATTTTCAAATTGACCGAATGTGAATATAAATTCTACGATATAGTTAATTTGTCGAGGTAATACTCTTGTCCAGCCGGTTTAGATAACTGGGAAACAGATAAAATTATTTATATCCATGACAAATTTGTGCATTGTGGAGAGAATCAATTTATTAGGAATATATTTTTAATTAATGTTTACACACAATGTTGTTATTTAGTTTTTGGTAATATTTCGAGCAAAAACTAAATAACATCATGTATGTAAACATTAATTAAAAAGATAAAATTATGTGAGGTTTCAATTTTAGATTTTCCCATTGCTTTGCTTTATCTGTTCGCTTTAATGAGAAGACGTGTTTCACTAGTTAAACCTATCTGAATAAAAATACTAATCTTTGTAAGATGTTTGCATTTTTACATTCAGATTTGTGGGGCTTTGCTTCTATGTAGTCCGAGCATATACTGTCTAATTATTTTCTCAATGGGTTCAAATCCAGTTCATATACTTTAATGTTGGAAATTTTATCAACCTTTCACCATGAATATAACTTCGAATGTAGTACGCAAAGCTACATAAATGGTTACGTTTATTTCTTACTCGTTACACTTAGATTACGGTGAAATTTTAAAGTTATCCCTTGTATCTTTGTTAAAAAACTCGATGTTCTGAAGTGTAGTGAAAATCAACTTATTTGGATTTTGTTTTACAGTTGCAGAGAGATGTAGGTAGATCAAATTATGTCGTAGGGAATCACTTATGAAATATATAGTTTCCAATCAGTAAACAGGCGAATTCTCAGTTTACTATGCTGGAGAAAACTGTGCGAGATAATCTTTGGATATAAGTGTAGAACTAGGGCACTGTGGTAAAATTTAATTCCATATTAGATTTGTTTATTTAATTTATAACACACAGTGATTCAGTAGTATTTACTTGATGGATTTGATAAATTTGTGGACAACTGTAGGTTCAAACATTTGTCTAAGAAATCAAGGATGATCTTTAATCAATCATTAGCTATTCACAGTTATTCTTGTGGATTAACAAATAAGAAGCAGGAGTGTGTTCATGAAAGGGTTGATTAGTAGTCGTTTCAGTAATTACTTCTGTTGTTCACTTATCACACGAGTCAAAAGGTATCATGTTATCCAGACATTGCAACACAAGTGTTCCACCATAAGAATACTATTTTCAGTGACTTTTTATGATTACTATCAAAGGTTGACGTGCAATCTACTAAATTTGTTCTAGCCAGCATATATATATATATATATATATATATATATATATATATATATATATATATATATATATATATATATATATATATTAGTGTAGTAGACTAATCGGTGCGGGTTTAGTAAGTTGCATCTGCTTCTTTTTATTTCCTGTTTATGCAAACCCTCAACGGGCTTAAGTCACAATACTTTACAGAAAACGTCCCACCTTAGGGCGTTGCTGTGACTCTGACTTTAGTCGGTAACACATCCGTTTTTGTTCTCATCTTAAATTTTCAATTTGTGCATACTTTATAAATTGTTGTGTATAAGTTGCTTCCGTTTCCTCCAAACAGCTCAAATATTAGTTTTAAATTCATTTTTATTGTTTGTAATCCATACTTCAACCCTAGTTACTGACCTCAAAATCATTGTTGGAACGTAAGAAATTTCTCTCAGAGTTGTTTAACCTTCACTGCTTGGAATCGGATACTAACTCATCTATGGATAATGATGACGAACTAAACTTCAAACCTATACCCATTGTGAATGGTGCTTTATATCTTTCAAAATGGTATACTTCTATGGCACGTCAATCAGAAGTTGCAAAAGCTTTTAATCACTTAATTGATAATAATCAAGAAGGTCTTATAGTAAAAATAGCCAATTCTCCATCTCCCTATCTACCTGGTATCAGAAATGATAGTGGCTGGTGGAAAATTAAACCGGACTATGTACAAGGTTTACTAGAAGATTTGGATTGTTTGGTTGTAGGAGGTTACTTCTACCGTAGGGGGAATAAAGTGATAACAGGAAATCGAATTAACCATTTTTTATGTGCAGTTCGAGGTGATGAATCGAATGAAGCTGTTTCAGAAGAGAATGCCAGATTAACGAAGTTCTACACTTTTTGTAAGGTAGGTTTTCTATTGATATGTATGTTGCCGGATAGCCTGCACATTAAGTCATGATAATCATATTACACTATCACATTTACACTATCCAGCTGTGGTGTTCTGAAATGGAGTAGCAATGTTGAGTGGTTTAGACTTTCTCAAATTATTCTACTATTACAAAAGATAAAAGATCGTACACCTTACATAGTTTCCTAAAATGACGAAGTTTTGATTTATTTGTGTTTAAAACAATATTTTTTAGTCAGCAACTGTATGGTATTTATGAAAGAAAAGTTTTTTTTAATCTATCTTGACTTTTGCTGACTAATCTGAACATTGACAGTTGAATGGTTGGCGTGAAAATCGAATTGAATCAAAATTGAAATGACCTTAGCAACCACGTGCACATTCATACAGTAGGCGATAGGCCACATCTATTATCTGAGGCCTACCTGACTGCCCTGAACTTCACAGGTGGAGCTGGGTTAGAACGCATAACCTATTGGTTGGAAATCGAGTGCTTTCATCAGCGAGTCGCAACGCGAAAAACATGCGTTTGTAATTCCACAGCAGTTACAGCATGATGGAGATTAGATTCTGTTCTCAGACACTATCAACTCTTTATGAGTTAGCGATGAACTAAACTTTATCAGCATGCAATCAACAAGGAATAATTTTTGTGATATTTGAAGGCGAAAGCCGAATGTTTGATTTCACACCGTATACAATTTATTTCATTCTTCATATATGTGAACTACATCATGGTTATAAATGTTTTTACACTTGTGTTGTGATATAAAGAGGTCGAACAGGGAGTGGTTGTCGTGATTCAGTAATCTGGTGGATGACGTTGAGCGTTTGAAGCTATCGGTCTCGGGTTCGAGTCTTAGTAGGAACAACATAATTCACTAGGGTGGAGGTATATCCAGCTGACGATTCACAAATAGGACGAAATGCGCGTCCTAAATTTTATTACTAGCCGGTATACTACCCATCACTATTGTAAAAAAGGTTAATTTGCTTGTAATGTATCCTGTCAAATAGACCAGCCACTGGTCACTGGCCACTGATACGATCTACCTTTCGGAGTTATTGGTATTTGGTGCTACTATCTTTTTCTTTTTAATTATTTTGTAACTATTAATGACAGAAAGTGACCACCGTAATATATATTTGATTTAACGTACAAAAATTTCTACGACCCGTTTTCAATTATACATGGGATGAAAATGTAAATGGTACTGACAATCTCTAAAGAACTTCTATTTCTTCTTCATTGTGTAGTCATGTAAACTCTTCATTTGTACTTTATTACCTTTCACTCTTTTTCACACTGATACGTTATCAGATACTGAATTACTATTGATTTCTTCCAGCCTTGTTTAATCATTATCAAAATCTAACAGAGTCGAAATTCAACTTATGGTTTCTCTCGCTTTATTGATTCTTTTTGTTTAATTTACAATTTATTTTTATCAGGTTAAATCTGGATTGACAATAAAACAGTTAAAAGAAATCAATAGTTTATTGGGTAAACACTGGAAAGTGTACGATAGGAAACATCCCAATGCTGACTTTACTGAGTGGTTGTGTGTGAATTCAGAACGTCCAGATGTATGGATCGCTCCGAAATCATCGATTATTTTACAGGTTAGTGAATAATTTGATTTTAAACTTCATCTGTATATGTCAATTATGTGTGTAAGTAGATTAATCTCATCTGTACTTTATTATTCATGTAGTAAGACATTGAATTGTAAAATTCAGGAGACTTTTCGTCTACTTCTGCTACTGACCGGCCTAGTGAAGAATATTATCCAGAATCAAAGTTTACAGGCATAATGATTGAAACTTAGTTGGGACTTTTGACGTGAAAACGTATATTCAACTGATTACCGTTAATAGTTTTCTTGAGTTTGGTTAAATCAAGAATGGCTAATATGACTTTTTTTCTAATTATAACAACTGATAGCAGAAATTTCTTTTAGTTCTTTGAAACTACTAACGATCTTTCTGTTTTATGCATATCAGCATTGTGTCTTGTTAAAGTGTTTTTGAAAATTGTCCACGACAAAAGATTCTTGGTTTTTGACACGTACCTTAAGGCGAAATTCAAGGGTTAGAATGAAACGCTAAAAATTATTTTTCGTATTAAAATGCATAACATTTTACTGACTATTTTATTAATTTACAGCTTCATGGGGCTGAGCTGACACAAAGTGATTCATATTCTGCTGGACTGACTCTCCGATTTCCTCGTGTAGTAGCTATACGTCACGATAAAAGTTGGCGTGATTCTTTGTCTATGAAGGAATTAATTCAACTAAATACTGACACAAAGGTACACGTATATTTTTATTTAGTTATCTGGGTGTAATCGAGTTTTTGCGTTATCATACTAAATAGTGTGGTTTTTCTTCACCTGAGTATTTCTGATTGCACATATGGTTTCGAGCTTATACTCCGAAACACCAGAAGACAGTGAGTTGTTGCGAATCTGTAAGAACAATTCATTTCTCGCACAAAAGCCACCTAATTATCTTACGTTAATCTAGCTGTAAAGTTCAGCATACATTCCTAAAAGAAACCTAACTATAATGTGAATTATTTACTTGATGAATATTTGTAAAACATTTACAACATGAACTGCAAATATCTATCTCAAAAGCAGGTGGAGCTGTGGCTCACTAGCTTTAGCACTCGAAATTCAACCAAATAGGTTCCGACTTTGAGTCCTACTTTACCTATTTCGGCTTGGATGATCCGGTAGTATTATAAATCCCCACACAATAGTGATGGCTCATAATCTTGTAAGTCAACTCCTGTACTGGGTAGATAAATGACACACATCTCGAAAACAAAATCTGTTTAACTGGTGGTTCTGTAAAACAGTTGTTGATACTAGCTTTGTGCTATCCTCTACTCATTAGGTATAGGATTGAGTTTACAATGATATTGTTGTGCATTTATAACTTGATGACTTTGTCACTTCGCTTCCAATCATTAGTTAGTTAGTCGGTTAGTTACTATTAGCTATTAGGTAGTTTTTGTAAGCAGTTACATACAGTCTCTGAGTCACTTGTCCGATTGTGTTCTCACTTTTCATTTGAATGCCAGTTTCTGTGGGATTTTTGTTGATGCAACATGTCACATCATACTCAAGGTTTTGTACAGTTGCTTTTTCTGTCTGTCTTCATATGGGGTACGCTTTGTGAAGTGAAAGTAGTTGTTTATATATATATATATATATATATATATATATATATATATATATATATATATATATATATATGTATTTCGAAGTACATGGCTAGATTATACTGTGATCTTGCATACGAAGTTTATGCTCACCGACATTTAAGTGGATTAAAATGCAGTAACTATGTTGGAAGTTTTCAATTACAGTTGGTGAAACATCTGACATGAATGTTGTTTGGGTCTTCGACACATGAAGTAGCTTTTTTTATCGCATTAATTTTGATCAATAACATTTCATTTATTTGTAATGACTGAAATTCTACCCTTTACATTTTATTACTTGTTGTTTTGATAAATTAGGGTAAATTGGCAACTAAACGTTTGTCAATTGAACCATCATTCTCTGGACTTACAGATATTGAAGGTCGGCAATCGTGTACAGATATGAATGATATTGAGAATAGTTCATATATGAATCAAAGTAGTGGATATTATTCATTAGATGAAAATACAGAACAAAAACAGCAATCAGTTGAACAGTATGTCGAGATAGATCAACCCTTGGCTACATCATCACCAGTTAAACAACGAAAGGTTGAGGCTTCTAGTGGTGAACATGTATGTTATCTTTTGTATTGTGTACGTTACAAGCATTATTTATGGTGTTATTCATCTAAATGTCTGATTTATATTCTTTTTAATAATAGTAGAAAGTACTTCATTGTATTTAGTGCTTTCTGCTTACTTAGTAACCATATGTAAGCTTAAAAAGAGTCTTCGCTCTTTCAGATAAAGAAAAGAAGAGGGAGAATGTTTACTATAGCCACGTATAATTTAACAGAAATGTTTCAATGTGCCCTATTCAATATTGGTTTATCAGTCGTATGGTCGATAATACCACTAATTTCTTTTGTCTTGTGGTTAGTGTCGTGATGATTTATGTGTACAGTTTTTGTGAGAGGTTGTCTATAAGTTGGAGTTGTGCAGCAACTATTGTAATTTCCTATGTGTTCACGAAGTATCTGTCTCTTGGCATCGTGGTGTTATAAATTTGTGGGAGCTATCTAAGGTGTGATATCTTATGGGTTTTTGTCACATGGTCCAAACAATTGGTTCATGGTTCACATCATACGCATCTACAAACGCTTGGGAAATCAAGCAGAGCATTTGTCCAGGATGAATAAGAACAGCGTTTCCTCTTTGAATACTGTTTGTGTCTGTATGAATGGTGAGACATGGTAGGTAAACCAACTGTATGCACATGTTCAAGACTCTAATATTCACCGAACATTTATTAGTAGTTTTCTCATAATTCACAGCATTAACAACTACTAAAATCATTGGATCCACTATCACCTTACACATCTAAAATCCAAGAACAACGAACCCGATGAAATCAGAGCGGTTTCAAGTCTGGTTGTAAGTGTATTGATTGTACACTAATCGCACACAGCTATAATTAGAGAAAATTGACTGTAACAATATTCTAGGCCTATGGCTGCTAACACTGTATATTGCTGAAGTATGTCTAATCAGATGTTTGTGGCTATGTTAAACTTCATGGTGGGGCGACTGTCGAGTAGTGTTTTCTAAAGTTATCTGCTCGATTCTATTTACTTCTATTAGTTTGTATTGCATTCTTGCTGGGGATTATGTTATTCTATTTCAGATCTCTAAAATTTGTTCTCATCCCCCTGAAGATTCTTCAGGTAACGTTATAGTATATGGATGATAAAGTCCCATTAGGTAAGAATGCTGAGAAAAAAATACTGGTGAGTGTTAAATACTTTTGGTGAAGTGGTTTAGGACTGTCAGTGGTGCATATGTATTGATGCCGCACTGGCGTCCTGCATGCGTGTCTCAGAAACATAGCATGCATGACTCGAAATTCCACAGTTCTAGCAAGAGACGCACGTTGTCTAATCATGTATAAGATATGAGTGTTCTCTTTGAAAGAGATGTGGAAGGAAACCTGCATAACCATGTTAGGGAGGAAGAAGAAACAAGACAAGACAAGGAATGGATCTCGACAGATACATGGAAGCTGATAGAGGAGGGAGAGGAAGATGGTGATGGTGATGGTGAAGGAGAAGATGAACCAGTGTAGTGCAGTGCAGTGCATTGCAAGGATGAACAACGGAAAGAGGAACTGAATACAACCTAACCTATAAAACACTACACTGGACAAGGAAGTGAAGAAGAGTGCTCGCAAAGACAAAAGACACTTCTACAACACATTGGCAAGTGAAGCAGAACAGGCTGCTGGTGGTAGGAGAGACAGATACCTGACCACATTATATCAAATAACCAGGTTATTTACTGTCTGGGAGGGCAGAGATCAACACAGATGAAACCAATGAGAGATAGTGAAGGAAAGCTAGTTAGCAAAGAGGAGGAACAAAGGAAATAATGGGCTGACCACTCCACAAAACTCTTGAGTCGACCACCACCCCACCACCTGCAACTCGTCCAGAAATACCACCAGCAGCCCAGCCACAGAACTACCAGTGAACACAAGCCCTCCGACAAAAGCAGAAGTAAAGTTCTGAACGCCGTAAAGTGGCTGAAATCCGGGAAAGCAGCAGGACCAGATGCAATTCCGCCAGAAGCACTGAAAACAAACGCACAGACAACAGTGGACATGCTCACACCACTATTGTAGAAGGTTTGCAAGGAAGTAGGGAAGAGGACCTTCCGATTGGAAGAAGAGCTACCTTGTCAAACTCCCGAAGAAGGGCGACCTAAGTCTTTACAAGAACAACAACTGGTGCAGAATCATGCTCCTGTCCCTGTCACTGCAAGCTAAATATTAAGCCACATCATTCTGGAGAGACTAAAAAACGCGCTGGATTCAAAATCACGACCGGAACAGGCTAGATTCAGGAAGTACAAATCATATGCAGATCAAATTGTGACACTACGCTTCACAACATCACATAACAGAGCATAGAATGACAGTCAAACCTCAAACTTCATCGATTTTGAAAAGGCCGTCGACAGCGTCAACCGAGAAGTAATTTGGCAGGCAGCTGCTTCAACACTACCGGTCTAGTGCCACAAACCTTTATTAACCTCATTCAACATGATGAGGCTACATGCCAAGTGATTCACAATGGAAAGCTCAATGACGCATTTGAAGTGGAAGTGGGGACAGGAGTAAGAGAAGGTTACCGTCTACTATCACCGATCATCTTCTTGATTGTGGCCGACTCGACTGGATCATGCAATAAACTGTGAGGAGTTGTGAGAAGAGGGGCATACGCTAGCTGGACCAATGAAAAGACCCTAGAAGATTTGAATTTCACCGCTGATGATGATTTATGTCTAATGCCTTGTCGCACAAACTCGGAGATGTACATGTGAAAACCAACAAGTTGGGAGAAGAGGTGAAGTGAGGTGAGGTGAGGGGAGTTAGTGATGACGCGACTTCCTTCAGGAGAACGTAGACAAGACACAGGTAGAGGTGATGAAGATACCCAACTAACAATAACAACAAACACCAATCACCATCAACGGGAGAAGTCTAAAGGAAGTTGTCTCTTTCACCTACGCCTACCTAGGCAAGGCAGCATCGTTTCAATAACAGGTGGCACAGATGTGAGGAGATCAAAGCAGCCAGGATCGGAAAGACAGCAAGACAGGACTTCCCGCATTAACATGAAACCAGTGTGCAGATCTACTACACTACACTCAGCATAAAGCGTGAACAACATCCAGATTTTCAACACTAATTCAGTCAAGTAAGTCAGTGCTTCTATGTGATGGTTGAGAGACTTGGTGGCGCGTCACGAAAAGCATTTCCAACAAACTACAGACAGACATCATCAACACCTGCCGCCTACGCTCACTCGATATTGACACTGAAGATCAGATGGATTTCCAGAATAATAAGAATAAGCAACAAGGAACTGTGGCTGGCTGGCTGACTGGCTGGCTGACAACGAACCAACCAATAACCCATCACCCAACAAATATGCAGTTGAAGAAAGTGGAGATGGATGGGATTTGATTGGACATACACTGAGAAGACCGATTGAGGACATCACGCATCAGGGCAAGCCAGGCCAGGTCAGGCCGTCGAGTGGAATTCAAAGGGGAAACGACGAGTTGGGCGTCCGAGGTGAGGAGAGGCGAGGCTAGGCGAGGGTGACATGTAGGAGATGGTGTGAGGAAGAAATGAAAGCTTCTGGGTGGTTGTGGAGTCAGGTTCGAAAGACTGGAGAGAACAGAGTGCAATAGAGACGTGCTACTGAAGCCCTATGTTCCACTAGGGACCCAAAGGATAAATAATAAATAATAATAATAATACGAATGTTGAGAGAACTGCGTTTCGTCAGTTTTTTTCACCTGACAGGACTCTGTCACCTGGATACTTCAGATCAATCAAGGATTATCTTGTGATAAGATCAATCCTTGTGGTCAGATGATGTGAAGGATACCTTCATAAGTGCGTGTTTTATGACGTTGAATGAAAATCGGGTGTAGTAATTCTTGACGGACAAAACTTGACGTGCACTGTTCACCTGATAACTCACTATAGGCTGTGATATGATCGCAGATCTTCAAACACAAAGTCTTCAACAGGCTGATGTACTTGTTCGGCATGCTGTCATAGTATCTCTTTGTCGTTAAGTTCTAATATCCCCTTCTGATCGAGTAATACAGCTAGGGTTGGGTGTTTGTAAGTGTGCATTTGTTTCGAAACCTGGTGGGGGTAAATTTCTGGTCGGTAGTCCCACAACTATGTCTGAAACCTGCTGTTTTTCTCGCGTTTGCTGTTCCAGAGCTCCACTCAGACGTCTAGTGATTATTGATCCTAGAATCTTAGACATAATTTTTTTCAGGCTGATTCCCTTATGGTTATTCCAAAAGGAGGGATCATATCTGAGTCTCATACTCTAGGTAAAACTTCAGTCAACCTGATCAATCATGCACATTCGACGTCCTAAATTACTTCCGGTACTTGTTCGTCTGATCCTGTTACCCTTCCTTGTTTCAGATTGTCTATAGCTTTCTCAACTTCTGAAAGTGTTGGGGGTCCTACCTTGGTGTTTCATTCAGGATCCGAATGGATAACGGATGACGAAACAGTTGCTGGAGATGACTTAAACTGTTCCATGAGGTGTTGTTCGCATTATCCCAGTCATCTCCCATTCGAGCAAATCGTAGACCCATCCTTTCCTTCATAGTTTCACTAATCATAACCTTTTTACCCTAGTTTTCTTGTCAAGTCTATCCACTGTTACCTGTTACCACTAGCTTTTCCATCTCCTTAGCTTTCGCTACCTACTATTGCTTGCAGTTATTGCATAGATTTCTTGTCAGCTTAAGCTTGGATTGGTTCTGCTCTTCATTGTGCTTGGAGATGGCAGAAATGTGTTCCTGTGCACCCATTAATTTAGAAGAATTGCTGAGATCCACTTGTCTTTTCTAATTACCGGTCACTTTCGGCCTTTCTAGAAGTTTGATAGACTTGTTCGCTCTTTTCAAATCTGATCTTGAAGCTGTATCGTGGGCACCAATATACTGCGAGTGTACTGTTTTTAGGGCCGACCTTTCGAAACTTCAGCCCCATAGAGAAGGCATCATCAGCGCGGTATTGCTAGTCATCTGCGGTAAACATCTTACTGCTGTCACACCCCATCCAACCGGAAGTACGACTTCGCTGTACTACAGTGTAGCAGTCTACATTATAACGGTAATCGCTTTTTGTCTAACTACTGTCTAGCTGACCTTCCTGGTATGGTAGAACCTTGACGGAATCACCGTCCCGTCAGCATAGCTAGCCCGTTGGGTTACTGTGATATACAAGCCCGATCACCACTTCAAAATAGCAGATATCGGTCGGGATTCAGTAGTGAAGACATTTTGTAACCTAAATCTTAAGGTTAGCACAAGCCAATGGGTTTTGAAACCTCATCCAAACTGATTTATACGAGGTGACTCATTCTAGCTATTTCTGATTACAATGAGGGCGAAAACGGCTTGAACGTGAATTGACTAAGACTCTTCTCAACGATCGCGAGCAGTGGTAAGTGACGAGAACAGCGAGGTGGCGACATCAGAATTAGGTACTACTCGATCGTTGTTTCGTCTTGCTGACGATACTAGGTTTAAGAAAATGATGGTTAGCGAAACCGTCGCCAAAAAGTATGGGACTATGATAACTTATCAAAACAGGGGGCTAGAATGTTGAACAGACCACTTTTAAGAACACCTTAGTTCACATATAGCCACATTTCACTTGTAGCAATCGGTCATCCGATTCTCTTTTATTTTGAGAAAGGTGTTTCAAACCTGGAACAAAGTAAAGCAGTAGGACCTGACGGTCTGCCATCAGAAGTTCATAAAAAAGGAGGCAGGAAATCACGGAAGTACTGGGTAGTGTATGGGAATTGGAGGTAGTCCCATCGAATCGGCCTGCTTCACTATTGTTCCGGTCCATAAGAAAGGAGATAAGTCTTCCTGTGACAATCATATGAAGATCACTTTGACTAACATCGTGTTCAAGATCCTTGAGTCCATAGTTATGCGATGCCTAACTGGAGCTTTACGACAGTAAACTTGGAAAAATCGGACAGGCTTCAGACCTAAGCCAGAGTGCATCTATCAGATCTTCAGCGTTCGACGTGTTTTGGAACGCGGGTATGCTTACCGTCTGCCAACACTTGCCATATTCCTTGACCTGAAGGCGGCATTCCACTCTGTCGAATTGGCATTAGGGTTTACTCTAATGATCGTTTATTCATGTATTAGTCTTAGTAGACTACTGTATCAATAAAACTGGTCTGGTAGAAAGCAACTTTTAGTACTGAACAAAAAACCAGTGACTTTTAGATACAAATTGCGTAATAAACTACTGCAAACCAAGAAGCCCTACACTATCATTTGGAAGCGTAGAATTTTCTGAATTGTCGTGTGGGAGAGCATGATTTTTGTTTACTAACAAAGAAAAAATTAGGAGAGATATCTTCTATGGTTTTATTGTCTTGCTAATCATCTAAAGGTGACGGGTTTCTAATCAGGGTTACAATCAAGTGATTTAGTAATAAAGTGGTAATCTTGAAATCTGACAGTACCCGTGTTCCGTACTGCAGTTGACTGAGGATTTTCAATCAAGGATAAAAAAATCTAACTTATAGACTTCAGGATCAAAATTTAACTTGATAGAGTTGAATAAGCTGAGCACTGGGTAAAAGGATATAAATAAAATATGTTTGTAAAATTGCAAGCTACAAACTACCGAATGTTACATTCGGTAGCTCGTACAGATTTTAATCTCTGAAGAAGCGATTTTTCACGAAGTTGCGAAATGTCAGGAATTTATTTTCCTACTTCATTGGGATTCTACAGATATATTTCATTGATTAACCTTTACTATTTATCAGTAGTTCTTAAGGTGTTTTAAAACTAGTCACTTGATGATCTAGTCTAGACAGTTTTAGATATGCTTCTAATTTCGATTTTTCTTAGAAGACATCCATAATGATCACTTTTTTAATAAATGTAAATTTAATCGTTTATTGTTTTCAGAGTTTTAAGGTTTGTTCTTGGACTCTATTTTTATATGAAGTAAGTTCTGATGAAGTTGCCTCACCTAGTGATGAAATGTCCAAGAACAAACCTCAAAGATGGGAGAACACTAAGTGATTATCATTGTTGACCTTAGATACAAGTCTTCTCCACTACTTAAAAAATGTAAATTTGTTAATTACAGACTATGTTGTGTTTATTTTAGTTGAATTATTTTGAAAATCGTGAAATATGCCTTTGGTTATCAAATGATATTCACTTGGAGAAGAAAGTGGAGTATGAAAATCATATTCGTGTTCATGGTGGTCTTGTTGTACAAAATCCGTCTCATAATACTTTTTGTATTGTTATTGACAAGGTTACATTAAAAGTAAGCATAAATGCATATTTTTTAAGAACGTTTCTTTAAAAGTCAATTATAATATATGAAGTCATATCCTCTTTTTATTCGTCGATCGGCGAAAAAACGTCTGCCGGCTTGAACTTTAGTCTATCAAACTTTTGACTTACTTTGATGGACATTATTTTGATTTGAAAATATCACAATCAACTATTATCATTTATTATTTATCCTTTGGGTCCCTAGTGGAACATAGGGCTTCAGTAGCACGTCTCTATTGCACTCTGTTCTCTCCAGTCTTTCGAACCTGACTCCACAACTACCCAGAAGCTTTCATTTCTTCCTCACACCATCTCCTACATGTCACCCTCGCCTAGCCTTGCCTCTCCTCACTTCGGACGCCCAACTCGTCGTTTCCCCGTTGAATTCCACTCGACGGCCTGACCTGACCTGCCCTGATGCATGATGTCCTCAATCGGTCTTCTCAGTGTATTTTCAATCAAATCCCATCCATCTCCACTTTCTTCAACTGCATATTTGTTAGGTGATGGGTTGTTGGTTGGTTCGTTGTCAACCAACCAGCCAGCCAGCCACAGTTCCTTGTTGCTTATTCTTATTATTCTGGAAATCCATCTGATCTTCAGTGTCAATATCGAGTGAGCGTAGGCGGCAGGTGTTGTTGATGTATGTCTGTAGTTTGTTGGAAATGCTTTTCGTGACGCGCCACCAAGTCTCTCAACCATCACATAGAAGCACTGACTTACTTGACTGAATTAGTGTTGATGTTGTTCACATTTTATGCTGAGTGTAGTGTAGTAGATCTGCACACTGGCTTCATGTTAATGCGGGAAGTCCTGTCTTGCTGTCTTTCCGATCCTGGCTGCTTTGATCTCCTCACATCTGTGCCACCTGTTATTGAAACGATGCTGCCTTGCCTAGGTAGGCGTAGGTGAAAGAGACAACTTCCTTTAGACTTCTCCCGTTGATGGTGATTGGTGTTTGTTGTTATTGTTAGTTGGGTATCTTCATCACCTCTACCTGTGTCTTGTCTACGTTCTCCTGAAGGAAGTCGCGTCATCACTGACTCCCCTCACCTCACCTCTTCTCCCAACTTGTTAGTTTTCACCTGTACATCTTCGAGTTTGTGCGACAAGACATTAGACATAAATCATCATCAGCGGTGAAATTCAAATCTTCTAGGGTCTTTTCATTGGTCCAGCTAGCGTATGCCCCTCTTCTCACAACTCCTCACAGTTTCTTGCATGATCCAGTCGAGTCGGCCACAATCAAGAAGATGATCGGTGATAGTAGACGGCAACCTTCTCTTACTCCTGTCCCCACTTCCACTTCAAATGCGTCACTGAGCTTTCCATTGTGAATCACTTGGCATGTAGCCTCATCATGTTGAATGAGGTTAATAAAGGTTTGTGGCACTAGACCGGTAGTGTTGAAGCAGCTGCCTGCCAAATTACTTCTCGGTTGACGCTGTCGACGGCCTTTTCAAAATCGATGAAGTTGAGGTTGAGGTGAGTTGACAGGCAATTCTATGAGTAGCGTTGCAGTTTGATCTGCACATGATTTGTTTTTCCTGAAGCCAGCCAGCCAGCCAGCCAGCCAGCCAGCCAGCCAGCCAGCCAGCCAGCCAGCCAGCCAGCCAGCCAGCCAGCCAGCCAGCCAGCCAGCCAGCCAGCCAGCCAGCCAGCCAGCCAGCCAGCCAGCCAGCCAGCCAGCCAGCCAGCCAGCCAGCCAGCCAGCCAGCCAGCTAGCCAGCCAGCCTGTTCCGGTCGTGATTTTGAATCCAGCGCGTTTTTTAGTCTCTCCAGAATGATGTGGCTTAATATTTAGCTTGCGGTGACAGGGACAGGAGCATGATTCTGCACCAGTTGTTGTTCTTGCAAAGACTTAGGTCGCCCTTCTTCGGGAGTTTGACAAGGTAGCTCTTCTTCCAATCGGAAGGTCCCTTTCCCTACTTCCTTGCAAACCTTCTACAATAGTGGTTTGAGCATGTCCACTGTTGTCTGTGCGTTTGTTTTCAGTGCTTCTGGCGGAATTGCATCTGGTCCTGCTGCTTTCCCAGATTTCAGCCACTTTATGGCGTTCAGAACTTTACTTCTGCTTTTGTCGGAGGGCTTGTGTTCACTGGTAGTTCTGTGGCTGGGCTGCTGGTGGTATTTCTGGACGAGTTGCAGGTGGTGGGGTGATGGTCGACTCAAGAGTTTTGTGGAGTGGTCAGCCCATTGTTTCCTTTGTTCCTCCTCTTTGCTAACTAGCTTTCCTTCACTGTCTCTCATTGGTTTCATCTGTGTTGATCTCCGCCCTCCCAGACAGTAAGTAACCTGGTTATTTGATATAATGTGGTCAGGTATCTGTCTCTCCTACCACCAGCAGCCTGTTCTGCTTCACTTGCCAATGTGTTGTAGAAGTGTCTTTTGTCTTTGCGAGCACTCTTCTTCACTTCCTTGTCCAGTGTAGTGTTTTATAGGCTAGGTTGTATTCAGTTCCTCTTTCCGTTGTTCATCCTTGCACTGCACTACACTACACTGGTTCATCTTCTCCTTCACCATCACCATCACCATCTTCCTCTCCCTCCTCTATCAGCTTCCATGTATCTGTCGAGATCCATTCCTTGTCTTGTCTTGTTTCTTCTTCCTCCCTAACATGGTTATGCAGGTTTCCTTCCACATCTCTTTCAAAGAGAACACTCATATCTTATACCTGATTAGTCAACGTGCGTCTCTTGCTAGAACTGTGGAATTTCGAGTCATGCATGCTATGTTTTTGAGACACGCATGCAGGACGCCAGTGCGGCATCAATACGTATGCACCACTGACAGTCCTAAACCACTTCACCAAAAGTATTTAACACTCACCAGTAATTTTTCTCAGCATTCTTACCTAATAGGACCTTATCATCCATATACTATAACGTTACCTGAAGAATCTTCAGGGGATGAGAACAAATTTTAGAGATCTGAAATAGAATAACATAATCCACAGCAAGAATGCAATACAAACTAATCGGAGTAAATAGAATAGAGCAGATAACTTTAGAAAACACTACTCGACAGTCGCCCCACCAAATATGTAACCATGAAGTTTAACATAGCCACAAACATCCGATTAGACATGCTTCAGCAATATACAGTGTTAGCAGCCATAGGCCTAAGAATATTGTTACAGTCAATTTTCTCTAATTATAGCTGTGTGCGATTAGTGTACAATCAATACACTTACAACCAGACTTGAAACCGCTCTGATTTCATCGGGTTCGTTGTTCTTGGATTTTAGATGTGTAAGGTGATAGTGGATCCAATGATTTTAGTAGTTGTTAATGCTGTGAATTATGAGAAAACTACTAATAAATGTTCGGTGAATATTAGAGTCTTGAACATGTGCATACAGTTGGTTTACCTACCATGTCTCACCACTCATACAGACACAAACAGTATTCAAAGAGGAAACGCTGTTCTTATTCATCCTGGACAAATGCTCTGCTTGATTTCCCAAGCGTTTGTAGATGCGTATGATGTGAACCATGAACCAATTGTTTGGACCATGTGACAAAATCCCATAAGATGTCACACCTAGGGTAGCTGTTAAAGGTGGACATCATGGTAACCGCTTGAAATCTCAGTGTGCTGTGCTGGTGATTGTTGGCTGAGTGAGTATATCGGTGGAGGTCATTGACTTTTCAGGGAAGGGTTTGGAGAATCGACATCCATTTTGTGTACAGATGCCTCTCTTGCTGGCACTTTTGCGCCATATCTTCTCACTTCTTTTGGAATGTGGGCAGCTTAGCCATTTAGCTTTAGACGTTGTGTGGACATTCGATTTTCCTATGTTTGCTTTTGGTTTGATCGAGAGCACAGAATAAGACACACACTGGCCAATTGTCTTCTCGACTACCTCCGCCAACAGGCGTCATTCTGTCTCTCGTTTTCTGTCGAAGAATAAGTTAATTTATTTATTGATATTTTTTTGTGCTTTAAAGTTTTTGTAGCTGTTAGATTTGTTTTTTCGGGCTAGGTTTGCTATTCGTTTGTCCAACCTCCCTTCTTTATCCGAGGTTAGGACCGGCTGGTAACTGGTGTACTAGTTACCTAGGCGAGGTTGTCACAATTCATGAAGAGGTTCAATCAGTTATGCTCAACATTACTCATTCCACACAGTATTTGAACGAAATAATAGGCACTAGTGTCAGCAATGCCACATGAAGCTTAATAACGAAGTGCTGGATACCGGCAGTCAAAATTTTCCACGGAACATACATTTAAAATTTTTCTTTTCAATGCAACTATTACCTCTGAACGTTTCATGTACTCCTGCACACTTTGAGATGCATTCAACTAGCCGTTTCGCCTGTCAGTCTCAAACTGAAAAAATATATATCATGTTTGATAAAAATGGACTTTTCAGTGCACAAACGTACATCATATTCTTCATATTCCCTCAGATACTTAGCTTGACTTGCAGATTCTTGTACTGGTTGAAGCAACCGTCACCACCAAACTTGCACTCTACTTTCCTGTTGATTCTCAATTCTAGACCAGACGCTTCTCCAACACCAGTTGTCTGTTTCACACTATTACCTTTAGTACTGTTATTATCAACATCATTCAGATGTAGTAATCATTTTGTCTAAAAATACTGTTCTGGGAGTGACTTTGTTGAAATACTACATACTGAGAATTCCATACTATAGCGTACATACTTTTCGGAATAAAGTGGTTGTTATTGTCATTGTTATTATCTTTATTGTGATTTAGTTTTTTCAGTAAATAACATGAACGAATGTCTAGTTTATTCACTTGTCTAGCGACATGTTTACTTCCGTTATATCGGACATGGAGTTGTCTTCCTAGTCTTAGTTATACCGGCTCTTCGCTGTTCTATTGATTATCGCCACGTAACGTGATCCAAGTAACCTATGAGATTCGCAGTTCGTATGTGCTTTTTTTTAGAACTTTATAAGTGCCCGTACTTAAAAGGAATGAGAGCCAATCAATTACAAATCTTTCATTTTGTCTGCATTTGTTCTCATTCTTTCACATCCTGATTTGGGGGGGGGAGGGGGTGGTGACGGTAAACGCCATCCTAGCGACTGATATAACAACCAGTTACGCTTCTGCATTCTGTGGAAAACTACCTTCGGATCCAAACTACCGCAGCATTGATTGGTTATCTCAGCAGTTGCTAAGGTGGCCCTGCAGTTATTTGATGTTAGAGACCGCTATGGTAACAACTAAAATAGTCTATTAGATTTCCGTATTTCGATTGGAAAGGCTGGTATAAATAAAATAAAGAAGTTGAATTGGTTATTTCATTTGTTGCTAGGGTGACTTTTAGAATCACTCCTGATTTGCCCACCTACACTTTAAGACCTTGTATACGTCATATATTTTGCTAGACAAATGATATATAGTGCATTATGTGGGCTTGCCCTCAATTTGTTTTCTCTCTGGGTCAGCTGGTGTGACATTAGTGGCTGCAGTAACAACACATACATATTAACTCGGGCATCTCTTCAATCCATCTGGTCAAGAAAGTAAGTGTAAAAATAAATGCACATCGCCTTTAGTGGTTATAACTTTTCAACAGTGCATGTAAAAACAAAATATTTGAAGAAAAATCTTCAAATTAAGCTGGGCCAGTTTCAAAATATGATAAATTGTAATTGGACAGAAATCTAATGAAGTGTCATATGTTGAACAGATTTTAGCTTGAACGAAGTTTAATATTTGTCTTACCTGTGTAGCCTTTTAAAGCTATCAAAAGATATCTAGTTTACAGGGGACGTATATCACCTCACCAACCTAAGAATAACACCATACTATATGCAGTCATATAGATACATTTATAGGCTTCATGAAGTAGCTATTCTCGTTTGTTTTAATACTAAGTGTAGCGCATAATTCAGTCTTCTTTGACCAAATAAATATTATCTTCAACACCCGAAGATCGACAATTGTTGTCCTTATAAGCTTTGCAGAGTTTAAAAGGTGGTGTTGTTAACTTTAATCTCTTTTCCATTACTTTAGGTTAAAAATTTGTTGAATTATTCTAGTACTTCGCGTAAACGCTCTTGTCCTACCGAACACAACATAGTTCGCTTAAGTTGGTTAGTTGCTTGCATCAATAAACAGTCATTACTGCCGTGGAAACCAAAGGATATGCATTCAATGAGTTCTTCAGTGGCTGACAAGTTAGCTCAAGAATACGACAAATTTGGCGACAGCTTCAGTGAAACAACTACACCGGAGGAACTAAACTTGATTTTCAATGATATGTCATGTTTCTCTGAAGCCGCAGAGGAGAAGAAAGCAATATCGAAACTAAGTGTAAGTCCACTTAGGTCTACTTCACATATTTACTAGATATATTTGTGCATACTTTGAGCATGCATTCTCCAGCCATTGTAATAAATCACAGCGGAATAGTATAGTTTACTGACACGATTTATTGTCCATAGTCATATCAAGATATCTTAAAACGTAATCCAGTAAATAATACCATTCCGCTGTGTGATATATTTAATAAATCATACTGCTTTCTCTGTACTCTTGAGCAGTGTGATGAATATCCAGCTAACGTCTTGTACTTCTGTTATGATTTCATGGGTGACTAGCCGAATAGGTAGAATTGGGTGATAGGTTCAACCAACGTTTTCAATCTGGTCAGGATAGTGAAGCTTGCCAGTCAACTTATTTCAACTCGGAGTTTTATGGGGATTGATTGATTTCAAGATGATGTTTGTCACCTACTGAAATCACTTGGTGAACCATTGGTAACCTGAGATCATTGGACAACTGTTTCTTCCTTTTATGGGACTCTTCAGCAGTGCGCATCCGCAACCCCTCTGGGGTCTGTGGTGAATACTACCTTAGGACTTTCATTAAATTCCTTTTAGATGTAAGAAAAATGAATAATTAAGCAGAAAATGTGCATTAAACATTCACACATCTCTGTGCAGAGTATGTCTAGTAAATCTCGGCTTTGATCTAGTAAGAATAAGTACTTTTGGTTTGACCGGTAGTGTTACTTAACAGTCTACAGGCTATACGAACCTAACGCGCAAATGAATCGACTCTAAACGCTAATCAGAACGTCAACCACCACCACAACAATACCATCGGCACTCGAAGACAAGAAGAAAAGACAGGGAGATTTTAATATCTCAACAAAAGTCAAAACAGTTGAGAGCAAAGCTGAGTATATACATTCTAAACGACCTTGGCAACACTAAATTCACTAATAGGTTAAAAGAGTTAACGAGCAATAAGAGTTTAACCTTCAAAAGCAGGTGGGGGAAAATTTTCTAGCAACTGTTGGAGAACAGCAATGATAAAGTTATTTTATAGTTGTAGGGAAGTATAAGGCAAAAGTTAGGCAAAATTATGGGTATATAGCAACTTTGTATCGAAAAGAAAACCTCCTGGCTAGCAGTGCTTTCTTAGAAAGTTGGCAAATGCATTGAGCAATTCATTCACGAAAGTAGTATAATTGTTTTTATATGATACCGTCGTTGCTCGGACCAAATTGATCCGTCTCTATTGGCATATGGGCTCCTTGTGCGGAGGCCTCGATTTTGCCTGCGTTGTAATTATATTAATGATGGATCGTGGCTAGCAGTAGAATCCAGGATGCGCATTTCGTCCTGTTTGGGACTCGTCAGCTGGATGTACCTTCTGATATATAATTACAATGCAGGCAATATTGAGGCATCCGCACAAGGAGCCCGTATGCCAATAGAGACCGATCAATTTGCTGCAAACAACGACGGTATCATATAAAAACAATTATACTAAACTATACCCGTCACACAAAAAGTGGCTATCGTGGCTCGGTGGTGTAGTGGATAACGCCCTGCCGTTTGAAGCGATCGCTCCCGAGTCCGAATCCCGGTGAGAACAACATCACTCACTGGGAAGCAGGCACCTCCAGCTGACGAGTCCTTAATAGGACGAAATGCGCATCCTAGACTCTACTACTAGCCACGATCCATCATTAATACATTTACGAAAGTAGTTTACAATTACTAAGACTGAAGATCTTTGAAGATATTCAGTGGTGCCATATAATTTCACCAAAATCATAAACTGGCTTCTGACCATTTAGTACAATCGTATGAAATTTCATTGCTTTCTTATCCCAAAGAAGACAACAACGCACACACTTTTGGAGCTATGGCTGATCGATTTACGCGATTCGCCATGGGTTTGAATCTCGCTGCATCTACCAAGGTTAGGGAAGCCAGGTAGTATCATTAGCCTTCACACAATAGATGTAGTTGATTGTCTACTTCACTAACGTGCATGTGGTCGCTGAGTGCATTTCAACTCGACCCACACACTTGTCTCCGGGTTTTCTAAGCTACTAGACAACCCAAATTTGTATCGGCTTAAAATTGTGACCCACTAGATGAAATTCGACCTCTTAGAGCAGTGAGCTATAGCTTTACACCCTAGAATTCAACTGAAGTTGATGATTTATTTCATGTGATTTGTTCAGCCTGGTTTCTTTTCTTTTGTACAAAGTTTTTTGTTTGTGGTTAGTGGTTGTTTCTCAGGTTGAATTATCTGCAATTTCTGTTCAGTAGTTTTTTGTGACCTCACAGCTAACGCCCATACCATTTGCTAGCAGTAGACTATGATTTTTGGCGAAGGCTTTTCATGTCATCTGTGGATTTTTCGCTTTGTGATATTTTTTTCAACCTCGTTAGAAGTTTGTGAACTTTGGTGGTTTCCCACTTAGTTTTCAAATCCCAGATTGAAGATTTGGCAAAGTTTGTAAACAACATTTCATCTACTTTGTTAACATGGCATTCATCTACCAACCAATGATTAGCTTATCCGTTGTTCTCAGCAACAACTTCGGTAATTATTGGCTCTTCCGACCTTTCAATTCCAGTGTATACAGATTGATGGTTGTAGTGACTAACTTTTAAATATTGTTAATCTGTTGGTGCTTCATTTAGTGGATGGGTAGATTCTTTGTTGTTGATTTTTATTTGCGATTACTGGTCACTGTCCCACAATCCTTTCTAAATCATTATCTTCATTAGTTTTAGATCAGAAAAAGATTTGAAAACTCACTAGGCGTTTTCCTATTATTTATAGAATAGTACTGCCTGCTCGTAATGCTTTTATTACAGTAGATTGTAATGCCACCCATTCAGCCTACTTGTGTTTGAGTTGCTCATTAGGGCCTTGCTTTAAAATGAATTTCATAAATTTCTAATGGGAAGCCGTGACCTATGGGGTCAGCCAAGCCGGATATGAGGTTAATTACTCGCAAGTTGCATCGTATAATGGTTACGTTATGTCACAAATTGACAGAGGTAAGGAGACGTGAACTATTGGTTCCCAATTCAATGACTGAATGATAAAGTGCTTGCCTTTGAGATCTAACTGTCATGATTTCAATCCCTGGATGGATCGTGAGTGTGGACTTCTGAGAAGTATTTAATTAGAACGAAACAACTGACCAGTGCTCCTAGGTTTTCGCTTGTTCTCCAACTGATGTCAGTTCGTGATTGATACCTTGAAATATTTTCCATCCGTTTTATAGAAAGAAATGTCACTTCTTTTGAAGTAAATAATAAATATAAAGGCAGAAAGAGTTAATAAATTCACAAGTTTCAATCGAAATTCCCAGTCGATTAGTTTATGTATTCACATTTGAATTGATCATATTATAGGTTAGACTATAAGATCTGCTTCATGTACGCTTACATTTGGAATGTAGACTCAATGAACAGTAATATTATTTGGTTTACTTTTAAACCTTTAATTTTTTTCGTTTTTGAATTTCATTAGGTTCCTAAACTCAGTCATTATTCGAAATTGAAACTTCTGTTAAATGAATTTATGGGTGATACTGATGTTTTACATCCGATGACAGGATATATTTTAGTACTTATACGTCCATTGTTAAATCCTTGTAATGAAGAACATAAAAACGATGAATCAGTTAGTTTAGAGCTTCAACAACGACTGATGATTACTGATATGCGTAGACTTGGTTGTATGTGTATTGGACCTATCTGTATTTATAAACCGGAGTCATTATGTAATTTACAGTTTCTTCTAAACTCAGCTTATCATAAACTCATGTCTGTTGAGTCACATACTGCTGATTGTATGGGATCACGCAATAACAACTGCATCAATCCAACACATGTTGTAATGGTAAGATTAATATATTTTTTTTCTGACCTTTTTAAGAATACTGTTTTGCTGTTTTAATAGGTTGAGTTGATACAAAATAAGCTCATCTATCAATTTTTTAAGGTACACAAGTTCTATAGATTGGAAAGATAAACGCAATCTGTGAAACTATTTACTACAGGTTGAGGTTTTTGGTTAGTAATTAACATTAGGCCATTGTTCTCTGTGTTGAATAAAATCTAATGATTGAGATATAAAGTACGCATATAGGAATTTGTACACGCTAGGTGATATCGCCCAGAATCAATTTCATTAGCACTGGTGCATATTTATCCTTTTTTTTTATCCTAACTGTTATATCACATTTTGCTATTTACTTTAACCGAGTTCTAGGCAAGACAGGGAAGTCGATTGATGAGGTTGTGAACCTCAGTCGACTGTGCATGCCGATCCACCACCTACCTTGATGTGGCATGATAGGGGAAACTGGATAAGATTTGAAGAGGGTTCAGGATTACCAGGCTAAGATGTAGCACCAGTCGGTGAAGTCTCTTAATGTTGGTATGAGACGTGTGAAGAGATGTAGACTACCCTACAAAGGTCCCTGAGACGATAGGAATCAGTGGTTGAAGACTTTTGATGAAATGGCTGGAAATCAGTCACAGTGGTGCAGATGTATTCACTCCTTGACATCTTTTGAAGCATGAATATTTGTAGTAACCTTTGTCTCAAATTGTTTATTCTCTCACACAACTTCGTCTACTTTGATATTACTATTTTTCTAAGAACTTATAACTAAACTTTCATTTACTAGAAGCAAATAAAAGTTGAATTAAAAAAAAAACAACATTTTCTATACACTTCGAGGCTATTCCAACGTGGTTATTGGTTGGGATTTATTATTACTTTTGTCATATTTATAGTTCACATTAAAATGTCAAATCTTTGGACATAACACTGCACAGTGTTTCGGTAGTGCATAAATTATAATCTATCTCCCTAACTTTAATCTATTAATGTATATAAAGATTTATGTTTCAAATTTCACGAGCTATTAAGAATTCTAAAGTTAACTTGTTTTCTCTTGGCATCTGCATATATCTATTTTTAATAATCCCTTCAAGCTGTCATCATTATCTAGAACGTTGGAGTTAAATGTTTGGTTAACTGACAATTATTCAACACTTACCTCATGGATGCATCAATTTACTCGTGTTCCGCATTTCGTTAAAGATAGTTGGATGACAGAATGTATTGTACAAAACAGCTGGTGTCCAGAAGTAAATCATCTAGTTGAAACAACGAATAACCTTATTGTTTAGTCTTTACAGTTTAAGAAATTTGAAGTATCTGTTAATATTTAACTTTGTTGTTGTAATTTCTCCATAGTTTCTACGTACCATACTTTTTTTAAGTGGTTTTTTTTCCAAACTCGATATTTCATGGAAGAGGTGATTTTACTTGAACTTTCCTGTGATAAAATGTCTTCTTTTAATATGAAACGTGATATTATCTGAAATCGGATTTTGTGCCTGCTGTTAGCATCTACTTTTTACTTTAATTCCTGATATTTAATTTTTATGAGTGGGGTAATATCATCTTCCACTTATAAGTCACTGAAGTCATTTTATGTAACTTTATGCGACTTTTTTTCTTTAAAAAAAGTGTATTTTTCAATCATTTTTGATCAGTTTCCAAGGAATTATTTTCCATTTCTCAAAGATCCTGTTATTTTTCAGAAATAAAATGTTTTTTACATCACGTTTTGCAGTCACCTATAGGCTGTTAGATGAGGTTCTGCACTTTTAGAAGTATAATTGGTAAACCAGATTTCCATGCATTGAAATTGTGGTTTAGGGACTCTGGTTCACACTCCACATATTCAAGTCCTTGACATTTGGGGTAGTGTCTTTCACCTGCAAGATAATCGGTATAATCTATAGCCTAGTATATAAACATGTAAAAGGCTACTGTATTGTGCTACTTCTTAGCGAGCAACATTGAGATATAAGAAAGAGTGAATTCGGAGCAAAAGTTGTGAAATGACATTATTGTAGTACATTTTTTTCTGGCCTGTATTTTGGCTCTTATCTCAGTAAAATGATGTTTAACTGAAGCACAAAATATTTTTGTTATTATTTATTATTTGTCCTTTGGGTTCCTAGTGGAACATAGGGCTTCAGTAGCACGTCTCCATTGCACTCTGTTCTCTCCAGTCTTTCGAACCTGACTCCACAACCACCCAGAAGCTTTCATTTCTTCCTCACACCATCTCCTACATGTCACCCTCGCCTCTCCTCGCCTTGGACGCCCAACTCGTCGTTTCCCCTTTGGATTCCACTCGACGGCCTGACCTGGCCTGGCTTGCCCTGATGCGTGATGTCCTCAATCGGTCTTCTCAGTGTATTTTCAATCAAATCCCATCCATCTCCACTTTCTTCAACTGCATATTTGTTGGGTGATGGGTTATTGGTTGGTTTGTTGTCAGCCAGCCAGCCAGCCAGCCAGCCAGCCTGTTCCGGTCGTGATTTTGAATCCAGCGCGTTTTTTAGTCTCTCCAGGATGATACGGCTTAATATTTAGCTTGCAGTGATAGGGACAGGAGCATGATTCTGCACCAGTTGTTGTTCTTGCAAAGACTTAGGTCGCCCTTCTTCGGGAGTTTGACAAGGTAGCTCTTCTTCCAATCGGAAGGTCCCTTTCCCTACTTCCTTGCAAACCTTCTACAATAGTGGTTTGAGCATGTCCACTGTTGTCTGTGCGTTTGTTTTCAGTGCTTCTGGCGGAATTGCATCTGGTCCTACTGCTTTCCCAGATTTCAGCCACTTTACGGCGTTCAGAACTTTACTTCTGGTTTTGTCGGAGGGCTTGTGTTCACTGGTAGTTCTGTGGCTGGGCTGCTGGTGGTATTCGAGTTTGTGCGACAAGACATTAGACATAAATCATTCATTCGCAGCCACTTAATTATATCCCATCTTCTACAGTCGTTCGATTCTAGGTGCACGAAATGAAGACAAACTGCTGATTCTGCCATTTCAATGTGTATTTATCAGTTCCACTGCTGCTGCGGAGCTAGTTACATTGGCCGTATAGTGAGGCAGGTTGATTGTCGAATTACTGAGCACCACCCATCTTGGTTGACCAAAGGTCAAATGAGAACATTTAAGAGCTCCATAGTTGCACATCTAGTTGACACTTGACATCAAGTAGATACTTGAAAAGCTTTCAAAATTATTCATCATATTCCAGCTAATTTACCACACGGATTACGCACTCGTTTGCTTCACATAGCAGAGGTGGTTGGAATCCACCTTTACAAACCTAACCTTTGTGTTCAAAAGAAGTTTGTTCGTCCACTTTCATTACCTCTAGCATTACTTTGTACACCTCTTCCCCTTCTTGTTTCTATCACTATTCATTTGTCTCCTTTTTATTGCATAATATTCTACTGTTTATGACTAAACACTAATGAAAAATCATTTCATTTACCTACTAATAGTCTGCTTCATATTTCCAATTTTAATAACTCTATTGATTATTTACATCTTAATTTCGAAAATATCTTCATGACTTACTTGAAATCTATAATTATTGTTGGCCAACTCATATCACTTGGTGGTATTTTGATTGAATTGTAATACTATATATTAGTGTAGAGCCAAGTACGAAGACCTAATCGAAAAAGAATATATTTCTTCGCTGACTCAGTCTTTTTCCTAAAAATCTTGGAACTGTAGAGGAGAGTGTTTTGCATATGTAGGACCAGGGATGTATTTGGTTTTATTAACTTGGTTGAAGATCAGAATTCAGAAAGTAAAATAGTGTTTTCCCTGGATATGGGTTCGTTATTAAATAGGCGTCTTATTACGAAAACAACTGTTATAGGGAATCATCATCCAAAGTAACAACAAATAGTGCTGTCTGCCAGGGGTGTCCATTACTACCGTTCTTGTTTCCATTTGTTATTTGTGTACTGATGGGATTAACTCGAAGTGATTCCGACTTCTTAGAAATTGACTTACTCCTAGGAGGATATCTAGTCGATTTAGAGTACGCATTTGGCATATTTCTATGAGATACTACTGTTAGTTAGTTATCCTACCTGAATTATTGAATAGATTTAGCTAATATCTAACTCATGTAGACATTTACCGTTTTACATCTCAAGTAATGAAGAGTTATCCGATCACGTATTGAAGGACGAGTGTACTATGCAACTGTTTCTATCTTGTTGTGCAACTCCGAGACATAGAAGATGATATGAAGAGGTTATAGGTTTTTGATGATAGTTACCTTCATAGCATTGCTCGCATGTGATGAAATCATCTTGTGAGTGGCTTTGAGGTTAGACGTAGAGTATTAAGCAAGAAAGGCGAGTCAGTTGATGAAGCTGTGAACGTTGACTGTCTGGTACAACTTGAACATATGTTGCATTTGTCCTGGTACTGCCTACTTTGACATGTGATGTGAGCCGAAGTAGGATTAAATCTGTTGAGGTTGACCAAACGAAGATTTTCTACCAGTTCATGAAGTAGCTGACTGCCGGTCTTAGTCGCTTAGGGAAGTGTAGTCTGGTCGGTTGGGATTTTCGAGACGATAGGAATCAGCGCTTATAGACTTGGTGATATGACTGGAGATCGTTACAATGGTATATGTGTATACACTCATCGTCATCAAATTTTCGAACATATTGTTAACCTCTATATATATGTTTTCGTTGCCTTCATGTACATTTGTTCACCTTAATATCATTTTTTATATCCACTGTTTCCTTACTTGCTGCTGTAAAATATGACACATTGAAGCAATGCACTTTTATGTCAGGCTCTACTTTCGTTTGACTTCCTATCTGTCAATGGAAATGATTGACTTTTGATTACAGACAGCAGGTAAACGAAAGATTAGTAATGGTTTACTGATAAACGATATGAATTGTCTTATTTTGTAATACATCGTCAACGTATATTTCTTACCTAATTGAGAAGTATGTCGGGAGAAAGATAGGGTCTCTGATAGGTAATCACTCTTAGTACACTGCGTTAGGGTCGCATTCGCTTTCTATTGGCTTTTTCTAGACCAATTCGTTTGTCAACCCAGAAGATATGATAGGATGATCTATTTGCAAATGATTTAAAAAGTGCTCGATTTTCGTTGAGATTTCTCACCACCGAGTCGTTTTTAAACCGCACAACTATAATATAAACAGGATTTCCGCCCCCATCCCCATCCACCCATCCTAGATCATAGCCTGTGATCTCTGACACAAAAGTGTCATGAACTAGCGAAAGATACTACAACTGAACCACTTGAGTAGTTACAAACCACTCAAGCTGATCTGTAGATTTTGCCAGTCAGATCAGATTGATTTAAACATTGGATGGTTGTTTATACTCGTTTAAGGCCGAGGCTGTCAGCAGTCTACTCGAAAAAATTCACCTCACAAAGCCGATTCAGTTCAGATCACCAGAATCTGGCTAGCTGACTTGTATGGAACGGTATCCCAAAATAGGATGATCAATTTGCAAATTATTCACGAACTGAACCGCCCACTTTGTCATGAAACGAAAAAAGTCATAGGTAAATTGAATTACATTATGGTTACAGTAAATATCAAGAGGTTTTTGACTTGTTTAGATGAATTCCTATTCTTTTTGTACGTATAAGACAAAGAAGAGAATAAATATATGTTATTGTGAATTATTGTGTACAGTTGATGGAAGTGAATTTCGTACTTCTGTCATATACACTGAACGGACTGATTCTGTTTAGAGTAAATTGTAAGCATACAATATATTGAATGCACATATCTAATGTCAAATAATGAAACATAAAAAGGAGCTATTGATCCCTAAGCAGAACATTTCCTGAAGTCGAAGAATAGTCTACTTTGTAACGATGGGCTCGTTGAACACTTACTATATGGTTGTATCAAGTGCATATAAATAAGGCTGTGATCTCCTGATGTATTACTGCGTAACTATCAACATCAGAAGCACTAATCGTTATTCTGAAAATGATATGAGAAGATATGCAGTCTGAAGCAGTGAACATATGTTAAAACTACGGTTTGTAAAAGTGCTGACTTGTGTTAGGGGTATAGCGGCGGCATAGGTGTGTAATGTTTAGACATTTTTTGATTTGAGCTTAGAATTAAATTGTCTCCACTTTCATATTTTTTTAATGAATTCAACTTATATTTTTTTAGAGTAATAATATTTATTTCCTAAGAATTTAACTTCCTTTAAACTTGTGTTTAAGATGTCATAAATTTATTTCTAAAACAATATCGAGTGTATTTCCTTTCTATATTTCTTTATAGGAAACACCTAACAATCTAAAGTTGACTTATAGGATTTAATGTCTTAAATCAAAAAAGGAGGAAAAAGGTTTTACATTTTATAGACTTGTAGATTGTTAGAATAACTTTTGATATAGTTTTCTTTGTTTACAAGACACGAAATCTCTCTTACAGTATCACTTCCGTCAGACTGTTGTTATATGGGTGGATATATTTGATGTATATATGTTCAATAAATCCTAAAGGTTTCCGGTTTCATTTTTACATATTCTTATGTAAATAAAAGGACAATGGTTAACTATTTTTAGTGTAAGTTTTTTATTCACTGAAATTGTTTCTTCCCATTAGAAGAAGAATGAAAAAATGTGTATAGTTCTTTGCAAAACTTAGTACTTCTATACTCTTCTAATGTTATTAGTAGGACCATTATTATTATTACTATAGTAATAATAATAATAATAATAATAATAATAATAATAATAATAATGGGAGTGAAACTGTGATCCACCTTCACTATTCGATGCCTAAGGATAAGAAAATTATTCACGAACTGCACCGTTTAGCTAGCGCATCTCTAATTGTCATGGTGAGAAAATTACGTTTTAATCTTGTATTACCTTCAAACACTTATCATTGCGGAATCTTTTTTGGCTCATTACTGACTGCAAATTTAGAAAGTTGTATAACTAAGCAAGTAAAAGTATGTTTTCTAAGGATGACGGTTTTGAGTAGTGTATAAATATTTAGATTTGCGAATATATCAGATATTCATTGGCGTTACCTGATTGAACAAAATCTGAAACTTATTATTTCTGAAAGCTTTGAGACCATATATTACACTGTCTATATATATATATATATATATATATATATATATATATATATATATATATATATATATATGTAACACAACATACTTTAACCACGAAATATGGAACGGTAACACATACGATTTTGTAAATTAGGGAATCGAAATATTGAGGAAGTATAAAGTATAAGTTGTGCATCAAGATCACTGCTAACTGATATGCTATGAGAAAGGAATTGTACAAATAGGTAATGAATGTAAACGAAGGAACAGTTAATGCTAACAAACAGATTATATGATATGCAAAGAAATGATCTCTGTAAGATTAAGATCAAGTCAGTTAGTTAAAATCATTAGATGAGTAAAATCATAAGTTATGTAACTGAAATGAAGCAAGCAGATGAGGGACATCGGGCTGATAATTTGATGGCTTTTGGATGACTAAGTGATTTGACCTAATGATTGAAACTCATTGACTTGATCTTAATCTTACAGAGATCATTTCTTTGCATATCATATAATCTGTTTGTTAGCATTAACTGTTCCTTCGTTTACATTCATTACCTATTTGTACAATTCCTTTCTCATAGCATATCAGTTAGCAGTGATCTTGATGCACAACTTATACTTTATACTTCCTCAATATTTCGATTCCCTAATTTACAAAATCGTATGTGTTACCGTTCCATATTTCGTGGTTAAAGTATGTTGTGTTATGTGATTTTTTCTGGTGACTGACCACTGTAGTTTTAAGCTGCATGCAGCTGATGAATATTCATGAAGTAAAATGATATCCATCCATCCTACAAATTAAGTCTTTCCTGATTTTCTAATTCGTATGATTTAACCACTATTTAACATCACCGTTCCTAACAAATTTTGCTCTAGATTTAGTTTTTCTGAGGTGATGTTGACATAAATTTTTAACAGTTAACTAAAACCAGAAGTTGATGGAAATCACACTTATTCTAAGTGTGACACTGTCAAAAAATGTATTCAGGAAAGTGATATCTACACTGTAACTTTATCTCTATAAAACTTATCATTACATGTCCTAACTACACTCATGCCCATCATTAGTATGCATTAAATAGAATTCACTTCATACATTCCATATGCTTTGTGAAAAATTCAATTCAGTCATTAATTATCATCAAAAAATGTCTCCGTAAAGGCTTTCTTGTATAATCTTCGCACACATACTCTCTTTCTAACGTGTCATCTCGTGAAATAGAAGTTATTTAGTTTATTCAAACACCTAATGAGCTATTTCGAGGTTTAAGTTATTCTTTCTAGAACAACAAATTCGTAGCTACTGAACTAGGTATTTGCATCGGTGATATTTTTCCGAACGGAATCAATTTATTTTAGTTAGTTAGGTGCAATCGGCGAGACGCCCTGGACCTAAATTTTTTGCTAATTGGCATTTGTCAACAAGACGCATTTGCTACCTCAAGGGGACTGATTCCTACTCAGAGATTTGAACCCGTATGACCGAGTGCTTCAGTTGGAGACGTGTTCACTGAGCTGTTCGGGTCGCTACCTACAACACTGGGGACATCGCTTCTCTTAAGGTTGCTGATGGGTTCCAGAAATCATGAAACCGAGGTGCAGAGCCTCTTACCGATGGTCTCCAGCCAAATAATATCCATCAAAGTGCAGAATAATGATGAGTCTATAAGCTTCGTGACCATATTGTAAAATGACTGTCAGAATCAGGTCAGCAATTAGGACTGGATAACATCAAATCCGCTCCTTTATAATTTTTAAGAGAGAGAACCATTGAATAGCTGGGAGCACTGTACAGCTGTTTCTTCTCAGTATCGGACTCCTGAGAAGTACACGCCCACGACCCAACCAGGGATCGAACTCAGGACCTCCATGTTTCACTGCGAACACGTTAACCACTCAGTAGTCCACAGTTTCTTACTTCTGTCATTTTGCGAGCTTATCCACTACGGTCTTCAGTTGGCATCCACCTCGCTTGAAACTGATTGAATCCAAAGGCCATGACTTCTCAGTTGGATTTTCGGGATGTCCATCTCCAAGCATGTCACTAGTGAAGTTTGAGGTTTATGGAGATTTTTTTTCTGGGGTGGTATTCACCACTCACTGAGTTCAATCCCTGTTGGGGTCGTGGGGGTGTACTGCTGTGCAGTTCCATACTAGAACAAAGCAGCTGTTCAGTGCTCCTATGTATTCAGTGGTTCTTCAGCCAGTGGCAGTCCGTGATGAATACTACCTTACAAATAAAGTCCCCATAAACCTCATTTCCTTATAATTGTCGATCACATTTTATTATAGAGAAAAAAAATATTATGGTGACGTTATTCATTATAATTTCTGTGCGTAAAAAAGCGTATGGCTGCATAGTTCCTTTGCTTTGTAGCAATAAATATCAATCGCAGTATTGGGAAAATTCAAATAATCGACTATGAGAGATGCTTCTAACTAACCTGGGTAAATGTATACAACACATAGCTGACAAGAAATCAGTGAAGTCGGTAGTCTAAATACAGCGTGAAAACTTCGACTATCTCAGAGTCACGCATAGTATACTAAATCAGCTTGATATTAGATCATGTCGACCTACAGGCCACTCAGTTTCTTCAACCTAGATTAAAATATGTATTTGAGAGCGCCAAAACCTGGTGGCACAGTTTGCCACTTATCCTTCAATATCGTGCGTGGTTTACACAGAAACCTTTTTTGCCGTTGAGTGTTTCTACAACTATTTTATATAACTAACTAATTGTTATAATTAGTCCTGGTAGTGGAAGACTAGAATTTTAGAACTGCGTTAGAGTTATATTTAATACCAAACTGCTTGATTCTAAGATGGTTACAAGGAAACTATTATTTTTTATCAGCTTAACTGAGATATTTTCTCAACATACACCATTGAAGCATCATTAAATCAAAAAGTCGTATTCAGGTAAATGTAAGTAACTTCATTTGGCATCTATCCCTACTGAAACCTTCGCTGAAAGGGATGCTTGTTTTGAGGGAACACATCATCTCTAACATTTGGTCCAGTTAAGAGTAAAATGTTAGAATTAAGAAAGTTAAAATAGACAATAGTAAAAGTCAGGGATCAAGTTTAGCCTTATGCCTTAAATTGAGAACTGCACAAGGTTGCTGGGAGCTGATCACCCTTCTGGTTAACGAGACTATGACAAATTAATATGTCTTCGACTCTAATATCCTATTGGTTAGAAATTGAGTGTCGATGGAATTTGGTAGTTAGTGAATTCTTCACACTGAAATGAGTAATGATTTATTCATAAAAAAGTATATGAATACTGTAAAGAATCTTTGGGGTACTCATTTCAAATTAGTCTAATAAAATAAATTAAAATATGCATTTGAAAGGTAATCATCTGATTTTCTTTTTTCCGCTTACTCTACTACTACTATCATCATTAGTGGTATGATTTTTTTAGTTGGAACCAATCAGTTTGTATCACACAGCAGTTATTGTACTTCCTTTCATTTACTATTATTCATCAGTAGTGTTATTTGAGTTATCCTCTGGTCGATCAAGTCTATGCGAGTTGATAAAATCTGTATACTAGTTAAAAAATTGTTTCGTATTGATTCAATATGTAACATGACTGATCTATGAAATTTTTCTTGTGCACCTTCGAAATCATTTTCATTACTATAAGTAATTAATTTATTGTTATTACTTTTATGCAATAATTCATGTGACGGTTGTATTTTAGTTTCTTGTGGCTTTTCGTTTTCTTCTTGTATAAACCTATTGGTTTTCTCTCTCAGCGGACAACTGGGGGATGCTATTGCTGTTGTAATAGTAGTGGTAGTAGTTGCATTAGGTGTTACTGTTGTTAGTATTGTTGTTGTTGTTATTTTAGGCACATCAAGAAGTCGACTCCAACTTAATTTTGGTTTCATCGGACTCATAGCATTTCCTGATGAACATGTGGTTTCTTGTATTGGATTCTAAAAATAAATTTTAGAAAAATAGATCTAAGTTAGTGCTTTTTTAGCTAAAGTTTTAAACCATAAAACTTTCGCCCATAAGAAAATAATAAACACATATCTGAAAGTAAATGGACATTCTGTAGTCATTCGTCGTCACGTACATACTCGAATGTTAGTATTATATTTTTAGTGAGAAGTGAAAAAAAGCTACCGAAGTTCACAAGTGGTTTATTAATTATAGATTGATTGTATTCACAAGCGACTCAAATGTTAATATGGAACCGGTGGTCAAATAAGTTAATTACTTTTGAATGCACCGCGATTGCCATTCGCAAAAAAGATACAAATAAATGGCCGTAACTATGGATATCTTCTCGAATGATAGGTAATTATTCAAGGATGAGAACTTGAATCCTTAGTGAAGCTGAACTTTCAACTATCATATCATTTATCCTACTTAAATGTTGCTTTCTGTTCTATCAGTTACTCTTTTTAACACTTAATAAAGTTTCTGTTTCAACAGATTGCCTATTTTCAAGCATTAGCAACAACACCATAAAATTATTTAACCAAACTTATTTTCCCATTTTTCCTTAGTTGTTCAATTTTGCAGAACAGCTTGTCAATAAAACTTGTTTTCTCTATAAAAAATCTCAACAATATTCTGAAGTATTTATGCTTCATTGTATTCTGAGTATTTCTAGGCAGGAAGTGTAGCAAATGAAGTAAGTATTTCAAAAAGTATCAGAAAAGATACCATCCTCTTAGAAATGTTTCACTTTTAATGATGATAAAATATTTATTCATATGTGAACAACTACTCAGAGAAAGAGGTTCTTCATAGGCAAACAATATCTACTGACTGTAAATACTAAGGAAGAGAGAGAATCTTAATTATTAGAATGATCACCTCAGTGGAAAAATATGTACATTTATAAGTTAACCTACTAAAATGACACTGATGCATACTAATACTTAGAACACTAATGAAGATTTATATTTATGAAATTTAAGCTTATCCACTTCACGGTAAACACTGTAAACTACAATATAGTGAATATTCAAGCAGGATCGAGGGATCCGTATAGAAGGTCATCTGACAACAGAGGTTGAGTAGTTCGACGCAGTATAGCAATGGGAAATTACAAGTATCAACAAATAATAACTTAACCCATTGCATGGGAGGTGGCTCCTGTACCTCAGTGGCCTAGTGGACAACGCTTGAGCTTTTGAAAAGATGGGCACGGGGTTTGAGTTTTAGTGAGGACATCATAACTCGCTAGGGTCCATGTACATCCAGCTGATGAGTCCCAAATGGAAAGAAACATGTGTCATGGATTCCATTGCTTACCTCCATCAAGTAAACTACAACATACTGCTTAAATTAATTTTCAGAGATTTCTCTGTAGTGTTCATGATTCGAATGCTCTTATTATTGATATGAAAGATTTGTGCTGTCTTATCTGATATTTTTACTTACACCCACTCCTACTTCTACTATGTTTACCCAGTAATCTCAAGTCATCATAGATACTATTCCATTCAGAAAGAGGGTTTTATTTTTAAAAATCTGCCGTTTAAAAAAATCTTACTTTGTTGTCAGATGTTTGATTTAGGTTAGCAAATAACTCTGAAGTTTTATCTATCTTGTCACATTTCGGTTACTTATTATTGTAGATATTAGCGATTGGTTTTAACAGATACTTACTTACTAATATTTATTTTTGTGAACTGAACGCATTACGTCGCCTTCATAGCGTTACTTTAAAGATCACCCTAACAACTATTGAGACAATAGATTATGCTCCTCTAGTTTAGGAAAAATTAACTTCCCGGCCGAAATACTAAGATCGTATTGGTTATTTCAGCTGTTGTTAGGGTGAGCTTTAAAGGTTTCCCCTTTATGGCCAAAAATATTTTAGAAAATAATCCAATTTTGCTGGTATTATATCACCAGTTGGTAATGGAAGTCGTTTATCGGTTCTCAGAGGTGATCATTGTCTCTTTGTTGACGGATATAATCTAGTCACTGAGTTAGCATAGATGACTTTTCGGTAGATTTTATTTGGTGTCATGTTTACAGTGCATACTTAGGAACATTGGATGACTGTTTCTTCCTAGTAGGGGGCTCCTCAACAGTGCACACTCATGGTCTCATCAGGGATCAAACCCATAACCTTCACTTTCCACTTTGAGCACGTTACTATTGAGCCACTTTGTTGGAATCCAGCGGTTCATATTTTCATATTTCTGTATGTTCGTGATATAGCGCGTCCTTCACCCAGTGCCGTCGCTGAGTAGCTGTCCTCACTTCCGAATTAGTTTGCTCCACGGGTCACGACATCCTATCAGAACTTCGCGAAACCTCATCTCGAAGGAAGTTACTGATGAACAATGGACAGTAATTCACAATGAGGGATATCATGAAACCATTTACATTATTCCATTGTCATAACTTGGACAATGTCTTATATTTCAATCTTCATTACGTTGACGAGAAGATAATGCAAAAAGCCAGATTATTTTCATTCATAACTTCTTTGAATAGTTATCATTACAGCGCTGAGTGCTTAAAACTAAAATTTCATTTACTATAGGATATGACTTTAGAAAAGCTGAATATTCAGTGTTTCCAGATACCCCTTTGAGTTTACATGAAATATTCACCAGTAGATAACCGATGTTGGTGTCCAGTTCAAAGTACTTGACACTGATCGAGGTCTTTCAACAACGTTTTGCAAGATGGTCGCCAAGCTAAGTGGTAAGATATTGTGGTGCACTGTATTTTTTTTGTAAGATATTCGTAGCTAGTCAGCAGAAAGCCCTGAACCTAGATCTTGTGCTTGTTGGAAATCACATGCAAACTTAAATGAATTCGATTAATATTGAGCTCCAATCACTAGATAGCTATATTGGTTAGTCACTGGTGATGATTTTCAGAAAATAATTCAGTCCTACAAGGGGTCATTCATGGTCTGATTAACTTAACGGTTCAGACACTGACTCCAACACTGAGTGAAAGTGGTTCAAATCACCCTAAAAGCATCAGTTTTTTCATGGGTGCAGATAAACCTTGGTGCTGAGCGCCAACATACATGAAACCTAAATCCAAGGCTTCCTGATAGTTGATCCCTAAGGTTTACATTTATGGATAAATTCGCTTTAGGTAGCAGATTTAAATAGCCAATTTTATGTAGATAAGTGCCATACATTCTTCACATGTTAATATCTAATCAGCATAACTTACAAGTAACGATATTTTCGTATTGTTGCTAATATTATTATTTAAAGTGACGTAGACAAATGTAAATATTATTAAGCAATACGAACAATAATATTTAATTCATAATGTTTAGTGTTTAATACTTCGTTGTTTATTATTAGTCATATGAAATAAGCAGTATTCATTTTTCTAGTTCTATTAAGAATTGACACTTTTGTATTAGATGATTAGAAGGTTGTTAAAATGCCTTATTATTTCCAGTGTTCTAATTAGATTAATTCTGTAACTATAGCAACATATATTTTAAATATTGATCATTGTATCATAAGGTTTCTGTTTAGTTAACTGTTTGACTGAATAAGTGGATTACATGAACATTTCTCGATTATTAAACTCAAAAAATCAACTTGAAAAAATGATGGGTCTAGTTAGTTTGATTCATTTCTGATCATCTTTCCATATTTATTTGAAATCGAAAGAATAATAACATTACAATTTTCAACTAATTAAAACATCTTTACTCACAATTAGTTAATATAAATTCATACTTTGGATAAAGGATTCATGTCACTGAGATTTAAGCTAACCACTATCTCTCATGCCTTATGGTTATAGTTTTATTCAGCATAAAATTGTCTTCATGTTTAAAACTTGAATTTTATACTGATTATACTTCAATGTCTTTTTTTCATTAGTTCTCTCATGGGTTATCCAAGTAATGTCACCTAGTTTACAGTACTTCCTATTTTTGTTATAAGCCCGACGTAGTAGAAGGCACCAAATCATTTATTACGATGGTAATCTCTTGAACTGAATCAAATTTTATGTAAAAAGTATGCCTAACTATTTATACACCCCATATGGTTTGTTTTTGTGTAGATAGGAGAAATATGTAACATTTCAATGTAATATTGAATGTGTTTTAACAATTTAGGAGAAAAGATAAAGTGTACAAGCTTATGTGTTTATGCTTTGCAAGTCCTAGGAAGTGCATTTTAGCGCCAATGACATCCTAAAAACACTTGGATGTCCAAGCTGTCAATTCGTTTTTGAACTTCACCATATGAATGTGAAAGACTTCATTGCTTACAGCATTTCAAGACTTGTCGAGATAGTAAAGTAAGTGTCTCAAGAATTCAGTGAAGTTGAATTGTTAATTTACTAGCTATATCATTATTTTATTTACCCTGTCAAATTTTTCATCGGCGTAACGTTTTTCGTTATGTATTACTGAAGATGAATTTGGAAATCCACATTCAACAGTGCTTCTCAGAACGACTGTGCACAAAACACTAGCGAGTGGGGTATGGAATTTGAGTGCTGTGTTAGAATGTAACTCAATATTAGATTAGTCTATTCGATATAGCATATTATAACGTAGGATTGTCTACTGGGTAACTGGATAACAAAAAATGATGCTAAATCAGTGTATGCTATGTTAAGTCGACTGATCGAATATGGAATATTTATTAGTCTTTTTTTTGCTAAATTGTTGTAAAGAAACTTTCAGCTAGCTAAATGCTGGTTGAAGTTCAGCATATATCTATGAGCGAACCAATACAAGCCTGTATATGGGCTACATTTCGCAAAAGAAAAGTGGATGAGGTGAGTTTGAAACAGTTACTGAAAATAAAGTAACTATAATATTAAACATTTTGATTAAGATTTCTATGACATTCAGGGATAGAAGATATGGATTTCGCCGATGACTCGTGCTGATGTCACACAAACTTGAAGACCTACAGGCGAAAACTAACAAGTTGGCAGAAGAGGCAGCGAAAGAAGACGGGACTTCAGGTGAATATAGAGAAGACAGGGGTGATGAAGATACTGCACCAACAACAACAAACTCCAGTCACTATCAACGGGAGAAACTTAAAGGAAGTAACCTTCTTCACTTATCTAGGAAGCACTGTTTCAACTACAGGTGGCGGGACAGACGAGGATATCAAAGTCAGAATCGGAAAAGCAAGACAGGCGTTCATTAACCTGACACCAGTGTGGAGATCTTCTGCACTCAGCATGTGGAACAAGATACGGATTTTCAACACCAACGTCAAGTCAGTGCTTCTGTATGGCTCAGAGACTTGGCGCGTCACGAAAGGGATTTCCAATAAACTACAGACATTCATCAACAACTGCTTACGCTGGCTCACTACTGAAGATCAGATTGATTGCCAGAAAGAATAAGCAAGAAGGAACTCTTGGAACGAACCAACCAAGAACCTATCACGCAACGAATATGCAGGAGGAAGTGGAGATGGATTGGGCATGCACTGAGAAGGCCGACTGAGGACATGACGCGTCAGGCCAGCTACCGGAGTGGAATCCTCATGAGAAGCGACGAGTTGGGCGTCGGTGCCGAGGGTGACATGGAGGAGATCGTGCGAGGAAGAAATGAGAGCTTGTGGGCTGTCGTAGAGCCAGGTTGAAAAGATTTCAGAGAAGAGAGTGGAATGGAGGCGTGCTACTGAAGCCCTGTTTCATTACGAACCCAAGGGACTAATAATAATTAATAATATTAATAATAATAATAATAATAATAATAATGACATTCAGGGAACTTGTTCACTCAGAGGCATATTTCCCGAACAGTTTTACGCAGCAGTGCTGGACTTTTCATCTCAACTCTGAATTACTGTGACGTTTGTAAGCAATAATTACTCCCTAAACTGAACTTACACTCGAGTGACAGAACTGTGCAAGTTGCAAAATGGATTGAATTCAGAAACGATGTACATTTTACCACTAACTTGATATCTCCATATTTAGTAAGATATTTACTTACATAAAACTCATACAAATTAGCATATACGAAAATTACCTAGCAGTTAAACAACTCAGATCATAGTGTATTCAAAATTTCACCCTCTTCTGTACTCCCCCACGAATAAGCATTTAAAACCACTGTTATGACAGAGGTTATAGATATTGTGGTTCAATTAAATCAGGCGAGACTCCCACCTTCAAACAATAACTAGTAGAAATATTATTTATTGATACTTGTTGTTCCTCGTTGTTATACTGGATGGAATTGACCGACCTCCGTTAACTTAGACCATGGTAAGATTCTTTCCTTTGATAATTTCAAACAGTGCTATCAGAATTTTTTCATACGAAAAATACATTCATGTTAACTTACTGTAACATTTAAAAAAGTGTCGTTTGACTTTGCACTCATTTTACCACTTTCTCTGGGTTCATTTGAGCTGAAAGAGCTTGAACGGCTTAAGTTAGAAGTAGCAGCACTGCAAAACCGGGTTATTAAACGTCTAACTGGATGATCTGGTGCTAAACTCGATATTGGAGGTTGCGTACGCCTCATTTCGTTTAATTCTTGTTCTCTTCGAACATCAGATATCTTTCGAAATATTAACTATAATAAATTAAAAGTGTATCTGATGTTTAAAATGTCATAACTTTGGGTAAAAATGTATCTAATTTTCTGGTTAACAAGAACATGAATAGAATTCAGCAATATCAGGTAGCATACCAGTCACATGTATATCCATCCAACATATTATTTGATGATAACATTCTACTGGTTTCAGTAACTTTATGGAACTTAGCAACAAAAAGTAAGCTAAGTGAATTTCACTTATTTTGAGAAAAGGCACCCTATGTAACTATTATATATGATCAAAACCAACCACTAGATCAATTGTATCTATTCATTGTAAAATATTATTCATATTAGTTCACAATTTACAAGTGGATTAGCTACAGATATCATGGAACGAAGGATTTCTTAATGTCTATGAAGCGAATGGGAATCTGAGGTTTAAGTTATTACATTGATAGGTGGAGTAAATCTTGTCTTCAGTTTGCCAAAACTTATAGTCAGGAATATAAAATATTATTCGTTAGTGTAGATAATGAAGCCAAAAATCATTCAGTAAAGGTTAATTGCAACTTTTTGCAATGAGCAGACGCGAAGTACTTCTCTTTTCGTGTCTCGACCTCATTCAGCCAACTGTAAAATAATTCTCGTCCGATTTGTTTCTTTGGAGGACGTTAAGTTGACTTTTTTAGTAAGTAATTTGATGTCAACACTTAGGGTATTCCATATTGTTAAGCTCAGTTTTTTAGTTTTTCATAGGATGAGAAGTAAAAGGTGATTAAAGTTTTGTCCGTCTAAACTAAATTTTAACTCTCTCATACTTCTGATATGATAATCAGTAATGTAGTTTTAACTTATCGAAATTTATACTTATTTTCCACAGAAATCGATAAGAAAAAGCTGAATTTGTCAGTTGAGAGAGATTTGTTATCATTTGCAGATTTTAAGTCGGTTATCGATGATGGAACAATGCTAAGTAAATAATTTAATCATCTATTTTAGGTTGGAATTCACCATATAGTGATATCAGTTGGAGGGACATTGGAAACCTGGGAGTACTGGACAGCTGTTTCGCCCTTGTATGGGAGTCTTCAGCAGTGGGAACCCGTGACCCCACCACTAGTCGTACCCAGGATCTTCAGCTTCCATGGCTAGCACGTTGACGTCGAACCACTGAGTTGGTATCCAGTGGCCCACATTTCCTACTTCTGTCAGTTCACGATATAGCGTGACGTACATCCAATGTCGTCGTTACGTAACTGTCCTCATGTTTGACATGGTTGACTCTATTGGTAACGACTTTTCATTGGAACTTAGGGAATCACCTCTCAAAGTTGGTCATCAATGATCACTAGAATAATTCTATCTGGAGGTTTGTAGAGTTTTATTATTTGATTTTAGGTTGGAATGCATCATGGACTGATATCAGTTGGAGGAATTCATGATTTCCAACCTAAAATCAATTAATAAACCTCCACAAACCTCCAGATAGAATTAGAGTGGTTGTTATCTTACTTAGATTATTTATCTGCTCTTGTCCTTACAATGGCTTCATGGGGTTATTTTAGCAAGACTGTATTGTTAAGTTAAAGCATACGACTAGACAACCTAACTTACCTTCGTATCTAGTGAAAGGGTGGCTGGAATTTATAAGAAGCTGTATTTTGCTGCACTTATTTGATATTGGTCACAAAGTGGTTAAAAGGAAGCGTTCAAAGTGATTTGCCTCATCCCATCGAACCTTTCTGATGAAGTACGAACTCACCTTTTACACATATCTGAGTCTAGGAAAAACTTAATTAGTGATTTTACCTATAAGTTTTTGATATTCTCTTTTTCTCCTATTTATCTTGTCGTTGTCACTCCTTCCACATCACTGCTATATTCCCATTAAAGTTTTATTTATCCACTACCTTTATACTCCTGTATTGTTGTTTCATTTATTGCGTGGATTTCCCTGTTGGTTTTTTCTGCCTGACATTTGACCTTGTAGTTGTTTTTCATCTTTCTTATTGGTTGATAGGTTTGGTCTGTATCTATGTATCTCTTGATTGCTGACTGACCTGAATGCAAAGCTTCTAGAAAATTCTCTGATATTCTTTGTGTTTCCTCCATCCAACACTTCTACATTTTCCGAGTTGAAGTAATGATAGCAGTTGTTCGCGTGCATTGATATGAGCGACAAAATGTCGTGACCTTTATTAGGTAACCGATGTTCATGTAAACGAAGTTGAAAAGGGATAATACTCTGTTCAATGTACAGCCGATAGCAGTTCTTGTAGTTGATTTTGTAAATAATATTAGGCTTCTCTTTTTTGGATGCTAACTCCTTTGGTTCGTATAAAATGGTTTGAAGGGGGATTTTTTGGTTTATGAACCACAAGAATTCCTAATGGTCTCAGCAATATTTCCGCGACCTCTGATATGTTCCTTATTTATGGTAAGATAATCTGTTTGGTAGTTTCCGTGGATGACTTTGTAGTTTATGATGAACAAGCCAGGAATCATCCAATGTAAATTCTTTAGTAGGCAGGTCAAAGTAGCCTACTTCACAGTAAACCAGGACTGTCAGTCTACTTATTTGTTTTGTGATTGTAGAGAGCGAAAAACCACTTGGATACATCCAAACAAATAATATAAACTGAAACATTCTTGACTGGCTACAAAGTTAGTTGTTTACGGCACTTATATCATTAACTGTTCCAACCGGGATATACCTTTAATTTATTTGTACATGATAGTTAAAAACAGGATATTTGAAAACTGTAACTTAATGAGTATATATATATATATATATATATATATATATATATATATATATATATATATATGAATAAATCAAAAAAATATACAAAATTTACGTTAACATTGCTGTCCTATACAGACGCTAAGCATCTGTGAAAACAATAAGAAATAGTAACTTACACGATTCCGTAAATTATAACTGAGTACAAGTGTACGAGAGAATGAAACTGCAAACTGTGAATAGAACTTGAGTATATCTATAAGTTTGTCACGTTTAATACATTGCAAATCACAGTAGGTTAAGGCACGTACACTAGCAGCACTTTGGCCTACATCTGTATCTTTAAATATAGGTTGACCGAATATATCACCTTTCGCTGAAAGAGATCAAAACAAGGAATAGATTATGCTTAAAACTTAATCATATCAGTGATATTGTCAGTGTATGATCACTTCATTTCTTCATCCATTTTTTGGCGTAAATATGACAGTTTGTGAACTACTGTGCGTAATTCCAAACCGTCTGTTTGTCTACGCTTGGTTCAGTTGTGATTTAATAGGAATTGTTATTTGGTTTTTATCTTAGGTCATGAATTCCAACATAACTCCAACTACTTTAATGTTACTGAAAGAAAAGCGTATCACCACCTCAGTTGACTTTAACAGGGACCATTACTGGATAATGTGACATGCTGCTGATCAATTTATGTTTTTATATCTTTACGCTTGATGCTTTTTCAAAATGACAAGCCAACTGATTCAAAACAAAAGAGAAACCGAAGTTTTCAATTGAAGTTGTTCTAGACTTCTCTTAGTGAGTCAGCATTTTACACTTCAAGATACATTTCGTCAAAAAAGATAAGGAAAGGCACCATACCAGACACAAAAACAGCAATATGAAGACTTGCTTTCCAATACCTTTTTCATATTAGTGAGATACTGTGGTTTGAGTTATCACATTTAACTTGCTTCTGCCAAATAGTGTGATAGTTTTTATGAGATCATGATAACAGGAAAGGTTTAACAGTAAAAACTTATTTTAAAAAAATGTTAAGCTAACTTGGAAAGTACCAAAGTCCATCCATGTTTTATCTTCATATGTTATTAGATATGAAAAGTTATTCATTCGCTAATACTGTGTGATCTGATGAAGATTTGGTTTCACATATTTACTCAAAACGATGGTTAAGCTGGTTTTAGAACAGTTATCTATGAGAAATTAAATTAAGCAGACCTAATTATCACTCAAAGCTTATTTCCCGTAAAATTTAGATATATGCTACTGACAGTGTCTAGGTTGTATAAAAATAAACTTTGTACTTAACTTACACAGAATTGCTACAACCTCATCATCCTGTATCACCTCTAAAGATCCAGATACTACAAAACACAATTGATCAATACTTTCACCTTGATGAAAAATTAAATCACCAGGAGCTGTATGCTGAACGGTGAAAGAGACAGCCAAAGCACGTAGACAACTTTCACTAGCTAGTCGAAAGGCTGGATGTTCACTGAATACAGCGCGATAAAGATGAACACAAAGATCGGCTTTCATATCTTTTGGACAATGATTAAGTACCTAAATGAGAAAGACAGAGAAAAAGCTACTTGTTGAGTAATTTCCACAAAAAAGTATATTTGAATACTTCTAAAGAAACTCAACCCTGATAATAAAGTGTTATAGTCGAGCCTCATCCTATCATTTTGTTGACAGTGCGCAGTATCATCGCCTGATTGCTGTCATCGTTGTTCAGTACGTGGCCGAGTCAGTAAAGTTACTATCTGAATGGTATTGAATAACTCCTGCCTACAAAATTAGACAGTTATTTGGTAATGAGCTCTTTATAACTTATCATGAGACAAAATATCAAGATTTGGCATCCAAAGTCGAACAATCTAACCCGGAAACCTGTTTTTTAAAGCTGATTACTGAATAAAATACTTTTGCTGGAGCTGGTAGTATTATTATTTCACGTCTATATTTAATAGAGTTAAGATCTATTGGTACTGTTTAACTCTGCGATCAGTATATGCCAACTGATCTGCCTACCTTAATTCTGAAGACTAACAAAAATCAGAATACACTTTTTTAAAAGTCAGAGAATAATTAGTCAGGACGAAAAATAAAACGATAGAAGCAGGGTAGTCTAAGCTGTTCAAAGAGTACAACCATGGATTCCGAGAATGACAATTCTCATCCTTCATATTCTAATACTAGTTGTGGAGGGAAATTTTCTGCGATAAATGTATATTGGCTGTCAGTGTCAGCAAAAGCATAATCATTATGCTTATAAAAAGTCAGTTATGAAGTCTATGAAAACATTCTCTGGAGAAGTGTTTCATACGAAGTGATCAAATGTTGGCAGTTACTAGTATACACTATTACCAAGTATTGACTAATATCTGTGAACATTAAACAAAGTAGTGGGGCATCAAGATATACTGGATTTGATGTTTAGTGGTTGTTTACTGTTTCAAACTTATTGGTGTTACTCACCTAGGCAAATCTACTTCATTTTTCGATTTAGTTTCAAAAGGAATTTGTTCATTGTGAAGGTTTGAATAAAGATTCTGTTCTACTTTTCGTCTTTTCATCAACATAAACAGTTTAGCACTGACCAATTTCATATAGTGAATGAATGAATTACTGATCTTTTAGTAAGAATATTTACACAGTTTAAGTATCGTTTGCCTAAAATAAGTGTAGTTTTGATTATTACCGAATCTTTCTAGTCTTGTATGCTAAATCTGTTTGTAAAAATAGCAGTAGTATATTGAAACTATTTTTATGAACTTACTGTTTGAGTGTCTACACCTTTGGTAATGGACCAACTTGAAGTTACGTAGTCAATTACACGTTCTGCTAGTTCTTTGGGTACTTCATGAATTCTTAAAAAATCTTTTACACTGGACATTAACTGTCGTAATCTGGCACGAGTTGCATGTGTTTGTTGTAAAATGGTTGCGACATTACCAAATATTGTTGCATAAACTAGGGCTATTATAGGGTGGAAACAATAATCAGAATTAGTAAAAAATATGTGTAATAATGAAAATGGTTAGTTAATATAGCTGCATTTCGGTGGGTTTATAGGTTCATAGACTACATTTCGAATCACATATGTTATATTCGAGTTAAAGATATTATTCAACAAACAGGCGTATTGAGCTCAAAAACTAGGTTCATTACTATCATCACAGACAGTGTTCGCTCTAGAGAATTCAGTTGTGTCTTTAATTTAATTGTAGACTTGGTGAATAACCAGCACACTTTTTAAGAAATGGTCAAATCCTAACGATAGTTTTGAATTTAAGCTGCTTTTGGCTGATGTGAAGTATGAAATAAACCGAATCCTTTCCAACATCCAAATATTTTCGGTTTTGGCTTGCCAACTTCAACTTTGTCTGCACTCGCTTTGATGGTACATTTACTAAAATGTGTCCAGCTTCTTCATGATAACCACTGGGTTCGTTTAAAGCAGTTAGTTACTTTACGTCCAGTACACTTCTAAACCATTCAAAAAGCTTACCAAAAAGACATTAATTCAATCTAGAGATTAGTGGCATTTTAGTGGTTTCCAGTTGGTATTTACCACGAACTGACATGAGTTGGAGAACCATTGAAAACCCAAGAACACCAGAGAACTGTTTTGTCCAAGCTCTGAAGTAGTCTGCAATGCACATCCATGACGTTATAAGGGATTGGAGCCGGAACCTTAAGGTTTCACTGCGAGCACGTTACCATTCCGTCACGGGGTCATAACTCCATAGGTTACATCTCCTTTATTCTGTCAAATAGCGATTTAACGCGATCTCCATTCAACACCACTGTTGATTATTTGTCTTCATGTCCGAATTGGTGTCTCCCACCGTTTACAACTTCTCATTGGAACTTCGGGTAATCTCATCTTGAAGTAAATCATTAACGAGCTTCTGACAGGAATTTAATTCAGCGGTTTGTTAGGATTTTATTGATTTGACATTGGTATTCATTATGGAATTACATTAGTGGCTTACTAGTAACGTGTTCGCGGCGAAAACTGAAGTGTCAGATTTCAATCCCTGGAAGTGTCATGGGTGCGCTATAATGAAGAGTCCTTTATTGGGACGTAACAGCTGTTCAGTACTCTTAGGTTTGCAATGGTTTCCCAGCTGATGTCAGTCTGTGATGAATACCAACTTGAGAACAACCCTAGTTGACCGATTTCCTTTGAAAAAGATGAAGTATCAAGTGAAATTTAAAACTTGTCTGCATTTCATGTACTAGGCAAATGACCAAAATTATGTGTGGTAAGTAGTATATCACCCGGTTACTCAAGTCTTCGTAGGCGCAGCCTATTATCAACTGACAAATCATTGGCTAAAAGCATAACGCTTATGTCAAGAAGACGTAGTTTCACGCGAAAAGCACCTAAGATAAGATCAGTAGTCCCTTCCTGTTTATTTTCTTATCCATAAATTATCTCATTGTAGAGTTTTTTTCACCTTCTGCAGATTTAAATAAGCTAATTTCAATAATATTTATGCGTAATATTTACTATTTTCTAAGCATACGTGTTATATCATTGAATAACTTGCTGACTGGATAAATTTACCCTGATGAATAGCTATTGATGAGTGATACCTGATTATCATTCTGTAAAATCACACCAGAAATGTTGGTCAACTGGTTTACCAAACCATACAGCATACACTTGGTTAGCGTGAATAATCGCTAAGCCTTCTGATGATGAAAATTTACCAATAACTGAAATGAAACCATACTAGTATTCGCAGTCAGTAAGTAATATTTGCTTTACTGATTTCTCTACCAGTTATTATTTATTTTTTAAATGACACTGATATGTTGTTAATTGAGTCTAAGGATAAAACAATCAACTTATTAGTGACATGTAATTTCAGTAGTTGCATATAGACATTCTTGTTGCCATCAGGAATGGAACGCTTTACATAGTTTTCAGCCAAATACAGTAATAATGATAGTTTGTAGGAAGCTTGTTTATTGTTTTTATTGAAGACAATTCAGAGAAGAATATTTTCTTTTCGACGGATCATTTTCAAAAACTGTACATCGTTATCATAGTCACAACAAAGTATGAATCTATCAACAACCAGTGGGTCAACGGTCAATAAAGTCATTAGGTAATAACGGCTAGAAGGTCAAATGAAGGACATCCTTATAGGATTATAGTAAATAAACAAAGAAGTGAATAAATTCTCTTAGAGATTACGACCAAGGCAAAATTAGGGATTGAATGTATTTCTTTTGAACATAAAGAATGGGCTTGGAACGCTGGATTGCTAAACCCTTCACTATTTTGAGGTGACGAATACTCACTCCTTTCGAAATGTTTGACTTCACTTTTCAAATGGCTTTGAGGCACAGTGACCAGAGATAACCAAATGAGCAAGACTCGAGCTGTTGATTGCTTTACACTGTCCTCTAGGCAGTAATACAGAATAGTGTCCGGAAATGCGTTCGAATAAAACATGCTTTGTGCAGCCTATGCAATCAGCTCCACAAGAGCAGTTGAATTGGTAAACACACATGGAGGTGATCCAAAGATGTATTTTATTCTTTACACACCTGCGAATCAGTTGTTGAGTAGAGAAAACAATTCACAGCTGAGTGGTAAAGAAAGTCTTTTCCAGAGCTTTGCATGATCGATTCTTCAGTATCTCTGCCTATGTATCTCCCTTTAATTCAATATTCATAAACAGTGTCTTTTTGGAACCGTAGGGACTTCTTCTTTGAAATTCTTAGGCCTCATGTTCCTTTAAATGAGTCTTGAAGGATTAACATTCTGATTGAACACTACATGAAGTACTTCCAGCTCCTCATTTACTATATCATCAGTACAAATTCTCATTCTTGTGTATAGTAAATGAATTAAATTTCTTTTCTTGGCAAATGGAACTCAGGTTTGAAAATGAGTATGTTGAGAAGAAGACACAATGGTTCCCTGAGGAGATTGATTTACAGAAAACAAACCTGGGATATTTTTTAATTCTTCATTATCTAATCGGAATATATCGGTTATTTTTTATTCTTTTTTGTATATGTCTGCTGTTTCATGCTTGTGAAATATGTCCGCAGTATTCGTGGAAACTTCGTAGCTCAGTTGGTAGAGTATCGGGCTGGAAACCTACTGGTCGCTGGTTCGAATCTGGCCACGGTCCAAATTTTAAGCTCACCTTTAATCACCACCCAGTATGAATACCTGACTGTTAGTTAAACTATGTCTATCTCAGACAGTCAAATGATAAAACTTCAGCTATCCTATTATTGGAAGTGTTTTGCAAAATCCTTGAGACAAGTGATGGAAAGACTCAACTTTTATGTTTATCACTTGTTGGTACTCAATAACAGCATTTACTAGTAAACATATGCTGCCTGATAAAGTTAAGCTGTCATCTTAGCTGCAACAAATGTGGAGGTAATTACTGTTTTATAGAAAAGTTGATGAATGCAAATCACTGATCATAAGTTATTCGTATTTGAGTATCATGAGTTATAGTAAAACAACTTATGAAGTTTACTTCTTTTAGGCTAACAGAAGGCTTATCACTGTTTCTTATTACTTGTAGCCATTTCTTTTCAAATTCACTGAAATGAACTGTTAGAACTGCGTCGGTATTTTATTGAAGACATTTAAAATGTCGGCATTTCGTCAGTCTATTTACTTCCAACTCCATTTGCAATATATTATGGGAGTTCTACTCACTAGTCAAGATATTTCAAATTTCTTTGTTATTTGTAAGTATGTTCTCACTGATAGCGGTAAATGATACAAAGTGACTACTACAAAATGTTGATAACTGAAATGAAAATAAAGGAATCTGGAGTTTGAACATTTGGGAAAATAGAGTATGTATTAAGTGGGTGCTTGCATGTTTTCTCTCTCGGCATAACCAAGGTTACGAAGGTTTGATATAGTATATATACACTGACAAACATTTTCACCTCAAATACTGTATATACACACGCATAATCAGCTTAGCCCAGCTACTAATATGCAGTAAATGAAACACTGAAACAAATATTTTTTCTACTAGAAAAAGACTGATTGAGCGAAGAAATATATTTCTTTTCAATTACGTCTTCATCTTGGGCTCTACACTAATATATAGGTTTACAATTTAATCAAATTATCTATCACGTGGTGTTTCGGAAATGATGATGTAAATAATCAATAGAGTTACTAAAATAGGAAATATGAATATTGATAGAAACAGAAAAGGGAAGAAGTGCTTAAAATAAACCTGGAAGTTACATCATGTTGATGGCCACGGTAATGAAAGTGGTCGAACAGACTTCTTTTGGATACAAAGGCTAGGTTTGTCAAAGTGGATTGCAATCGCCTCTGCCATGTGAAGTAACCGAGTGCGTAATCCATGAGGTAAATTAATTGGAATCTAATGGATAATTTTGAGGGCTTTTTCAGTAACCACTTGATGTCTTGTGTCACCTAAGTGTGCAAGTATGGAGCTCTTTATAGTTCTAATTTGTCATTTGGTCAACCATGATGGGTGGTGCTCAGAAATTCAAGGATGAAACTGTCTCATTGCACGCCCAATGTAACTCGCTCCATACGAGCAGTTGAATTGATAAATGCACATAGAAGTGGCAGAATCAGCAGTTTATCTTTATTTCTTGCACCTAGAATCGGGCGGTTGTAGAAAGCGGGACATAATTTAGTGGCTGGAAATGCTTTATGCAAGACTCTTTTTATGCGTTGTGTGATGATCTCACTGGCAATATCACTCTTAAATTGCAGCTTCAAGAAGGTTTGCTTCTTAGGAACTGTTGGCATTGTTTTCTTAACCCTCGTAATATTCATATGCTTAGTTACAAACTTGTCTGAGTAGCCATTCTTACTAAGCAGATCATGGAAGGTGGCGCACTCTTCCTTTGTAGCATCTTGTGAGCAAATAGCTGAGGCATGGTATGTTAAGCATTTCACTAGATTCTTTTTGTTTTGGAGGGGTACAGCACTAAAGAAGTGCGTATATTGATTTGTTGATGTTGGTTTTCCATAAACACTTCGCTTCAGGGTTCCACCTAACTTTCTTACCAACAGAACATCAGGAAATGGGATACTATCATTCTTCTCCTCTTCCATTGTGAAGTTGACTGCCGGGCAAACACTATTGAACTTATTCAAAACAGCATTCTTATCAGTCTCACTTTTGAGAACTATAAAGGTATCACCCATGTAACGACAATATAACTCTAAACTGCTTATAGTATCGTTCAGTGGACCATTCTCAAGTTTTGCCAGGAAAAAATCTGCTAAGAGCGGGCCAAGGGCTGACGCCATGGCAACACCATCAGATTGCCGGTAGAGTTCATTGTTGAAAAGAAATTGTGCATTCATCGTACACCTCAGAAGTAGTTCTTTCAATGTGGAGGCTGGAATACCTATTTCCATGCCATGCTTCGTGAGTTCGTTGCAATAAAGTCTACTGTCTCCATTAAAGGGACGTTAGTAAAAAGAGATGAAACGTCACACGAAATCATTAACTTATTATCTACTTTCAGATCCTCAATCTTTCTGACAAATTCAAAGGTATCTTTGAGACTGTACTTCACAACTTCTTTGTGGAGAGGCTTCAAAAGCTGTACCAACCATTTTGCTCTTGTATGAAACGGAGAGTTAGTTATGTCAAGAACTGGTCGTAGAGGCTGACCATTTTTATGCAGTTTCGGTAGGCCGTAAAGTCTAGGTGTAAAGGGGTCCAGTAGGTTTCAGCATTTTGAAGGTGCTTTCTGAAATGAAACCTTGTTGTTTTATCCTTTTCAGTGATTCAGTTAGATGTTTCTCGGTTTCCTCTGTTGTATCACCATAAGCGGCTAATTTCTGAAATTTATTTTCATCACTAAGTAAAGAATTCATTTTGTCTATGTACTCTTTTTCATCCATTAAAACTATTCCTCATCCTCTATCTGGCTTGGCAATCACGATATTTGCATTAGTTTTCAGCTTTTTCAAGGCTTCTCTATGTTTTTTCGTTAAAATACTCTTCATGCTATTCCTACTACTCGTGTACTGTAGGCAAGAGCCAACGAGTATAATCTTAAGTCTATCAACATCTTCACTAGATGATGGTAATTTCAAGATTCGATCGGTTCAAGAAATGATGATTTACTAAGCAGTTTGACGTATTTTCCATTTTAAAAAGCTTTAATCTGCTTTATATTTTAGGTTATTGCAGCCATTTGGTGTCATGTATTCGCTGGTAATTTGTTAGTTTCTGTTATTTGACATCTGTGAGACTGAATCGATTATAATTGATAACTGGGATCAAAACTTTGATGTCTTAATCTGATTACATATTGTAGGAATACAAATAGTCCTCTCAAAAGTGAAGTTCGAAATAATGGCTTGTCAGCCATTCTTTAGATCAAGATAAGAACACATGCTAGGATAGCTTGTGAGGCAAAGAATGAATAGTCAATTAATATTCAGTCAGAGTGGCTTCGAAAAGCAGTGAATGACAAAAACGTTCACTAGATAAAAAGTCATGAAGGTTTACTTCATTTTGAAGTGATTTTATCAGGAAATGATATTCATTTGAGAGTAACCATAAATTGGGCTAGTAATGATTGAGGGTTTTTCATAGTGAGGGACGGTTGAACAAAAGACAAATGTCCTAGTTTTAAAAATCCATGCCTTTTACTTTCTTCCTGCTGACTAAGCGTTAAGGTGCTGACTTCAGTGTTCGACATTTTTAGGTGGTTTTAGAGATCCTAGTGGTTACTATGTGATAAAGCCTAGACCTTTAAATATGCTGTCGCCTCATGTATCTTGAACAAATAAATTATGACCAAGCGGTTGCAATTTTCAAATCTTGTTTAATTAAAGATATAGGGTATATGAACCTCAATAATCTTTACGATTTGTTTCCATTTATAATTTCATTTCATCTATAGAATACCATGTAGGCATTCACCACTGGCGCTGGAAGACAGTTACTTCAAATCAAGCAAAAAATGAAGTTAGATGACACCTATCCATATAAAAAGTATTAATGGACAATATGGCTATTGCGCTGGTTAGTCACTAAAGGGCAACCAACTTCATGTTGTCTAGTTTTGAGTGATGACCGAATTCCATCGATCATTTTGCAAAATGGCCACTAGGCTAGGTAGCTCAGCATTGCGAGGAACTTTGGCAGATGTTAGTTGGGTGAAGGTAATCGACCGAAAGCCCCGCGGGTTCGAGTCCCAGAAGGGACATCACTTCCGTAGAGGTTGCAGACACACTTTACTGATGAATACTAAAAAGCACAAAACCTAGGTCCAGGGCTTTCTGCTGACCGCCTCCATTCAACTAACATCTGCCAATATTGAATATTTAATTTATTGGCAATAAAAGACTGACTACAATTTTATCATTATTCGACTTTGTCATGGTTGGAATTCGCCTGAAACCGAGTTTTCAAAATAATCTGCTTCTTACTTGAGGTGTTTTAAGTGAAGGTCAGAATTATTTCTTACGCCTAGCATGTATTTCAGCAACATTTGTTCAAAATTTATCTATTTCATCGTTGAGGAATAATAAGTAGCTCAGTTAGCTTATACATTTTTACGTATCCTTAATTTGTTTAGTCATCACATCTGTAGTCAAACTAAGATTTCAGCCTGGCTTTCACTATGGACTGACATCAGTTGGAGAAAAGCTGTAACATGAACAGACAGAAGTGGGGAACATAGACCGTTGGGTGCCGACGCAGCGGCTCAATGGTAACGTGCCGGCTACAGAACCTGAATGTTTGGGGGAGCACACTGCTGAGAAGTTCCATACTAGAACGAAACATCTGTCCAGTGGTTCCAGGTCTCTAATGTTTCTCCAACTGATGTCAGTTTATGATAAAGTAACAATCTGAAATCAACAAATAAATCCTCACAAATCTCCAAACTAACATACGTTTAAACAAAGTAATGAGAAGACGAAGATGATCTGAAACGTGATGTATTAACGCTATACGTTTCGAACAATCTGATCCCATGTGAACTTGTCGAACTATTTATATGAAAATTTGCCAAAAGGATCAATGAATTTCCTATGTCTCCTATTAACTTCTTTGGCCCTTTTGGTAAGTTTTCATGTAAATAGTTCGACAAGTTCAGGTGGGATCAGATTCTTCAAAATGTATAGCTCTAATACATCACGTTTCAAATAATCTTCGTCTTCTTATCACGCTGTTTAAATTTATCAAAAGGACCAGTTGCTTTAACATATGTTTATCAATTTTCCACTTGTTCCAGTATCTTTTTAAAACTGCTGAATAACTTTTATGTTCAATATTGTGTTGATATTTCTTGCCCCCATCAACACTGCCATCACCTCTACTGCTCTTTTTATAATGTTTATGATGTTATTACTGTCTAATCTTATGGAACATGAAAAAATTTTCTTTGCTTTTCATAGTTGCGCTACAGTGACGTCTGACTAAGATATAATCATAGAGAACTATCGTTATTTCCATCAATTGAAGACGACATTGTTAGCTGATCAGTGCATGTTTCCTTGTTTTAGATTATGAAACATAAATACGTAATACGTGTTTCAAATTTTTGGACGAATATTTTGTGTTGTTTGAAGGTAAGTAGTAAACGCTATTAGAAATTACAACAGTGTTTTAAGGTGAGATTAGTTAATCCATATCAAAAGTTTGATTATTCGAGTCTATTTGTAGGTGAGATGAAGCTGTGAAATGAAGATAATCTTGTTCTCTATCACCTAGATATACCTGCACCCCAGTGAGGGGTTTTGCTCTCACTGAGACTAGAACTCAAAATCCGTACTTTCAAACTCCATAACGTCATTTTTAAAGCACTGGAGCACGACAATCATCTCTTGTGCAACTGGTATCAGTTATTATTACTACCTATTCATACTTGTAATTTCCTATTGTTATTCTGGATAGAACTAATCAACCCCTATTGGGATATGAGCCCCTATGAGGATACCTCAATATTTTCAGTCTATTCATCATGTATTTTGTCACTGCTATCCACCACTAAGCAAATTAAAACCTAATGTACAATCAGGCAACATCAGGAAATCTAATTAGGAGCCCATATACCAACAGAAGTGGACCAATTTGATCCAGAATAACAACGGAATATTATAGATGTCTGTAAATCTTGTCCTGTTTTCAACGAATTAACTGTGGTCATTGTATACAGTAGGAAAAATTATCACCCATCGTTTATTATTACGATAATTGGTGTGATACAGCACTGAATTGTGCGCAACTCTTAACTCGCCGTCTCAGCGTTGATCAAAGTTTATCGAGCAAGAAGCAATGGCACCCAATCAAAGCAGTATGTAAATATTTCAATTAAATCTCAGTAAACGTGAGAACTTCAAGTTTAGAAGTTTGTACAGTAATATTTAGTTGATAGATTTAAGTTGCTAATTAGATAAATGCAACTGCACTATTTTGTATTGTTACCGTTGATTCAAATGCAGTCATCAAACCAAGAGGACTATGTTCTTGATTGAGAAATGCTAGAATATACTAAATTTTGATCCTGATTAATATATTTATTGATTGAATGTTCCCTATTTCGTGAATTGAATAAATAGTAGAGCCATTCACTTACCTCCAATTAGCATAAAGACAACAGAAACAATCTTTTCTGAAGTAGTGTTTGCGGCTACATTTCCGAATCCAATACTTGTTATCACAGAAAGTGTGAAATAAAATGATGTCATATACAGCATAGACTGTGAGGGTAAATGATCTTCCCATGATGTATTACTCCAGTTTTTTGGACCAGTTGTTTCATTCACCAAATGTATAACCCATCCATGATAAATTTTATCTTTTAAATCATGCATTCCAACTAAATACCATACACAAGCTAGCCAATGAGCTAGTAGTATGAAACAGAATAGCATAACCAACAGGATTGAAGCAACATATTCCAAGTACTGATCCAGCTTCCGTAAAACTCGACACAGTCTTAATAGACGAGCCAATTTAAGTATGCTTGACAGATTTACTAAGGTCTACAAGAAAAGGTAAAATTTAAAAGAATTCTAAAAAAAGCTGTCGGTATTTGGCCACATCCAAAGGTTCAGTAGAAAAAAAAGGTGGAAACAGTTACGACATGAAAACCTGGAAACATTGGACAGCTGTTTCGTCCCAGTATGAAACTCCAAATCAGTACACACCAACGGCCCCACCAGGGATTGAACTTGGTAACTTTAAGTCTCTTGAAGTTTTGATGAGAAGCTGGGTCCTTAAGGATGAAGTGGTCGGAAGTTTAGTGGATTCAAACTTAAGACCTTGGTGGATAGTTGCTCTATATCGCAAGTTGACGGATAAAAGAAATTTAGAACATTTGAACCCCACCCTAGTGGCTAGATGGCTAAGGTGCACAGAAACTCGATATTCCTGTGTTCGACCTCCCAACAGGTTTGTGGGTAGGTAGTGCTGACGAGTGTCCTACTAGAACAAAACAGCTGTCCAGTGTTCTCAAGTATACAGTGGTTGTCCAACCGATATCAGTCCATGATGAATTATACCTTGCAACAAATAAAATCCCTATATACTTCTTATACCATGTGATATGATTTTCATCACATTTCTTCCATAATCTTCCAAGCTATCCAAATTGATAACTAAAGTGATTATGAGCCGAGATTTCAGTTTGCTCCATCTTGTCCCTGAAATAGTTTGTGTTTCGTCGTTCTTCCTTAACAGTTACATTTTCACTCTCTTCCTTTTCTATAAATGAATCGCAGTGGATTTAATACTTTATTTCCCAATATACCAAACAGATGCACTTTAATCACTTCGAAGATAACACTTGTAGGCTTATGACTGCTAAAAATAAATTAAGTTAGTGGGGACCGGACAGTTAGTTAATATTTACTTTTGACTCTTCAGGACATCGCGTTCTCAACTACTTCCGGTATTCAAACTTCTGCTTCAGATTATTTGAAAGTAAATCTGTTATCAACGTAGTAAGCTACTTAAATGGTGTAAGTCAGTAGTAGGTGAATACCGTCTTAGAATTTATTCTTACTAAATAAACAAATAAATATTATTTTCAGAAAACGCATTATTATCAAGGAAGCATCAAGAATGGTCATCGGGCAAATTATCTACCTACAGCTTCTTTTTAAAATAATAAAATGGAAGATTTCAAAATTATCGTTGCAAATTTGCAAACGTTGTTCATTCGTTATTTCAGATTCAGATTGACTGACTGACATATGCCAATTAATGAATCACTCAAACATTACAGCAATACCGTTTAGATATAGAAGAGGAGAAAAAAGAGCAAAAGAAGTGACAGACAAAAGGGATGCGTCAAGTAAATGATATCTAAAAACCTTTAATTACTTTCCATCTGCATAACTGCTCACTTTAAGGAAACAAAGAAATCCCAGCACAGTTGTTGCAGTTTTATGTTCATAATATTCCAAGTCAGTTTTTTGCGTGATATTAAATAGGAGCGAGCTGAGGAGCTTGTGTTTGTCAGACTACAGACACTAACCAGATGCAATTACTATGTATATCAAAAACTCAGAGTGATGGCCTTTTCGCGTTTTTTTTTTTAATATCAGTCTCATAATCCGCAAATAAAGTGTACTAGCTGCAGGACAAAAGACTTAACGCTTTGCCTAAACTGAATTCGTTTATATAGTAGGAAAGTTGAAGTTATTTTATAGATCACCTTAGCAACTTCTGAAATAGCCAGTCAGACTTCAGAATTTAGACTTGGCGGGTAGTCTATCATGCAGTAAAGGAACGTAACTGGTTATCTCAGCGATTTTTAAGGGTGACGTTAAAGCTACTCAGAAACTGCATTATAGTCAAGTGCGAAGGCGTGAACTCAGTATAGGTTTATAAAACTGTCTAAGAGACTGTCAAATAGGGTGACTTTAAAAGCCACCCTAACAACTACTATGAAAGGCAACTGCGTTTCCTTATTTTATACAAAACTATCTTTTCAGATGAAGTAGCGAAACTTGATTGTCTGTTGCATTAGATTTTAGGATGAGCTTTAAAGCCCTATCATCGAGATGCTTATCGAAAGTATTTTAAGGTAGTGACATTAAAACCCAGCCTAGCAACAATTGAAGTAACCAACTTAGTTTCTTTATTTCGTCTGAAACATTGAACTTTTCATAAAAAGAAGAACCTTAATTGATTATTTCAATAGCTGTTAGGGTGACCTTTAGAATCACTTATATTTAAGCGCAAATAGTGCAAATGTCATTATGACTGAATTCATTCAAAAAAGTACAAATAATAAATTTTGGCCAGTGAAATTTGTTCTTTTTGATATTTTGTTTCAAAATTCTTACCGAAGTACATAGAATTCTCCATACTGGAAAAATTACAGTCAGTGTTTATTCTACAAAATTTTCAAGATTGTGCCACAGCAAATTATTATTTAGCGATATTCATTTATGAATATGCGTGTGGAAAGTCTTCCGTATATGAATAACTTATCTGAACAAGAGCATTAGATTCCAATTTCGGTGTTGCCTGACTGAAGTCAACCATTAGGAAGTTGTGTTTGCACCATACCTTTTGTATTTTGGTTAGTTAGGTGCATATTTAAAATCTTTTAGGAGCTCATTTCCTTCAGATCGCTGCATGAACCGCTGTGATAAAATAATTCTGCTCACTGATTACTCAGTAAACTTGTTTTATAGTATTTGACTAGTAGTCTGGATTAAGCACAATGAGAAAAGTTACTCTGAATTTGATCAACACACCTGTTGGAGGTTATTATAGATGGAAGACAGTGAATAAAATCAGTGCATATTTATGGGAGGTGATAGAAGATAATCTGCTTGTTTACTGGCACTCGGGAAAAACTTTTCTGTGACCTCAATAAAACAAGTGCTCCTTCAAATATTCGAATTCGCATCATTTGTTGCTGCAGTCAGGGTATTATCACTGAGCTGTTCATGCCGAAACCTCTTCTAGGACTCGACAAACGGATGGCCAATAAGGTTAACCAATTTCATACAGTCAAATCCAAATCTGTGTCACTTAGTTTCCTAGGGGTTGTAGATGCTTCTCATTTACAAGTGTCATAGATTTATAGTTCGCTGCTGATTGTTCCCCACCATTTAATATCAGTCTAAGTACATCATGATAACACGTTTTTTTTTAGCTTGATGAGGACACTGAAAAATTATAAAGAGAATTCAGTTAGTATTTGGAACTAGACAACACTATACTGATTACTCTCCAGCTTTCAATCATTCTGTAGTGCCTTTTACTGAAAGCTCTGAGAAAGAACATGGCTATCAGTTACAGTAAATAAGTTATAAATACTGACTTGTAGGGATACTATTTGAAAGTATAGGACATTTTCGGCCCAAAATTCAAGTTGTTGACTCAAACTGTTTTAGAAGATGGTATTCGCTAAGATAGATAGTACGCTGACAGGTAAAGCAGAGTCATGCAGCAAAATAATAGCTAGTGTATGAATGAAATATGTTTCATTAGCAAACTAAACGTAACAGGATATATACATGAGAAAAAAAGATAAACTTACGGTATTATCACTGAATATAGCGAGAATTCCAAACGGTAGTGAAGATATCAAGTCAACTACAAACCAGCCTTTCAAGTAATTTAAACGTATTAAAACCGGATCTGAGATAACAGCACCAGATGGACCAACGAATGTTGTGTGAAAATTTAATACAATATCAATGAAGAATATTATATCAACTATATGCTCTACAGCAAAATATACTGATTCTTCTGATAACGAATGATGACCAAATGCAACACTATAGGGGATAATTATACACGTATATCCGGTTAGCAGGAAGATAATCCAGTCCCAAGCAGTTTTAAAGGTTAAATAATGCAGTACAACATGGGGTGGGGTTTTCGGCGACTCCTGACGATATTTGGGTATACTGTTACTTTGTATAGGAGCAACCTTAAGGATGTAAAATGGTGGGAGAAAAAAGAAGAGATGTGATATTTTCGCCAGGGGATATAAAGAAACATGAAGCTTTTGCTACATCACAAAAGTGAGTTTACCAAATAATATTTTCAACGCTTTTGTACCAGTTATGTTATTCGTACTGAACAATAGGAGATTAACTAATGGTTTAAATAAGGTTATTCGTTCACTATTCATTAACATAAAAAAATACAAGCAAACATATTTATTCCTAGTTTTGGGGGTTACGTCAATCAAATTTATTTTTTTGTTGTATTTATGATTATGCATACGAGTAATATGTGTAGCAAGAATCCTATCGTTTAGAAGAAATTTCGAGGCAGTAGATACTAGTCAGGAATGCCAGTTGAGGGTGATCTGAAAATTAGAAATTTATTACGCCGATTTCTAATCAAACTATTTGTCAAAAGACAAGCAACCGACAGTCAAACAGGGTAATCAACTGAAGCTTAAAGATTATCTTGTCTGAAATTCAATTTATGAGGAATTGAGTACTGATATTTTTAACTCGTCTTTTTTTACAAATGATTTCTTATGTGATTGCCAATGACTAAGTACTTTAGATCAGGATATAAGCTTTGACTTTTTATCACTAAATAGGGGTGATGCAATTTTATTCACTAAAATAAAATGGGTTAATATGAAACTTAACTCTGTGGTCTCTTATAATGTTGATAAGATGGTGTTTCACCGATTCGCACAAACAGTAGTGCTTCGTACAGTTTTCTGCTTCATTTTGGAGTTACATCGTTTATTTTACATTGCATTACTGTAGACAATTTAATTATGACCTTGAAAACAGGTCACGAAATACCACCACCTTAGTTTTGCAATGTCAAGTGCCAGTTTAGATATCAGAAAGACTAAGTTATATGCATAACATTTTGCTTGTAGTCATTAACAATGGAAAATGCGAAATGTATCTCACTTTGTTTGCAATTCAATATTGCGAAGTCTTTAACAACCTTCGGTTAGGTATTTGAAGGGGATGTGTTACGTACAGAAACTTCATGTTTTTCTATTTTATACAGTATTGGTGTTATATCGAGTCAAAAAGTGGCCTTGCATGCATGGTTTGGCATGGTGAAATTGTTTGCTAACCCTCCAATCATTAATTTTTTACATGCTGTCTGATGTTTAGTTTATAGCTATTATTTCGGTCACATCCTTTCTTTAAAAGAGACCTTCTTCAACCAGTATTATATATATATGGAGTTGGTTGATTAGCAGTTCAGTATTTCATTTCTTTTTAAAAAAGACATCATTCGGTCATAATGAGACAGTTTTTTCAAGCTGCAAGTCAAAGTGCGAGATTCACTCTGAAAACCCTGGCATAACAAAAATTAGACATCATTTAAACACTACTAAATGCAGAAGTATGATTTAGAAGCATTTTGATTCATGAATGATAGCATAACTCAGACCAGAAGAACAAATATTGCACAACCTTTAGTTGTTTAAGACATGAAAAGAAACACGCAATTGTTTTCATTACCCTCCAGGTGACTAATCAACGTCACAATTTAATATATTTTACGGAATCGAGACATTTAAGCTATGAATCAAGTGATGAAACTTTAATCTTGTTTTTTCACGAATTTGTTCCTTATTCTAAGTTTGAGTTGCCTTTATCACGTTTGTCTTATAAAGAAGTTATTGTTTTCTTTGCAGACATGTATATCCAAAATAGAATATATAAAATTGATTGGACACTGGAAAGCAACCAATTTCATGTTGTCCAGTCCTGAGTGCTGACCGGATTCTGTCGATCACTTTGAAGTTTGGTGACCGTTACATCTCGAAAATCTCAGTGTTAATGTCACTGACTGCAACGCTAGGTAGAGTGGGTTTGAATCTCAGAAGGGAAGTAATTCTCCTCAAGGTTGCAGATTCGTCTTGTTGACGAGTGATATAAATTCAGCTGAGTTACTGGTTTTGTCAAGGTCAAGAAAAACCACCAGAGAACTGGACAACTACTTGTTTATATAACTAATAGTTCTGTATAAAAAACCCAACCTTGATCTCGCATTATAAATTTTGAATTTTAAAGACTCACAGCAAACATGGCATATCTCAGCATCTGGATTTAAACTCCTTTATTTTTCTGATTTCATCATGTAACCCAGTCTTGCTCGCTAAGATGACCGCTGTGCCTTATCATCAATCATTTTTCACTGAAAAATACAGTCTATTAGACTTAAATCCAGTAACTGGACTGTACCCGAAGCACTATGAGACTTGGGTTTCCTATAGTAGATCATCTGAACAGATGAGTGTTTTCCATGCTAGAGACTGTAGAGTCTGTTTGTTTTTCAAATGATATCAGTTCATGGCAGAAGAAATGACCTCATTTGGCTGATGGAGATTACAGTTAAAGCAAAAAATGCATCATATGCGCATGATTTCCATCGAACAATTCACTTAACATTTTGTACTTTTTTGAACAAACTAAGGAATACTTGGAATAATGAACTATAAAACGGCAGAATCATTCATATGGAAAGAAACGTATACAGATCATAAGTTTGTAAGAGTCTAATATAATCTGATACCTTCTCTGCTTCATTTTAGTTTGTTTTTTATATATATCCTATGGTGGAAAAGGATTATCCATTAGATTTCTGTATGGATGATAATTTGTATTCGCAATGTAGTAAATAAACCTGTTCCACTGCGTGACACATCTTATAGAGAAAAAGAAATGGGAATACAATTTACTACATTTACCAAGTCTACTCTTATATTTCCCTGTTCTACTTTGGAGGCATTATATAATAAAGTTTTTCTGAAGGCTTATTCTTGATCTACATATACTCTATATACTTATTACTCAGTCTTCTGGTATATGCATCTTTCACATCTCCGTTAGACTATCATTTTTGATTTCCAATGAATCTATTTTGCTTACAGGAAAACTTGAAGAATTAATTCGAATTCAGAGCATCATGAGTATCCAGACAAGAAAACTGAGTTATTTGTTCACAACCACTCCATTCTTTGAATCACACTTCATAATTTTTAATTATCCTTTGCTCAGCTCTTCGAAAAGCCGAAAACAGTCCTTTTAGATAGTAGAATGAATAGTTTAATCGAAATAGTAGACAACAAGTTCAGACAGTCTATTCACGTTTTCTTCACACTATAATATTTTAGTGTTATAAACATAACCAAAAAATGGATACATCATACTCTATCAGAATCACTAAGGAATCCTTTTTGACAGGAATATTATTAGCTTAAAAATAACACTGTAAATCATGTCCTGTTTTTAATAAATGCATATGTAGAGAGATTTTATCGTGAAAATGCTGTGAAATAAACCATTAACTAGTTCAATTTATGTTAGTTTCAATATTTGTAGGTTGTGAGGATGCATACTAAATATACATCTTAATTTAAATGATCTGAAATAGGGTTACATAGTCTTGAGATATTGGGCAAATTTATGTGATATTGAGGATATAGTTTAGAAGCATGCATATTTATGTGCATAATCAGTTTATGTACACTTGTAGGAAAACATGTAATGTATTCATCAGTCGGTTAATTGACTTTAAAGGATACAGACTTCATGTCACAATTACCGGGCAAAGTTTATTGAACAACTATAAGTAGTTGAGAATACAGTGAGTGATGGTTAAACATTCGTGCACTTTAGTTAATTGGAGACAATCAGCAGGAAGCGGTGGATCTTATTTTATGAACAAAGAAGCCGCCGTTTGGACATCAGACATAGTAGTTATTTGGGCAGTTACCTGCAGATACTGCAACTAGTGTATTGTGTAGCATCAATAATAGACTGCGTAGTTTGGATAATTGGGAATGAAAAGTACCTTAACCTCGTTTTCTAGAAATTCTTCTCTTTCTCAGTGTAGAAACTAAAATATACTCGAAATATACTTTAATTTCTTCATATACTTGATACATCTATGAAGCCAGATTTACAAGAGGTTGCAGTACGAGTATTTTAATTTTTGAATTCAACTGAAATAAAATTAAGGAAGTAGGTCTCACCTAGTTATAACGTTTGATCAATTTCAAAGTTACTTGTCTTGGTTTCACACATTAAAAGTCTTCTCAAGCAATTATTCAATATTCAAGGGATTAAAATACTTGAGCTCAGTGAAATTAATCAGTCTGAGTACTTCATCGGTAAGTTGCTAAGTAAGTTAAATGTTTACTTTCTTTTCATACTACTTATACCTGGCTGGCTGCTTCAAGTGACTGGTGTAACCGGATTTCAACCACTCATCTATTACAGTATTATATCTGAAGATTTCACTTTATTGTTTTCTTATTAGGGGAGGATAAGCCAATTACAAATATGTTCTTCCATACTGCCTGACAAATCTGATAAATTTTGCTCCATCAGACTTCAAAAATGACATTATTTAAGCTCGCCAAATTATTTGTCTCCTAAACGGAGTCGGGGATGTGTTTATCAATAAATCTTTAAAACAAAATTTGGAGTCGAATACAGTAAGTTTTGGACAAACATTAATTTTGAAAGACTCATTTTTACGGATTAATTTATTACTGCTTCAAAATATAGAATATTACGTATATACAAACTTACAGCAACCAGAGAATCGTCCAGTTCCACTTGTGATAACACTGTTTTATTACGTGCCACTGAGCGTGCTAGTTTAGCAAATTTACTAAGACCTTCAATTAAAAGTGATAAAGCATAAAAGGAGGAACAATTTGTTGTCTTCTTAAAGAAAAAATTAAAGTAAAAACAGAACTAAGCAAATCAAAATATGAATAAACAGTTAGTAAATAAAACTAAAAATCACACAGTTTGTGGCGACATTCTTCTCAATCGTGTGGAATTCCGGTCACTCAACTGTAGCTTCAATAGGGCTCCCATCAAGGAAAGGCCAGTCAATATAAATTGTTTTTTAGATGACAAAAGTTATGATATGACAAGTTCTAATAAAACAAATCACTCTGATTTTGAGGTTTCGCTAGCTGGATCTGAATTGTCTAGTCTCTGGATGGCGGTTTTCCTGATTTGAAACCCACAAAATTTAAGCCTACCTAGCTGAATTGTTACGGTGATTCAAATTTACCTAACTTTGGCAGCTTTTGACTAGTTCTAACTTGACAAGTAAGACCTGCTAAGTTGACCATTTGATTAGTGTTTGCCGAGCTATGAGGTTTGTTCTTGGACACTTAATCACCAAACTACTTGACTTCATCATCATTTAATGAATAAAGCTCAGAGAGAACCAGACAATTATCGTCGTCATCTTGAGCTGCAAATCTCTACTATCTCATAAGTTGAATAAACTTTTAACCACTTACAAACTAATAACGTTCAAAATGCAGATAAAGGTCTTATTGCCAACGAGACTCGTGATTATACTTTACTTTCAGGTGTAAGGCACGTTGAATCATCTGAGTATCTGATTCATTTTTGCTCAACCTGGTTTGCAGTTAATCACTATTGGATACGTGTAATGTAACAAGTGACAGATGTAGATACTTTGTTGGCTCTAAACTAATGATTAACGATTATTACTGGAACAGCTTTCAGAGCTTTGCATAGAAGTTACCAACAGCGTTTCCTAAAAATTCCTGAAGCCACACTATCAGACAAATTGAAACTACTTTTATCTAAAAATTATGTTTTCATTTACTAAGCTAATCCTAGTAATGTTCATCTTGTCAGACTAGCAATTTTGGTGTGAAAAATTCTTCCGCTTCCTTCATTGCCTTTTTTATTGTTAGAACCTCTGTTGTCATACTTGTTTCATCAAACCTTCTACCAGTTCCATTTTTCATATAAAGTGGCATGACAGATGAATATATGATCAAATTTTTGGAAATTCATGGTACAAATACGTCACACTATTCTAATTCATGTCATTTTCTCGTCAAGCTGTGTAACCGATTGAAGTAACTGTCATATATTTTGACCACTTGAATTCTGCATAAAATTATCTATGTCTATCAACTTTAGCAGCAATTGAATTCTCCTTAGCTGGTTACAACCTACAGGATTTCATGATGTGTGCATATCGAAATTCTCAGACTTTTTAAAGTTGAAGACAGATATTCCATTGAAATAGAAAGTAGCAGAGATTCATAATAATACAAACTAGTCCAGGTATATGCGATTGTATGAAATAGTTGGAAGCTGGAATGGTTATAAAATGGTCAGGTGCGTTCATGAAAGAGTCTACAAAGTGGAAGAAAAATAAATCTGATTAAATAAGGAAAACTTACATCAATGGGTCAGGTAACGGTTAGATCAAAGAAAGTGACCCCAGCTTGAGAAATAAGGTAAACAGTGCTAAGATAATAAAATCTGTGGTTTAAAGCAGAAGGGAAGAGACATAAGGTTGACTTATTATATTTTTAGATGTTTTTGATAAACTATCGTCACCAGGGCAACGGAAAGTTGACGAATGTATTCTTTTGGAGTTATAAATTCAATCTCAGTCTTTTAATGATAACAGTTTAAGCTTTTAAAGTTCACCTGAAGTTAACTAAATGTATCTTTTTGATAAGTATAAGGGTGGATAGTGCGTAAAGTGAAGCTGACCTGAAGAAGAGCAGTGTTAACGATATGGGAAAAATAACATGACGTTTTATTTCATCAGGTGCTATTCAACTGTTTATAGTTTCAATATGAGGATTTGACAACAAGAAATTAGTTTACGAATAAACCCAATATGTACACAAATAGTAAATCAAAAGTTACATATATGAAAATGGAATGAAATAGGCATTTTGAAAACTAACATTGATTTGCTTTATAATGTTCAACATAGTCATCAAATGAAAATTGATAGGGACAACAATAAGACTATAGTGACTAGATTAAAAATTTTGCAAAATAATGGAAAGAACAGACGGGTTTATAGTTAGTCCGAAACAAAAAGTATAAATCCCGGTAAAGCAAAATCAAAGTCTGAATTAAAAAATTGCCTATATATGTAAAGATGAATAAAGATAACGTAATTGAATATTGGAAGAGTTTTTGAACAAGTTACCAAGGTAATAACTGTTTATTTTTCAAACCATAATTCTGTTTAGTCTTTCGTATAAATTTTAACCCTTTTGTAGCTGTACATGTCAGACTTTTTCGAAAACTGATTTCATGTTTAAATACTCCATTGTGCCTTACTGTTATTGTATTCTTGACCAAAAACTTCCAGGAGTAAGTAGCTGAATTGGACCCTATTAAACAAAATGATATCACTTTTTTTTGCTGAATCTTTTGGTCTTGGTTCTCTCAACTTCATAAGGCGAAAAACATGCTTAGAAAAATAGCTTATTGACTTTTCTTATTGTTTCTTTAGCTGTAACTGAAGTGCACTGTCTACTGTAATTTAATTAGACTACTAACATAGCAATTTCTCTTCTACTTCTCATTGTTTACCAAGAAGTAAAAAGCTAATTTTAAGTATTCATTTCGGAATTACGGTATGGATCTACGCAGTCATCTCGAATTGTTTCCCGTTCAAAAGCCGCTCAATCTTAAACTATAACAAACTATTTAGTCAGTCTACAGGTTAAGGTCGAAGAAAGTGGGCATGCTTAAGATGAAACGCGGAAGGCTTGCCACTAGGGTTGTATCCTTAATTAGTTTCGCTTCAAAACACGCTGGCATAAATATATGCTTATATCGAAGCTTCCTTTTGAATATTTCATACAGTAGTATTCTTTGCCAATTAAGTTAACCAATAATCCATTGGACCGTGTGGAATTGACTGAATAGGACGAGATTTTCCTCATTAATTTGTCTTGTAAAATGGACTCTAACTAACAGTTGTGGTAGGTACTTCGTATTTCATATCTTTTAGATTTTTGGTGGCTTACTTTTGTTAAAAAGAATCCCTGATGTGCCATTTGATATATTCTCAAATTGAAGTATTATCTTTGTGGCTAGTCGAATCTAAATTAAGCTTCATCGAAAGTAAAATTTGGCAAATTTGAAACTACTCTATAGTTTGATAAAAGATTTAAATACTATTTATTCATTTGAAGTTGTAAGAAACTGATATTCATAATGAGCTTACTTCCGCTCAGTGTTTCATCATCCAAAGGTTGTCTCAACGGGGATATATCGTAAAACAAAACAAGATATAGAGGTGTTTCATGTTTGTCATTTTCAACTGGTGCCACACACATGATAACCCATATCATTGAACCTAGCCAATAAATTAAAGAAAATGGGGAATATTTTATATCTGTTAAAGGATAAAACTGACGCTAAGCTAAATATGAAAGTAGAAAATATTTTTAAGAAGATCTTCCTCACTATCGTCTCTGGGAAACATTTATAATTACAGGGTTTTAAAAATCGTGTCAGTTCAGATTCAGCTGCATTAGTATTTTCTGTATAACTTACATCGTCATCAGGATCAGTATTATATTCTTGGATGTCTCAAATGGGCTAATTCAAATAAGCATAAAACTGTGCCGGCTACGCAAACCAAAGAAGTGCTAAAGTGAAGTTATGAAGCCGGAGATTTCAGACAGATAGTTACGTGCTTGGGGCTATTCCTGTTAGTCAAATATCTTATGTAACAGGAATTTAAATTTTGTCATGCAGTGAAATCAGTTGGAGAACCACTGAAAACCTAGGAGCAACGGACAGCTGCTTCATTCTAGCCTGGGACTCCTCTGTAGTACAGAAAACTACTTCCAGATCAATAAATTCTTGCAAAATATCAAGTGAATTTTAATTTTGCTATTACTATGACAACTTAATACTGATTCATGTCTAACTGAATTTTTCTCACATACCACTATATTTTAGCATGTTTCATATTTTTATCTTTCTAACTTAAGTAGTATGTTGATACAATGTTAGTCAAGAAATGAAGCAATTTCGAAAGATAGCTTCAGGATGTGTTTGAGTCATGTGTCTGAATCACACCAACCTGAATTAAGCAATTTTGAGCAAGCGTTGATAGTGTTTCGTTTTAGGAAACATGATAGAATATCAATTGTTTTGATTCTCTAGGTAAGCTATTACTTAATTTTTTTGTGATTTAAGCTTTGGAGTTATTTAATAACAAGTGACTGGGCTGAACTAAGTAAAATAATTTGGCTGTTAGCCGTTATATTGTCTCACAAACTTAACCACAGATATTTTTAGCCTTACGATAAAGTTACAGCATTTTCACCACATTTCTCAATGATTTATATAAAATCAACCATTCTAGTGTTATAAATAGTTGATTTTGTTCATTCTGATGGTGAAGTGTTTACACACAGCTATATTAGAAAATTTTGGAGGTTGGTCATGTCTAAAACTTCTAGCCGTGTCAGTCTAGACAAGAATTGTATCAGCATACTTGTTTAAAACACTCAACAGACCCATTAGTCTTCATTCAGAATTGGGAAATATTTTCCTCAGGAAAACACAATGGCTAGATAAGACACTCGGTGATTAAAGTTATATTGAGATATGATTCAATGTCACGTTTGATAAATAGGTTGGCATAGTACGCCGCTGAAACTGTGAAGAAAACATTCCTAATAAACTCTTGTGTGAAGTTAAGCGTGGGACCTTTTCTTTAAATGGAGATTGAATTTTGTTTTTACTGAAATGTCTACTAGATGTGTTTCTTAGTGAAATAACACCACTTAGAGAAATTACTAAAGCCGGAAAGCACTAAGCAACTGTTACTTCCTAGCTATAGATCCTGTAGTGATACAGATTTTCAACTTTATGCAGTATTAAACCTAGTCCTTGATAGAAAAATTTCGTGGAAACAGTAAGTATTTAATAAAATCAATGATTCAGTGATATTCCATCTTGCTCAAGCCACAGTTTTATCGACCATAAACGAATAGATAAAGATTAGATGCATAAAGAGTTATTTTAATGGTTCTGTTTAGTTTCCAGGACGGAATCTTACTAGAACTTAAAACCCAGTTTATATACATAGCCAAAGCTATTGTAATTCTATCATACAAACTTGTTCTTAAAGTTTTTTTGTTATTAAGAGTTCAATTCACAAACACAAAACGAACTTGGTGTAAGTGGTAGTGATAATTTCCGTTTAATCTATTGTAAATCATACTATGAGAAATAATTTCATTTAGAAACAGGAATAGAAATGGAAAAGTGGGAAACAACGTACAATTAAACGTGCGGATGCAAACAAACTCACACCTGCACAAGAGTTAGCATTATTTATAGTCTTTTATTCATAAAAGTGAAACTTAATTGATCGATGAAATTGGTTGAGTAAGCATTGAAAAAAAGTATTAAGATTTTACTTTGAAAAAACAACAGCATGGCTACAGAACATAAAAATAGAAAAAGCCCCAACAAAAGCAAAACAGAAGACTCAATTCTCTACACTTAATAACTGATTTTAACCTAAGGTAGCTAAAAGTGTTGGGAAATAATCACTTAAATACCATTTATTGCTAAAATTGTATTTACCTCCCCTTAATGTTTAGTGCGATAATAGGTGTTTTGGATTCAGGAAGTTTTTATGAAACATTAAATGGCTAAATTTAAGGTTGTGATCGAAACAAGTGAATTCACTCAGTAATGAAATACCGTTAACTTAATCTATTGATTCAACCAACAGTAATTGATCGACCAAATACCACGAAATGATTGTTGAATCAAATATATGGTTCATACCGAATGATCAGCGTCAGTTGTGTCATCAGAATATGGACAAAGCAAGAAAATAACGGAATCTTTTCTCACTGAGTCAATACCTATTACATACAATGGGAATAATGAAAATCCTTTGCGAGGATATGGGAAATTCTGCTGTAATTGAAAACAAAGAATGCAGAGTTGAAAAAAAGTAGAAATCAAGTGTCAGAAGTTGTATGATCATTTTTTATATCGTTACTACAAGTAGTTTGTGTTGGAAACTTCATTTAATAAGTAGTACTGTTTCACTGTATGGAATGTGGAAAAAAATTAAATTTACCAATTACATTCCACCACAGTTCTAGTTTTACTTTACTGATGTTTTAAGAATGCGTTATTTGGGATACTTTAAACATCAGGTGAGAAGTGAAGGATAATGCTTCCGAAATGTATCACAGGTAAAATTGTTGTTAGTTGCATGCTCTGTATTAATTAGATGAAAACCAAAGGAGACTTTTTGATTTTTTATGATTTTTTAAACATGCTTGTAAATAGAAGCGAATGTTTTTGATTTAGAAAAATGTTACTGTTAGGGTTGAGTTTATTAGGATAATCATCCTGGTAGAAAAACTCATATCACATAATACTTAACGCGCTTAGAAGTTGCCTACCAATAGGGTCTTTAATTTCTAAACATATGTTTACCAGTATCGTATTAGGTTGTTTATTTGATATAGAACACAGTGATGTAGCACCATTTACTGGATGGCTTTTTGAGCACAAATTATTGCTCATATTCCTATCAGAGTAATCTTATGGCTTTCGAACCTCCCTAATATAGTTTAGCAGTTCTACATTCTGTTATTTAGATGATATTAAAGTTTTCCGAATACCTGCAGTATATGATGAATCATTCCTGTTACGTTTAGGGTATTAATTCAATGAACAGAGATCCTGTGATCTATCTCACCCTTCAGCAAACTATATTGGTTTTTAAAATGTTCACCCACCTTGTGTGATTGTATGTCAGTGCACGTACAGAGAGGGATAGTTGAATTTTCCTCGAAATAACATGTCTCAGCAAGGTTAATCATTTGTGTTTCTCTAAAATTTTGTGCTCTGCTATAATGACTGACCTCAATCATCTCATTCAGCCTATAAATTAGGGTTATTTTTCCAAATCAGATCTACCCAATCTCTAAGCCAACAAAGTTACTCTCCTGATTCGTGGGTTTGAATGCCACTCTAATTCCAGCACTCTTAAGAATCCTACGCAGAATTTCCGATGTGTTTTCTTCATATGGTGACACTAAAGAAGATTTGCATTTCTTTTTAGGTATGTTGCAATTACCACTCTTGTTATCGCTCTCTTTCTTATAACTTCTTATACATAAAGTCATTATGTATAGATAACTGTCGAATCATCACCATTGGTGATACATCTAAGAGGTTACGAACATATTGAAGATTCGAATTAAGTCGTTTGAATGTGTTGTAGTAAAAGTAGCTCCAAAGGTTGTAAGACAATTGATCTTTATAAGAAGGTGCTCTAAGAAGGACAACTTCAACATTCTGTGGAATACTTCAAGATACTGACTACTCGAAACCAAACGAATATCAAGATTTACATTCGTATTGTTATTAAGACATACGTTTTCTTGATTTTTCTGAAATACAAAATTCTAGTAAGGCTAACATTCTATTTGTAGTCAGAAGGTGAACTTACATTATAGTAAATGCACCATACACATAATGATTGGGATAAATTAGCTATTTAACCTATTGCGTATATGAAATATTAGGCAAATGATTTCTAATTGAAGTTGTTATCTTGATGAACTCAACTTCTATATTTTTTAAACTTCTGTATTCTTCTATATAATACTACTGAAATACATCAAGTTAGCTTGCAGTCGAGTAATTCGCATCAGTTTATCTATTTATCATCTGATATATGCCTCTTGTGTTTGGCTAGCTGTGAAACAGAATCTTTCGACTGTCTGTGAATACCAATATTCTATTAGTAACACTTTTATATCTTAATTTAGTACAGTGTCCTTTCACATGAAATACTCATATGATGCCTGAAAACTCAAATACTACTCAACTTAAGCAAAGTCCTCAATTAAAAATTTTCTAATTCAGTGTTTATTTTTGCGGACCAACTATGCTTCATAACTTAGAAATCATTTCTCAATGATTATGCCTAGTGATTTCCAACCTTGAATGCAGGGAAATTACTTATTTAAATTATGGTAGATTAAGTAGTTGGTGAAACACGTGTATATCGAAACTACACGTGCGTGATTTTGAAGTAATTCAAAGGCAACTGGAATAAACTGATGCTGGGTGGATGCTTCATTCTTTTATAGGTCTTTTAAGTCCCAAGTATGCCTATTTATTGTTGGTATTAGGATTTCAAGTTTTTCTCCACTACAAAGAATATATCAGCATAAGATGGTCGTCAGTGACCAAAATTTCGGTAATCTAATCCGCAAAGAGGATGCCTAATTTATTTCTTCCTATCACTAAAGATGTTGCGGCAGAGAAAATCCTATGTAAAGGGTCCATTTATTTAGTTTATAGTAATTGTCTCTGAAGATGTTTAGGAATTTTTTTAATGCGAATAAGTTAAGTCATCTGAATATTATGAATTTTTAAATACTGTGCATGTAGTTGTGAATCGACGAATTCGTATTCATATATATCAAATTTGCATTCACTTTCTACAGTTTTTTTTGTAGGTGGAACTAACTTTAGAAGCGGTTTTCATCACGAAAGAAGGTAAATCAGCGAACTGTTGAAGACCTAGGAACACTTCATAACTACTGATATCAGTTAGACACATTCATATAGATCACGTTTTCTAACTTCTTTCAATTTGTTAGCCCAAGTTTTCAGGGATCTCTAGCTGATCTGAATGGATGATTAAAAAATTTTTGAAACCAATAAAGCCTGCAGAAACATCCTAAATCAAACAAAATATGTCACATAGATCACTAAGATGGTCTAGACTTCAGTATACAGATTGATACTGTTTACCAGGACCATATTCTGAAAATCTGGATTATCATTTTGTGTTTGAAATGTAATAAAGAACGGCCAATTTAGAAAAGAGTACGAGCAAGTCTACTGGTGTACAAATATGAGTTTGTTTCATTAGTCTTGCCTCTGAGAGTTTTCCGTTTACGTCTTATTTCCTGTTTTCATATGAAACAAGATACGAGTTAAATGAACATTTCTCGCTCTTGAGAAGCAAACATTTATTTGTACAGAATCATAAGCTTAATTTAAAAACCACAGTGAACTTAATAGATGGCCTTAGCTTTGTCGTAATGCTCAATTATTAGACTCATGAAGTGATTTTATAATGATGGGACCCTATCAAATAAAAATTATTGGTTTGAATATTGGGGAAACGTATTTCACTACGGAGTTTGTTTGGACACATGCACTAGCAGCGATTCGTCTCCTTTTATCTTTCCTTGACTTTTATAGTGTAGTTAAGAGGATCATGAAAACTGTTGCAAGTAAAATACAGTCTCCTCATATGGCTTCAAGATAAAGTGATTTCGACGACTTAACTACCTTTATCGTTTCTGAAAACGAAATCCATTTTACCCACAAAGGTTTACTCAGATAGTGCAACTGAAAGTGTATCAGTCAACACTTTTTTTAATTTCAAATGGTCTAAAATGGTAGGAGAGGACTTAGTTGGTTACCTAACAGGACGAAGAAAGTATAATGAAGTATTCAATATATAATAGTTAGCTAAGTGCTCTATGATCATAGTGGTATGGAAACCAAATTGGTGTTTGTGTCTTATTACTAAGCTTGTAAAGGAGATGATCAGTAAACCGAAGGTTGGTTTTTTAAATCTAGCCATGCTTAGTTTTCCTGCCAAACGCACTCATCATCTCTGAACATCCATAGTGTAGTAAATATTGCGGGTAATCTTTCTCCTATCTTTTTTTCACTGAATTTTCCCCATGGATTTCTACTGATAAACTTCAGTTATTTACATCAGTTATGGCTAATTATTTAATTTGATTCGACTCATTGAGTTCATCGCAAATTCACTCTTATAAATCATAAAATAGCGTACATTTTTATCAACTCTTCGCCCAATAATTTACTTCTACTTAGTAAACTGGTCTTTTGAATTTTCCGTAAAAGCTTATTAGTGTTTAATTGGTTAAGAAAAGAGGACCTAACTAATAAATTCACAGAATATTCATATATATATATATATATATATATATATATAAATTATAGCAATTACACTGAAATAATTCATTTAGCTAACTTACGATTCTTTTTATATAAAGTAATTTCCACTTGATCAAAATATCCTTTATCTAGGGCATTTTGTAATCTTTCTACTGAATTGGTCGACGTTCTTTTACCGTGAAGTTGACGACAGATAGCATTTTGATGCATCATTTCACGACTAGTATAGTTTGTCAGTTTTGTAAAACTTTCATTCACATAAATTATGGGATGGTCAACAATTCGGGCGTTGGCGATCAGTAGTCCCGTCTCTTTATTTGAAATTTTTAGTAGAAACAAAATATAGAACAATTATGTTGAAGCACTTTTCATGGAAATGAGTTATATATTCACAATCCAGACAAGGAGGTTGCGTAAACACTTTCAGGAAGAAAATAAAGATTCTTCTGGCTTCCAGACATTCGATAACAAGATGCTAGTAGTGCTTCGTAGATCTTCAATTTAGGGGCATTAGAACTGGTGCACGGAATTCTGTCACTGCTTTTTTCAGGTAAGTTTCAGAATCTGAGATGCTTTTTACAGCAACGAATAAATGCTCTGTTTTTGATGTCTTGTGCGGAAGTTAAAACGCTGGCTACCAAGATGGATGAGAGCTTGACTTCTTCAGATCAAAGTTAAATGGGAAGTTATTACACTGTTATATAAATTTGTGTCTGCCTACGAATAAACGTCTGGTTTTTGTCCAGAAAATAAGTACTTGTTTGTTCACGACTCTATTTATTTTGGTTGCATATAGAGACAATCGCTTGGTAATAATTGAAAGTAATGGAGGGATAGCTATCATTTCACGACCTAACGATTGACATGTTTTGATAAGATTTTTAAAGTCCGTTTTTGTTGAATAAAAACTGTCAATAATTAAAAGACTGTTCTTCTCTTATATAAAGTTGATACATAGATTGTAACCCAGTTATTACTGATCATAACAACTTTAATCGAGTTGCTATCTTGTCTATGAAGCTGTAAAATATCTCGTGTCCCATAATATACTTCTAGTAGTAATCTTAACGTAAATAGGAAGACACCTCCTCGGCCCAAAACATGTATTTTATTTCCTTTGGGGTTTTAAATAACTGAAGCTCTGTTTTATATCATGGACTGAAAATTTCTGATTAGATAAACGATCGAAAAGCTAGACATCAATGTGCGGTCTTTTAGTTCCAAATGAACTCTATTTTAGACTACAAACATGTCGTAGGAAATAGATCTTACAAAAAATTGAAAGCCTCACAAACAAAGTTTTTTTGATCGCATTTTCTAATTTTCATCAACTATCCTGAGATAATTATGCTGGTAAACATAATTTAAAGAGCTTTTATCTATCTCCTAAATAGGTTGTACTGAAAGAAAATTTCATAAGTAATTAACCTCTTATCACCTTCAGGAGCAATTTTTTAATTATCCTTTGGTGAAAGTTAATTTCGACTACAGGAGTTTTCTTACTAAATGTATTTAAGAAACAGAAAACAAGATTTTCGCTTCGATGAAACATTTTAGTAGTAGTAAAACATGGAGACTATGGTAAGATATAAATCCATTTTAGTTCTTTTATTACATATATCACACAGTGGAACAGTAATATTTACTGGACTACGTTTCGATCACATTTTACTTTCCATTGCCATATCAAGGTGAATTTACAACTTTGAAACCTGATTTATATCGTTCGAATTTTCTACCCTCCTTTGTGATATAGGTAAAAGAGAGAATCCAAAATCTCTACATCATTACCATACAGAAAAGGCACCTCAGAGACATTACTTTGAATTCTCAATAAGGCTGGCTGGGCTTAGAGTGGCATTCAAACCTACAAACTCACTTAGAAATAAGCTTTGTAGTTTATAAGATACTACTGATCCAATGCAATCAGGTAGAATAATCTAGTTGACCAAATCCCTTGAAACAACTGTAAGGTTAAGTGCATAGGTCAAAGTAGTCGATTAGAGTCAATTAGAATAACGGAGCACGAAACCCTATCTAGGGAAGAGTTGGTGGATCTTAGCAAGGTAAGCAATTTCGAAAACACCTCGATTTTAGTTATACACGCAATTACACTTAACCACACAATGGAATGAGACAGGTTGAAAATCTTTGGAACTAAGACAGCAGGGTGGAGGGAGAGATTGTTGACTGAATCTTTGATTTCATTTCAACACCTAATACATTCAACAGGAATGACTCAACACCTGTTCCGTATATATGGGGAATCCTACTAGTCACATCATAGATGAGAGGAGAAAATTAGCACTCTATACAGGTTGTCTCGAAGTTGTGTAGTTAGTTATTTTGATATGAGCATGGACAGTAAATTGTGTCCTAAACGTAATCCAGTAGTTATTACTGTTTCATTGTGTGAAGCATCTAATAAATGAAGTGAGATGTAAGCATTTTCTTCACTGAATTGTCCTGCTATTTTTAGAACGAAGAGATTTAATTCATAGTTACATTCAGTAAAACATGGTTAATATTCTTGAGTAGCCTTTTAAAATTAGTGCTCCGTTTAGTATATCGGTCTTAAGACTTGGTTATATTGTAACAATCACTAGTTAGCCAGACTTTTTAATGACTAATGGAAATTCTAGTAATGACACAGGTGGATTAAATAGGCCTGGATTTCATTCGACAAGGTAGAGTGTTAGATAGTAGTGTTTTTTAAACACCATCAAACATTCGGAGCGAATTTAGAAAAGGAACTTCACCGAAGAAAATTTCTATTTGGGGAATCATTTTAAGAAGCTGTACATTCGCACTAACATGGCGACAAATGTATAGGTTCACCAATGGCTAACGTGTCATTAAATTATCATCAAAAGTAGTCAGTGGAGTCACCAGGTCATTATTTCTCGAATGTCAACAGTAGGCTATAGGAAATTTTTCAGTGGATTACAAGGTAATGACTGAAAGCCAGAGAATCACTGAAAACCTGGTTGCAGAGACAGTTGCTTCGTTCCAGCATGGAGTCTGCATGTGTGACTTCTCTGGAGACCCAACACAACGCCTTCAGTTTCCACGGTCATCACGTTACCACTTAGCTATTGGGCGGGACTTGAATAAGTAAGCTTGTAGTATACTCCGCGCTGATGGAATTAGAGAAAAATGGACTTTTGTATCTTGATTTAGTGATTCAGAGTTAACGTCCTGGCCGAGGAACCTGAAAGTCCTTTTTTTGATTCTTAACAGGGCACTCCTGAGGAGTCCAATACTAGGACGAAGTAGCTTCTTAGCGCTCGCAAGTTTTCAATGGTTGTCCAACTGACATCATTGTGCGATCACTGCTAATCGGAAATCAATAAATCTCCACAAACTTTAAAATTGAATAATTTTCTGAAAGGTTAACATAAAGTAAGTATAAGGTGACCACTTAATAATCTAAGTAATAAAGAATGTACTAAAAGTTGGGTACGGTTGTATTGAAATCAACAATTACTCCGTAAGGAAATGTAATGAAAATAACAGAATAAATAAAGAAACGTACATTGAGTAAATATAAAGTCTTTGTAATCTGTTGATTTCTTCTTGAGAAATCCTTTATTTTCCACTAATTGGTTGTCTTACTTATAAATCTTGGAATTTATATGGTAATCCTTGGCCAAATACAAGTTGTTTTCGTTAACGCAAAGCTTTGAGAACGGAAACGAAATTCTCTTTTAAAATCTCTCTTTAGTTAGCTCATATGTCGATATCCACCAGTCTTTGTATCTTTTCTAGTGAATCACAGTGGGATGTAGAATGCATTTTTTTTTATCCTATTTCAGACTTCTTAGGTTAATGTACCATCAATTAACTGATTTTATTTTGACTGTCAATGTAGACCACCACTTTTGAATCTTATACGCTACTTCTAGTTAACAATACTGTTCAACTGTTTACCAAATTTCTCACTGCACCCAGAGTTGTATCACATATGGCTTTTCCTAACGTATTTCTGTGCACATGGAAAAGGCAGACATGTGATGTACTTTTGCCTAGAGGGAATATTTCTTTCAGTCACGCACCAGCTTTTGTCCTTTTGTGGCTTGGTGAAGCATAAATTACTATTAAGAACAATCTTCAATTTTCGATACTTTGATTATATATTCCTGTATTCATTATCTTTATTCCTTTAGTCACCTCTATGAAATCACTCAGTTGCTTGAGTGTACTTCTCAGATTAAGTTGTCAGTTTAATCTTCCTTCTAAATTAGAGAGTAATTACACATTTATCTCAATTATCACTGCGAAGAGAATCTTCTCAACAAACAAATTTCACACTTTATTGATAAGAGACTTGCAGAGTTTTAAGAATGTATTCAATAATTGTGAAAGCTGCATAAAATCTAGGCAACGGTGCTAATTTTAAAATAATCTACTATTTATAAAAACGACTCAATCTAAGAGTGAACTAATGTTGTTTGATTGCGAATTTTCAGCTTAGAGCTAATCTGATAATAAACCAGCAATTATGTTTGTCTTCTTTAAGTAGTAGCTGTATTCAGCACTTTCTGTACATTAGATCGTTCCTAATACCCTTTTAATTGGCTTTACTTAGATGTCAATTACTCAGTGTATTATTTTCTGGAGATGGAAGTTTTAGAAGGATAATAATTATTGTAGAAATTACTGAAAATACCCGTCAAAACATTAGAGAAAACTAGAAGTTCAGAGGAGATGTCTTTTTCGACGACTTCATTCTCATAGCTGTACAACCGCAATTTAAACATTTTCGCTTAATTATATTCTATAGTTGCAGCATTTGTTAACAAAAATGTATAAATTGCCATTCTACAGCTATGAGAAATGAAGTCGTCGAAAAAGATATCTTCGCTGAACTTCTTATTTTCTTCAGTAAATATTGTAACATCAGCCCACAGAAAGCAAGCGGATTTTTTGCACTTATATAAGGGTTACTGCTTTGAATCACTTGACGATCATTGCTGAATAAACATAAACATAATTCAGCACTTATGTCAACAGATAATCCTTGAGTTTTTGTACTAACATCAAGTGTTTGATGAATGAATTAAATGAGCGTTTAACATTTGAACGAGGTTACGGTTTTCCACCGGCAACACATCCAATGTTTTAATTAGGACAGAATTTCGTAGCGCTCATTAAATACTGATTTGGAGACAATATTTTAAATTCTCTGAAATAATGTTGACTTATGTAAAGCGAGAGTGATTCGCCCAGCTCATACTTATCAAATATGCTAAATTAGGACACATGAAAACCAGTTTAGTTGTTCAGCAGCGAAAATGGTCTATATGAGCTT